GAATGTGAACATTCCAACTGTCATTTTGCGTGTCTTACACGATTCAAGGTCAGTACCGAGTGTAACGTCCATGTGACTGTATGACAGCCAGCACCCTCCTCCTCATACCCCCGTCAACCTCCTGATCCTCTGTAGGGACATTCTACGCCATTTCTCGTGTAAAGCCGCTTCCAGTTGGGCCAGTTTCTGTACAGGAGGATCCATTTGTTGCACACGATGACCAATCATGTCCCAGATATGCTTCAAAGGGTTAATATCAGGGTTCATTCAGTCGTGAGATATGTCAGAGGTGCTTAACTGAGTTCTTTGTGTATATATGACGCAATCGCCTCTGCTATTGCTGCACCGCTCCTTCCTGATACTAGATCTTCGGTGCACAGCAGATACAGTACAACCAGAAATTATTGAGAATTTAAAGATTGTAATTTTTCATTTTTTTCACTCATTACTCACGTATTTAATGTAAATATTAGCAGAACATAACTCCAGATTCAAAGACAGGTGAACAGTTAGTATTTTGTCAAGTCACCATGGGCAGCAATGCAGGCTTCAATGCAGCGGGGCATACTACTGATCAAAGAAGTTCGAAAGGTCGTGGTCCATGTTGTCCCAATATCGGACCACCTCTTCTTTCATTTCAGCAATATTATTCAGATTTTTCTTTTTGACGCTTTCCTTCATCAGTCCCCAAACATTTTCTATTGGATTTAGGTCAGGGCTATAGCTTGGCCAATCTAATAATGTCATATTTTGGGTCCGAAACCAGGCCTGTGAATCCTTTGAACGATGTTTACGGTCGTTGTCCTGCTGGAAAATCAAAAAAATTCCATAGAACACGTGAGCAGATGGAACTAAATGTCCCTCGGGAATATCTATGTACCCCTCACTGTTCATATTCCCTTCAAATACACAGAGGGGCGTTGCCCCTAACACAGATATGCCACCCCACACGTTAAATTTCGGACTGTACCCTGGGCGCTGATACAAAGGTTTTTCAGTTTGTTAGGTCCAGAATTTCAGTGTATTAGGAAACAACCACACAGAACTTTCATCTGAGAAAATCACATTGCCCCAGTTAAAATTTCTATGCCTTCGCTCCTTTTGTTCTGGTTTCATGATCGGTGATGGAATTCCTCGACTTTTCTGCCAACCCATTGCATGCAGCTCAGTTCTAATTGTCTCCTTACAGACAGCCACAGTTCCTCTATCAGTCATATCCAGCCTTAAGTTTTCTAAATTCCTTCGTTTGTTTTTAGAAACAAGAATACCAAGCCGCCTCCTGTCACCGACAGTCAATTTTCTGGGCCTTCGCCCTAGTGCTCAATGCCATATCAATTTTCTGGGCCTACCTGCGCCTCCCTGGTGCTCATGTCATATCCATTTGCAATATTTTTCAAAACACGATAAACAGTGGACAAAGGGATGCCTGTTCTACTTGAAATCACTTTAGCTGATCTGATGTTCTCGTTATAATACTGTAAAATCAACTTCCTCTTCTCTGAATCATCCATACTGAGGATCACTGAAAATGTCGTCTGCTAGCAAGTAAACAAAGGGGGATAACTCTTCACAAACTAATGAAAAAGGATTAACGGAGTTGTCTCTCTTGAATGAAACCAAGCACTTGATAGCTGGTCAAGGTTGTTTATACTAGAAATGCAATTAAACATATTCCTGAAATTCTCAATAATTTCTGGTCATACTATATCTAGATAACAGAATTTGAGCTCTTGTCCCCATTGTCCTCTTATAATGACAGTGAGAACAATGCCAAACATCACTTTAGAAATCATACAAATCATCTGTTCGGGGCGGCTGGGTAGCTTAGTGGCCATTCAAAGCGTTCGCTCGTCACGCCAAAGACGAGTGTTCGATTCCAAAAAACGTCATGGGTACAGTATATCGGTGTCTGTCACACAATCGGCTGTGCTGTTACTGCTCCTTTCCTTCCCGTTAACTGATTGATCTTCCGCGCACTGCATAGACGCGCACACATCTATGCAGTGCGCGGAAGATCAATCAGTTAACGGGAAGGAAAGGAGCAGTAACAGCACAGCCGATTGTGTGACAGACACCGATATACTGTACCCATGACCCCTAAAAGGGTTACAATCACAGGAAAAAACATACCAGACCATCTTCTTTAGACGCCATTTTATTCAAGCCCGCCAAACTCTCCTGCCCACAAGGGAGGTAATAAGAATAGAAGTGACGTTAACTAAAGAGTTGTCTCCCTCCACGCCACAGATCTGGGTCCCGATCCACAAAACGTTCGTAGCGCTACGACATTAATATGCCTATGGTAAACCATAGAGTTACGACAGGTCGTAACGTTACCAACACTTTTTGGATCGGGACCCTGACCTATTTAGCAGAACTAGGAAAGTTTTCCCCATGACCCATTCTATTTAATGACAGCCTTAACAGTGTCAAACATCACTTTTGAAATCCTACAGCTAATACTCAGCTTAGATGGTTAAGTAGCACAGTATGTTTTTGAGTGTCTGTCTGTGCTGTTACTTCCTTCCCGTTACCGATTAGATCTTCCGTGGACTGCATAGAGCTGGCCTATTTAGTAGAACTAGGACAGTATTCCCAAAATTCAATTCTGTAATGACAAACAATGAAAGTCATTTGTCATTATAAAGGGACATTGTTAACGAGAAGTCATATACCATAATAAAATGTATCTTGTATGTGTATGTGTGTGTATTTTTTCTAATTACAACAATCGCAACAATTTCTGTTACATGTCTTCCCGTATATTCTTTGGACAGAGATTTGATCGCAGTTGTTGAAATAGAACAGAAATCAGATCTTTAAAGCAGATTCTTCGCCTGTTGCCGTTAATCAGATTAAGATATGATTTTACTTGTTCTTACTTATTCTCGGATCTGTTCTTACGGTCAGTTTGTTATGGTATCAACATGGCCAGTAGCACAATGAACATTCTTTATGTGTATATAAGCACACTCCCTTCTGAGTGAGTAGCACATTTACAAAAAGACAAATGAAGATACTGATTGGTATTCCACAACAATAACGTTAAATCTTTCCGAATTTGGTAAACTGTCCATTCTCCACATCGCACTGAGTTTCTTTCTTGTGTGAGCGTCCCCATACCAGCATTTGCAGAACTAGAACCATTGCACGGACCCTAGTCTCTCTGTTAGGGTTAGATTTTATTTATTTATTTATTGTAATGATTATTATTTTTATTAGGGTTAGAGTTAGGAATCACGTTATTTACCCCTCCGTCCAACCCTTTCTACTATGCAAAATCTCCAGATGAAGCAAGTATAGATTTCCTCAGAATCTCCGAGCTCACGCGGGTTCTTTTCCAATTCGATTGGCGATTGTTTGATCAGAATTATATACATGTATATCCAGAGACAAGGCGTTAGTCTACATGAAGCCCAATGGGTGACTTTTGGGGGGGAGAGGGAGCTATGACTCATACAAATTCTGGAATTTAAATTTGAAATTTACCCAGGAACCAGAAAAAATCATATGGTAATCTTATTGACTGCAACAGGCAAAGAATCTGAATTAAAGATCTGACTTCTGTTCGATTTCATCAACTGCATGATTGTGACGGTCAAATCTCTATTCAAAGTGTATACAGGATTCGAAGACATATAACAGAAACGGTGGCTTGTGTCAATGTCCATATTTGGGGCGGTGCGGTAGCCTAGTGGTTAAAGCGTTCGCTCGTCACGCCAAAGACCAGCGTTCGATTCCACACATAGGTACAATGTGTAAAACCCATTTCTTCTGTTCCCCGCCGTGATATTGCTGGAATATTGCTAAAAGCGGTGTAAAACCATACTCACTCACTCACTCACTGTCCATATTTTCCCGTACTAACTTTTTAACTTTCTAATATATGGAACCGTGAAGGTCCGGGTTAGAATTTGTCTTCAGCAACTCATGCTTGTCGTTAGAGGCGATTAACGCTGGTCAGGCTCGCTGACTTGTTTGACACGCCATCGGTTCCCAATGGCGTAGATCGATGTTCATGCTGTTGATCACTTGATTGTCTGGTCCATATTCGATTATTTACAGACCGCGGCTGGAATATTGCTGAGTGCGGCGTAAAACTAAACCCACTCACTCACTCTAACACATGATATAAGGGACCGTTAATAATTTATGGCTAGGGTGATGATGATGATTTTAAGGGGGTGGGGTGGGGTTCACCCATTTTGTTCTGGGGAGCAAGGGGGGTCATGAATTTTGTACACACGTACTAGGGGGGTCAGCAATTCTGTACATAAAAATATGTTTAAAATTATGCATAGAAATTATGGGGGGCGGTCATTGATTTTGTACATGACATACAGGGGGGGTCACTTATTTTGTACATACATTTTAGGGGGGTCATAATAAAAAATCACCATCAACACACACACACACACACACACACACACAGCCATAAATTATGAACGGTCCCTAATATTATTAGAAAAAATACATACACAAGTCTTAGTGACATTTAATATTTCGGACACGGGATCTATGTCAAAGTCTTTTTTAATGGGAAGAGATGTCAATATGTATCAAATACGGAAAACGAAGTGAAACTGGGGGCGTGTCACGTTTTGCAAAGACAACAAACACATGTGGGGAATATAATTATTTGTCTTCCTCACATGTGTTTAACTTTAAGTTACGAGTTTGTGTTCTGTTGAAAGCTTGTGATAATAAATTAATACTGATCATATACATGTCAAATATTTTGTTTAACTTATATTGACATTTGAATGAATCTTATTATGCACACTAATTGAGCTCATCGTCAGCACGTGCTACACCTACGTAAAAGTAACATTGCGTTACCGATGCGTGGAGCTTAGAGGTAAATGGCACAAGTGGGCCGGGCCTGTTTGGCCATGATTGTGGAAGGAGAAGTGTGGTTCTGGTCTCAGTGTAAACAGACATTTTGTAAGTTTCCATATGTGTATTATATCGAGTAAGTGAATGTTGTGACTCTGGTTGGATTGTAAACTACTTAACGTTAGACTGGGACAATTCTCATGATACTGACGATTATATCTGAGTGAACAATTTTTCTTTACTGCCACTTCCGGAGTTTTAGAAGTACGATCCACACATCCAGTTTTAAGTTGGTCAGTAAAGCTTTTCTTCATGTGCACTCTCATTAACAGCTTGATGTATTTCCACTGGCTTACATGGTGGGGTCATTCTGCGAGGACCTGGTAGACCTTTTACAGGGAGACAGTGGTAATTTCAATTGACTTGTTAATTTTGTTGCGTATAATTTAATGACGTAATACATTTTTGCGTGTCTTTAGAAACCATATTCATTTTACTTAATTTAGCTTAATATTTTGACACTTAATAACTTTTCAGAGCAACTTGAACAGGTATGTCAGTGCAGAGACCATATAATCTATTATATGGTCTCTGGTCAGTGCCATTGAAATCATGATGTGGAACTTTGTTTGTTAAGGCTTATTAAGGTATTTATGGTTATCCATAAATGTTTTGTGTCTTGATACTGAACTCATACTTGAGTAACCAGGCAACCATTTCAACCCTAATATTTAGTAATACATGATTACTAGTTTCTGCAGTTGACATACATTCAAAGTGAAAGTGTTGATTATTAATGAAGATTTTGAAATATGTCAGTTTGTAATTCTTTCTTATAAGATGATGAGGAAATGCTTTTGTGGTTGACTTTTAACTGGTGTTATTTTGTTTCACATTACTAAGCATGTGCAATAAACACAGTACAGGGTAAACAGACATGATTTTATTAGGCTTTGTGGTGAAAGGGCTTCACTTTTGTTATTCCCTGCCTTGTTATTGTAGGGATATTAAAACAAACCTTTCCATGTTCAGTATGGATAGACATAAGTGTTATAGCTAAAACGGCACCACAGCAGAATGGCACCAAATTTGTTTGGCGAAAACAGCACCATATTGGCAAAAACGGCTACTGATTTCTGGGCTAAAACGGAACCATATATAAACAAAGTATGACGTTGACTTTTATGTTTTATTTCATTTCATTATAACATTAGCAAGATTATAACAACATATATAAAACATGTAGTATAATAATAAGTTATCTTCTATAGCGCACAGTGTCCAAACACCAAGTGATTGCTCGCGGCGCTTAATCAGAATTTGATTCTTATTACCCCGGATAACACAAGCTGCCTGTAAGGCACTAGAAGGTTATAGTCACATGACTTTATCCAACCGGGTACCCATTTTCTGCTGGGTGCACAGAGGCAATTTGAACAAACTCACTTGCCTAAGGTGAGACCACATGCATCACATGTGCTTCGTTGTGGGGCAGGACTGAAGTCCTAGAAACTCGCAGGAGTATGTAGATACCAAAACCAGTATTACCATTTCGGTCCTTGGCTCCGTCCGTATAAAGGTGAAGATTATCTTGTAGATTTATTAAGTATATTGTGTTCAGTAAGTTTTGTGTTGGCCAGGATTTTTGGCAGTAATGCTGGAGGAAGAGATTTGTAATATGGGTTTGTACTATATTCTGTAGTATATATATCAAGTTGTTGTTAATTTCCTGTATTTTTTGTCCAAAAGGTTTTGGGTATTTGCCTTTATTGATAATGATTTTAATGGGTAAATTTGTGCATTTTAAATACTATTTCATTTTGACACTGAGTTTGGGCGATTTCAGTTGAGTAAATGTACTTAAAACATCAAAGGTTGCGATGTTTTCTCGGTAATGTATTTAGATGTATTTACTATCTAAACATTCTGCAATCCGATTATCGGCTATGGGATGTCCTTTCCAATCACTGTCGGCACAGTAGATGTATTTACTATTTATACATTCTGCGATCCGATTATCGGCTTTGGGATGCGCTTTCCGATAACTGTCGGCAGAGTAGACGCATTTAAATTTTCTGCAATCCGATTATCTAATAGCAAACTAGTTTTCTTTATAAGATTTTAGTTGGTGCGGTTTTCGCCATAAGATTTGTAGCCGTTTTCGCCAAGTCGAGGTTCCGTTATGTCCAAATGGTGCCGTTTTCGCCAGGTGCCGTTTTGCTGTGGTGACGTTTTAGCATGAACCCGACATAAGTACTATCAGAACAACATCTGAACATTTTGACAAAATGTCCATTTACACATGGGTAGCACTGTTCGAAATAACCATCTGTCTGAACAAGTTTTCAGACCAATGAACAAGTTAATATTTATGATGAGTGTATTTGTGAACTGTATTTTGGCCCAGTTTGTGAGAGGTTATCATCTTGTGGAAGTTGCACATTTAGATATAGCTAATCAAACACACCTTTTTTCAGTTTTAATTAATTAGTGTATACTTTTAGACGATATCAATAATACTGATTCGTCTTCAGTGGGACTGGTAGATCTTAAAAGTTATCTGCCCTGTGGTCTAGTACAAATGTTTGGTTAGTTTCATACACTGTAGATAGAAAGCACCACATGCCTGATAGTATCATAGAAGTTCAATGTCAACAGTATAAAATAGGACTTACAGTATTACTACCTTACCAGTATGCTGCGATACGCTCTTCAAGCTATGCATAATGCAATAATGTTTTTTCTGTTCCGATTCATTGGGTCATTATGATTAGTTTTCTTTATGATTAAATCAACTTACATATTCATTCACAAATTGTGTTTTCTTTTGGATGGCGGAAACAAGGAAGTGATTTTTCTCTCATGTTGTTAACTCCCTTGTGTCTTGACTTCAAACTGGCATTTGGCCACTTTCTAAATGGCGTTGTGTATTCGTGGCAGGAGCTATCTATATTTACATTTGCATGTGGAAAATAGGATCTACACTTACTAACTAGTGCCAGTAACTTTCAAAACCCTTTTTTCTCCCAGTGTGTGTTACAGTACAGGTACCTACCTATTATGGCAATAATTGCAAAAGAATATTTTTGGTTTCACAATTACACAACCATAGTTAAAATACTGATTGGTCAGAGTGTAGAGGTTGATGTCTGTCCCTATTTAAATGATAAATGTTTTTCTTTGCAGATATTCAGAAATGGCTATTCCCCCAGCCAGGCCTTCACAAGGTGATGCAGATCTACTTAAGTCTTGAAGGAAGTCACATTTTCAAAAACCCTGTTCTCTTGGCTTAGTGATTAATAAAGCTATGGAACAGAGGGAGGTAAAACCGAATGAAGATGAGAATTCAGTGTCTGCTTCAGGGAAGGACAAGAGTACATTTCAACCAGATCTTTCTGATATCAATCAGAACTACGTATCAAATACTTGCAAGAGTATTGTAAACTTCCAAAGATCTCAAAATGAGGTCATTAGTCAGATGTCCCAATTACCAGAACATAATGATGAACCAATCTTATCTGGTGGAGGTGATCCCATCACATCAAATCAGCAAGGTGATTCTGTGATAGAAAGCTCAAGTTGTACCGACACTTCTGAGTCAAATCAAAGATCTCAATTTTTAAGAGTTGAACAGGAAAGAATGACTGCTGTATCAGGAACTCCCACAAATACTTGTCCTCCGTGTAGTGGAATGATGCAGAGTTCATCAGATGTGATGTCCGATGGTGTTTTGAATGTTCCTAATTTATCCCTTTTGGAGGATTCCGACGACGAGGAAGAATGGGAAAGTTCTGATATTGAACTTGTAGAGGGCAATGAAGACACCTTTGTGAAAGGTGACTATGGCAGTGATGATGGCGAACTGATAGCACGTGGTGCTAGTAGAGACACCAGACCTGCGTTCTCTGTCCCAAGTGTTGTCAACAGTGGCTCGGCATTGCGCTTGAATCGAGAGTTGTCACGGATTACACAACCTGGAGATGACTTAACCATAGGTTCTACTGCCCCAACGGAGTGTTTTACCACAGACTTACAGGAGGATGGTGCCCCCCTAGCTCGGCCTCCTCTGAAATGTCATCATGACGTCAGACAGGGAAGTAGGAAAGAATTAGAAGAGTTTGTGAGGAAACACATGTACAAAGCTCCCCCAAACAAAGGGCTGCTAGTTAATGAAGTAAGTGTATGGAGCTACCCCCAACACAGATCTGCTAGTTAGTGAAGTGAGTTTGTAGAGCTACCCCTAACACAGGGTTGTTAGCTAATGAAGTAAGTGTATAGAGCTAGCCCCAACACAGATCTGCTAGTTAGTGAAGTAAGTTTGTAGAGCTATCCCTAACACAGGGTTGTTAGCTAATGAAGTAAGTGTATAGAGCTACCCCCAACACAGATCTGCTAGTTAGTAAAGTGAGTTTGTAGAGCTACCCCTAACACAGGGTTGTTAGCTAATGAAGTAAGTGTATAGAGCTAGCCCCAACACAGATCTGCTAGTTAGTGAAGTAAGTTTGTAGAGCTACCCCTAACACAGGGTTGTTAGCTAATGAAGTAAGTGTATAGAGCTAGCCCCAACACAGATCTGCTAGTTAGTGAAGTAAGTTTGTAGAGCTACCCCTAACACAGGGTTGTTAGCTAATGAAGTAAGTGTATAGAACTACCCCTAACACAGGGTTGTTAGCTAATGAAGTAAGTGTATAGAGCTACCCCTAACACAGATCTGCTAGTTAGTGAAGTAAGTTTGTAGAGCTACCCCTAACACAGATCTGCTAGTTAGTGAAGTAAGTTTGTAGAGCTACCCCTAACACAGATCTGCTAGTTAGTGAAGTAAGTTTGTAGAGCTACCCCCAACACAGATCTGCTAGTTAGTGAAGTAAGTTTGTAGAGCTACCCCTAACACAGGGTTGTTAGCTAATGAAGTAAGTGTATAGAGCTATCCCCAACACAGATCTGCTAGTTAGTGAAGTAAGTTTGTAGAGCTACCCCTAACACAGGGTTGTTAGCTAATGAAGTAAGTGTATAGAGCTACCCCCAACACAGATCTGCTAGTTAGTGAAGTAAGTTTGTAGAGCTACCCCTAACACAGGGTTGTTAGCTAATGAAGTAAGTGATAGAGCTACCCCTAACACAGGGTTGTTAGCTAATGAAGTAAGTGATAGAGCTACCCCTAACACAGGGTTGTTAGTTAATGAAGTAAGTGTATAGAGCTACCCCTAACACAGGGTTGTTAGCTAATGAAGTAAGTGTATAGAGCTACCCCTAACACAGGGTTGTTAGCTAATGAAGTAAGTGATAGAGCTACCCTAACACAGGGTTGTTAGCTAATGAAGTAAGTGTATAATAGAGCTACCCCTAACACAGGGTTGTTAGCTAATGAAGTAAGTGTATAGAGCTACCCCTAACACAGGGTTGTTAGCTAATGAAGTAAGTGTATAGAGCTACCCCTAACACAGGGTTGTTAGCTAATGAAGTAAGTGTATAGAGCTACCCCTAACACAGGGCTGTTAGTTAATGAAGTAAGTGTATAGAGCTACCCCTAACACAGGGTTGTTAGCTAATGAAGTAAGTGTATAGAGCTACCCCTAACACAGGGTTGTTAGCTAATGAAGTAAGTGTATAATAGAGCTACCCTAACACAGGGTTGTTAGCTAATGAAGTAAGTGTATAGAGCTACCCCTAACACAGGGTTGTTAGCTAATGAAGTAAGTGTATATAGAGCTACCCCTAACACAGGGTTGTTAGCTAATGAAGTAGGTGATAGAGCTACCCCTAACACAGGGTTGTTAGCTAATGAAGTAAGTGTATAGAGCTACCCCTAACACAGGGTTGTTACCTAATGAAGTAAGTGATAGAGCTACCCCTAACACAGGGTTGTTAGCTAATGAAGTATGTGATAGAGCTACCCCTAACACAGGGTTGTTAGCTAATGAAGTAAGTGATAGAGCTACCCCTAACACAGGGTTGTTAGCTAATGAAGTAAGTGTATAATAGAGCTACCCCTAACACAGGGTTGTTAGCTAATGAAGTAAGTGATAGAGCTACCCCTAACACAGGGTTGTTAGCTAATGAAGTAAGTGTATAGAGCTACCCCTAACACAGGGTTGTTAGCTAATGAAGTAGGTGATAGAGCTACCCCTAACACAGGGTTGTTAGCTAATGAAGTAAGTGTATAGACCTACCCCTAACACAGGGTTGTTAGTTAATGAAGTAAGTGATAGAGCTACCCCTAACACAGGGTTGTTAGCTAATGAAGTAAGTGTATAATAGAGCTACCCCTAACACAGGGTTGTTAGCTAATGAAGTAAGTGTATAATAGAGCTACCCCTAACACAGGGTTGTTAGCTAATGAAGTAAGTGTATAGACCTACCCCTAACACAGGGTTGTTAGCTAATGAAGTAAGTGTATAATAGAGCTACCCCTAACACAGGGTTGTTAGCTAATGAAGTAAGTGTATAATAGAGCTACCCCTAACACAGGGTTGTTAGCTAATGAAGTAAGTGTATAATAGAGCTACCCCTAACACAGGGTTGTTAGTTAATGAAGTAAGTGATAGAGCTACCCCTAACACAGGGTTGTTGTTAATTAATGATGTAAGTGATAGAGCTACCCCTAACACAGGGTTGTTAGCTAATGAAGTAAGTGATAGAGCTACCCCTAACACAGGGTTGTTAGCTAATGAAGTAAGTGATAGAGCTACTCCTAACACAGGGTTGTTAGTTAATGAAGTAAGTGATAGAGCTACCCCTAACACAGGGTTGTTAGCTAATGAAGTAAGTGATAGAGCTACCCCTAACACAGGGTTGTTAGCTAATGAAGTAAGTGTATAATAGAGCTACCCCTAACACAGGGTTGTTAGCTAATGAAGTAAGTGATAGAGCTACCCCTAACACAGGGTTGTTAGCTAATGAAGTAAGTGATAGAGCTACCCCTAACACAGGGTTGTTAGCTAATGAAGTAAGTGTATAGAGCTACCCCTAACACAGGGTTGTTAGCTAATGAAGTAAGTGATAGAGCTACCCCTAACACAGGGTTGTTAGCTAATGAAGTATGTGATAGAGCTACCCCTAACACAGGGTTGTTAGCTAATGAAGTAAGTGATAGAGCTACCCCTAACACAGGGTTGTTAGCTAATGAAGTAAGTGTATAATAGAGCTACCCCTAACACAGGGTTGTTAGCTAATGAAGTAAGTGTATAGAGCTACCCCTAACACAGGGTTGTTAGCTAATGAAGTAAGTGATAGAGCTACCCCTAACACAGGGTTGTTAGCTAATGAAGTAGGTGATAGAGCTACCCCTAACACAGGGTTGTTAGCTAATGAAGTAAGTGTATAGAGCTACCCCTAACACAGGGTTGTTAGCTAATGAAGTAGGTGATAGAGCTACCCCTAACACAGGGTTGTTAGCTAATGAAGTAAGTGTATAATAGAGCTACCCCTAACACAGGGTTGTTAGTTAATGAAGTAAGTGATAGAGCTACCCCTAACACAGGGTTGTTAGCTAATGAAGTAAGTTTGTAGAGCTACCCCTAACACAGGGTTGTTAGCTAATGAAGTAAGTGTATAGAGCTACCCCTAACACAGGGTTGTTAGCTAAGCCTGATACAAGCTTGCAAACTAATGAGTGGGAAAAAAGTTATTATTAATCAATAATGGTTCCTAGTCACGGGAAGGTCAGAGCAATCTGACTCCGTGAGCAGGAATACAAATTTATAGACTGTTACTGTTACACTCTCAAGCATGGATGATAAGGCTGCATGTTAAGAAAAGATGTTTTCTTTTTCAGGAACTCAATCCAGTAAATATTGGTAGTGAATGGTTTTACCGAGAGAAAGAAGAATACAGGATACTTGATGGAATACAACATAATAGTGTTTGTTTATGTGAAGACCACAAGTCTCACCACAAGTTTGTACGGAAACGGGTACGCATATATTATTTTCTATCTAATCAAACTTATCAATCCATTAATAGTAATATTGCTTGTGACTGAAACTTTCATAGAATATAGTCAAAACAAAACATATATTTTGCCTTTGATACAACCTCAGACCTGTTTTCCAATACCTGATCCTAGGACTGCACAATGTCACTAGTATTAGTAGTATACTCGTATACTGCAATGTGCTTTTCTAATAGTTCATATTGCAATATTATTTCTCATAATTAATTTGTATATAATGGGTAAATTGACATGTGAAGTAGTTCTCTTGACCTTGTATTGTTCATCCATAATCTACAGAGGAATTCATTCGCAAATACATGTATATTCAAATTGATACTTAGGTAGAAATCGTTGAATCGTTAGTTTATGAGATTGTGATAAGCTATACTCTTAAAAAAAGAAGGGAAATTTCATTTTGAATTTACCATTGAAAAAATTGAGAGATATATCGGAGTCAATCAATGTTGTTATGATAATAATGAATGTTTAGCAGAGTGCATCACCATTTGCACTTCCTTATGACCATCGATGTCATTCGTGACCAACTTGTGTTATTCCGGGACAAGCCGAATAGCGACTCGTGCCCCTCTGGAAGGATTTCATATTGGCGCATGAACATCAGAACTACTTTAAACAAGGACGATAACTCTATCCCTGTTTGATTCCAACGTTTCTTAATTATCACCGAAGCACATTGTATTGCTAGGTTGTTGTTTTGGGGGTTTGTTTACTTATTTATTTTAAAGAATTAAACCTCTCTGATACAACTAAAAGAAAGAGAAAAACATATTTGTAAAAAAACATATTCTAATATAATTATTACCAGCTGTTAACCATATATTTTCAGTTAGGGTTTACTAATCACAAATGGGAATTGTTTTATTGAATATGCCAATAAAAGTTTTAAAATTTCAGCTACATTAAATCCCAAAGCACATACTCAAGAATGACTTTAAAATATTTCTCAAACTGAACATTCGTGTAATCTTGCTGTCATACTCCTGGTGGAATTTTAAATGAATTCGCTAAAAAAAAATATGAATGACCAAACCAATAGTCAGACTAAAATATCCCCAGAGATGTGAAATATAAGCCCAATGTTTGAGATTAAAGTTGATTAGTTACATACAAATATAATATTATTGTTTTGAAACTCGTAGCGATTTATAATTACATTTCCTAAAATTGTTGGAAGCGCACGTACAATCTCCATAACAAGCCCGCCAGAAATACACTCAGTTGGACCCATGAGAGCCGTTATGTCAACAAACGCACGTGCGTGTGTTTGAATCTCTCACCATCAATCGCATGACTCTTATTAAAAACCTCATAATAGGCAGCAAAATCCTGTTAGCTACGTTCTTTGTAATTTCAATATGACAATATATATTTTTCATGATTTTTTAAACAATAACATAATGCCATAAACGATTTAAGTACTCGGGATTATTTTTATCAAAGCACCGCGCTCATTTACGCTCGTTCTGATTGGTTTGTCGTATTTTCGCACAAAACAAGCATCAAGAGGGGGACGAGTCTTTTTGGAGGTAACGGAAAGGGGCGAGTGGTGACGAATGCATAGATGTTTGTACAGTAATCACCCTTGAAAGATGATTGATGTACGACGTGAAATTTGTGTGTGCGATTTTCATTTTCAAACCAAAACAATGGCTAGAAACAAACCCTAACAATTGTGTGATACAAGATGATTGTCAAAATTAATGGTCTACTGTGATTTATCAACCTTCTTGAAAACCGTCAAAATAAAAAATGACACCCCATGCATGTGTATGGGGCTACTGTGTTGTGCATCGCGTGCATTGTGTTTTGGTGATAAAGAGAATTGGTGGTGCGTTCATAAGATGTCAAATGTCTTTAAAACGTTTATTAACACTTATGCTTCCTATCCAAATTGAATTTTCAGGTTCCCCTACATTTTTTAAGAGTATATTTTTTTAGTTATCCTGACTCATGATCTTTTGCTTATCTCCCTTTCCTAAAGGACAGTAAACAAGTAATAAATAATCTGTTGCTATTGTTTTCAATCACCTGAAATACTCAAGTGTCACATTTCAAGGCCTTTAATAATGTATCTGCTTTAAATATATTCATTTCCAAAAGAGGAACCGGATTGGTAAACAAGCAGTATGTTGCTTATCTGAATACCGCTCCTGAATACAGATAAATCATAGACATACCAATCGTGAGGAGAAAAGCATGATATTAACAAACAATAAACAATAGTTTTCTGTAAATGTAATAATCAAAAACTGTAATATAGCCGCTTATAACATTAGAACCATTAGTGTCGGAAAATACTTAATAGTAAGTGCAATTTCGTTTTTACTATTACAACACAAATCTGCCTGACAGTACAATGAAAGAATGGGTAGATTCTAAAAATTCAAGATTATCTTTAGTAGATCCATTAGAGTGGCCGTATAGTATTGATTTGATGTCATATCTTTAGTATAGAAGTGCATTTTATGTCTTATGTCAGTGTAATTAACGCACAATAATAATGTATCTGACTGATACACACTGTGAGGTGAGGTGAAATTGGGTTTTACGTCATGCTTGAGAATATTTCAGCTCATATGACGACGTGCATGTGTGTGTATGTGTATGTGCGGCTGCTTGTACTAGCCCAGACTTAAGCTGGTTTTATAGTGCTAGCCCACTGAGATACCATGCCGCAGCCGACCAGTCCTTGTTGTACCCATTAATGCCGAGCGCAAGGCAGGGACCAACAAGTACCATCTTTTAACATCTTTTGGTATGATGCGGTCGGGGATAGAACCCGCGACCTTCCGTTCTCCGGCTGATACACACTGTATCATCAACATACATGTCCTAGCATTACTGGTTTATCATTGCACCCCGAATTATTATCATCGGGGGCGGTGGGGTAGCCTAGTGGTTAAAGTGTTGGCTCGTCACGCCGAAGACCCGGGTTTGAAATCCCCACATGGGTACATTGTGTGAAGCCCATTTCTGGTGTCCCCCGCCGTGATGTTGCTGGAATATTGCTAAAAGCGGCGTAAAATCATACTCAGTCAGTCAGTATTATCATCAGATAGTTTGACATTCGTATTTGTTTTGGATTTCAGCGGAAACGTGTCAAGTTTGAAGGCCAGAAGAAGTCTGTATTGGTTCCTTTATTGCACCATGACAGTCCGTATATAATGGATATATTTGGACTTATTGTCTTTACCGAGGAAGTCCATGTATTCATGGAATATTGTGAAGGTTGGTGAATTCTCCTAGTGTTAGTTATGAAACAGTTTGATTAGTATTTTTGAAGTTGTTAAAAAAACAGTACAGGCTAGATATTTTAATTGGTGACATCTTCTTTCAAAGTATTTTTCATTTAGACTTTGAAAACATAAAGGGCTGAATTTGCTTGTGGAGCCATTTTGTATTTAATTTAGACACAACAGCTGGATCAGGAAACTTGACCCCTTCATATTGTACGTTAATAAGTTTTGAGGAGATTGTTTTCCATTGAAATATTTGGTGATGTGTCATTCAAGAGGGACACTGGGCTAGCCTAGTGGTTAAAGCATTGGCTCATTGCCCTGAAGACCTGGTTTCGAATCCCCACATGGGTACAATGTGTGAACTGGTGTCCCTAGCCGTGATATTGTTGGAATAATGCTAAAAGCGGCATAAAACTAAACTCACTCACTCACTACAATGTGTGAAGCCCATTTCTGGTGTCCCCTGCCGTGATATTTCTGAAATATTGCTAAAAGTGGTGTAAAACCATACTCACTCACTCATTCATTCTAGGAATTTTAATTTCCATGATATTGTGTAAACTGGTAGAGGCCGACATAATATCAGTAGCAGACCTTTGTAGAAACTTAGAATCCTGGCTGTTTTTGCAAACCGTGGATGTCAGAGCGTAAATTCATTTTGAAGCTCCCCTATAGGCAACCAGACAAGTACAGCACTAGCAACCGAATGGTTAACCAACTAACTATAGAAAAGCGTGTGATGTTCCACTAAATGGTTGCATGCGCTGTAGATGTTATAACAATGTACTGTTTCAATTTTGTATTTACATCATGCAATCATTCCTTTAATCTGTAAATAATTAATTTAATCAGCCAGCAACTTGTTTTTATTTGTGGAATGAGATTATGAATAATGCTAATTATATGGTATGTACATGTGAGTGTTTGTATATATATTCTGATGTAGATGGTATGTTTACTGTTATAGGTGGGCATTTGGAACACCACACACCTTATTCTGTCAGTGAAACCGTACCCGTTCTTCAACAGCTTCTACAAAGTCTGTCTTACATTCATTCCAGGGGAATAGTTCATGGAGATATTAAGCGTGAGTAATGAAACTCTTTGGGGAATAGTTCATGGAGATATTAAGCGTGAGTAATGAAACTTGCTGCTGCTGCAGGTAGTCGTCCTCTGTTTTCAGGTGAGGTGAGGTAGCCTAATGGTTAAAGGCATTGGCTCGTCACGCCCTAGACCCAAGTTTGATATGTCCCCATATGGGTACAGTGTGTGAAGCCCATTGTTGCAACATTGTGATATTGCTGTAATATTGCTCTGGGTGGCATAAAGTCATATGCACTCACTCACTCCACTGTCTTCACAATAGGTTGCCTTACAGACATGGTGCAATAAACGGAGCACCTTTAGAATACAGCACCACAACTTCTCGTGAGGACGATCTCTGCTGTAGGTCACGTGTCATTAAGACAAGCAACCAGTTTGTGAGAACCCGTCGGACGCAAACCCGCGACCTTTGGATTGTTAGCTTGACAGCTAACTGACTGAGCTACGTCCACACTATTGTACAATGTGCAAATTTATCGAGTCATTCCTGTGACGTCGAGGTCACGGACAATTACGAATGCTATGGGTAGACTTGGAGTCTCGTGATTATATTCTACGGACAATTGCCGAATGGATCCGATGCCATTTGGCACACTCGTCCCATTCCGTAATCTACAAATTAACGTGTGGCGTGGAATGAGCCGATATGCCTCAAACTGAAAAGGGTTGTTGACGTCAGGCATCAGACGTAGATTTCACGGTGCATGCATGAATGACGCGCTTTTATATAAATCGGTGATTTTGTGACAGAAAAGTGATGTAGGGAACACTGTAAGGATAATGTGGATCGCACTAAGGAACGAGGGAGACATGAGCATGTGTTGTGACGGCACAAGGGTGAGTTAGCCTTCGAATCATTACTTTACAAAATTTATGTTGCGTGTGAAAGAGGCTTATTTCCATTAGCCCAAAATTTCTACATTAACCCATTTCTTAATGTACTTTCGACGTTTTTGGTTTCCCGTTTTTGTGTGAAAAAAAGTATTAAAATGCAAAAAGGAAAAACAACAAATGGTACTCACCTTTTACACCGGACATGTACCTACTATATTGGATAAGGTCCCTAACCCCCTAACCCCTAACCCCTAACCCCTAAACCCTCAGCCCTAACCTAAGCCCTAACCCTAACCCTAACCCTAACCCCTTGAAATAATCCTAATAAATAGAATGCATTGACCGAACCACCGGACATGTACCTACTATATTGCATTATGTCCCCAACCCCAACCCCAACCCCAACCCCAACCCCAACCCCAACCCTAACCCTAAGCCCTAACCCTAACCCTAGTCCTAATCCTAGCCCTAGCCCTAGCCCTAGCCTGCAATATTACCGCTTCGAAAAATAAAATACTAATAAAACACTTTTCTATGTAATGGTGCAAATTACTGAATGACAAAAATACATATGTAAATTAAAAAAATTACAAAATACAAAATACACAAAACATAACACCTCAGCAGCCCTTAATACAAATAAATATGAGCGTATTAGTGAAAAAAGAAAAATATTTCAAACTGGTGCTTGCAAAATATTGCGCATCCGCCGGTATACAACTACTGGAAACTCTCATCATCGTTGGGCTTATGCAATGACATAGCTCGTAGAGATGAAACACCAGTGAGCGGAGCTTATACGCGTACTCGCTGAGCCAGACAACAGTGTTGCCATGCAGGCGTCATAGGGCATTGTTTCGAGAACGTGCTTTCGAACAAAATCACATTACATTACGTAAAAGGGTATTATGACGTATTTTTAAAGTTTGTGGTGCTGTATTCTAAAGGTAGGCCCAATAAACATCCGTGGTCTAGGAGATAGTGGGAGATGGGAGTTGCGATCCCTAAGAATTCGGATGCTGCATGGCACAAAAGATTTGGAAGTTCTATTGCTTTTGTAAAGAGGGATTTTGAAGTGGCGTCCGGAATGAAGTAGTTCAAACTGATATGTAAAATATGGGATATATCAGTCTGAAGTGCAATGCTTTCTTTTCCACCCAGGACTCATATAGGGCAGTCAAATTATGAAGGGAAATTTTGCTCAAAAGTTTCGCAACTGTGTTGATTTTGTTTTTGAGCTTGGCTTGGAGTCAGTATACTGTGTCATAGTGGAGTGTACAGTGGAAGCTGTCAAAACCGGCAACTGTCCAATCCGGCAAGTTGTCAACACCGGCATAATATCTCATAGCTAAGATACATAGCGTTCACTGACATGAATGCTATGCAGCACCTCCATAGGCCGCAATGGTGGAAATCCTTTGTCACACTTTCGCGCACTCGTTACGATTTTTGCGCACGAAAAACTTATATGAATTACTTCTTTGGACTTATACCTACACGTGCGCCCTATTTTCGTTATCAAAATATCCAAAAATATATCTTTACAAGCCATCAAACATCTCAGTCGATCGCTCACATATGAGCGGGGCCATTTTGAATCACGTGACCTGTGACGCGAAGGGGATATCCCTCCCAAATATAGTAACACACGTGTTCCATACCTCGTTGCTTGTTGACAACACATTTTCATACATTTTAGACAATTAAAACGATTGTATGGAGATTTTCGTTTCCAATCTAGACTGACTGACCACCCCTGCTTTTTCAACAGCTGTTTTTAAAGGAATTGCTGGTGAGTTTTCAATGCTTCATATAATATAAGATTATTGCTGTCACCTTCACAATTCCATGGGTGTCTCTGTACTACTCATGACTATTTGCCTACAAAACACAGTTCTAATAAGACTTACTAATAAGACTTATTAGAATTTAGGAATTAAATAATTTACGAGTTCAAATCAATTATCTATAAATTTCATTTACGCTTGTACCATATAACCTTAAATATTTCTCATTTCACATTTCTCCTATCTTCATCATCATATTTATTTCCTCCTTGGATAGGAGATTAGATGTTGATTACATCAAGGCAGACGCCGCATTCACCCAGGGCAGCGCCGAATTCAGTGTTTTCATCATGAATTATTAACAAATACTAAAACAAGGGGATACATCTTGAACATCATGGAGGACCACAATTGTTAAAGGGGAAGGATCATTCAAATTACAGCACACAGCCAAATGCAAATTATTAAAATCACGCGCATATCGATCCGCCGTCTCACACCTGAATCCAGATCATCATCATCTAGAAGGACATCGAGGGACTATACAAGAGCTTCATTGATCATCGATATCAAGTATAAGATTCGTCTTTTCCGAGACTTCAACACCCACTTTCTGAATATGACTTCAAAACCGTTGTTCACTTAAGCAAGCCATATATATATTTATATATATATATATATACACTATTTCTTCACCAAACTTGGCACATAGATAGATCTGGTGGTGTACTGTATGCCAGATGTCGCCTATAAGGTGCCTTTTGGTAGTTTTCGCATATAAATTAAGTTAATATACAACTCGGGATTTCTGTATAAAATATTTTGAATAGCAGCCTGTGTGTGTTTCCATGGCAACAATTTCGACTTTGACTGAAATTGGTGGTAGTGTTCATTTCAGGAGCAGAACTGTAAAACCGTTCAAATATTTTTCACCACAAATTTGTATATATATCAATCAGAACCTTAATTGGTGCCTTGGCTATTTGCAGATTTTGACATTTTATTTTTCTGGTCGGTTCCATGGAAACGATTTGGACTTAGTCTCAAAAAGTAGGGGGGGCTTCTTTTCCGAGCAAAATCGAAAACCTTTCATTATCTTTCAACAAATGTAGCAGATATATGAGACAGATCTTGAAGTGGTGCCTTTTGTTATTTCAAAGTTTTAGTATTTATATTTTTCATGATTCACATGGAAACAATTTGGACTAAGTAAAAAAAATCAAGTTGGACTATCAGTAACTGTCAGATGATTTGTTCTTTCAAATTTCTGGAGCCTGGGGGGATTTGTCATCTTTTGATGACTCTTGTTTTGATAGGTTATAGCAGTGAGTTTCACAAAAAATAGACCTGTCGTCAAACACTAAGCTGCAACTATATCTCTTCCATCCCTTTGTTTTTGTCTTGAACTTGCCCTTGCAATGGGCACAGACAGTGTCATCCATGGTTTCTTCTCTCAACTTTCAACCTTGAATACCAGTAAATAAAGTGCATATCAATGTTAATTATTAATTATCACTTTAATTTAACATGAGTTTAAACTTATACCTTCAAAAGAATAAACTTCATGCACAATTTCATATCCTTATCATTGTTAATGTTCTCAATAAACATCTAATTGCACTTTGAAAAGCAGACTTTCTAAACTAACACTTCATTGATAATTTGGAAAGCCTGCTATTTTTGCTGTCAAAAGATAAGAGGTACTGTTTGCAAATGAATTTCTTCAGTTGACCTAACAAATAAAAGCCTTCTGTCCAATGGTGTATGCACAAGAGTTTAAGTATGATATTTGGCATTGTGCTGTAATTTGAATGATCCCCTCATTCAACAATTGATTTATTGATGTATCCCCTTATTTTAGTATTTGTTTATAATTCATGATGACAAATAACACTTTTTGGCCACTTGGTTGCTAATATGGAAATGAAAAGATGATTTTGGCAAGGTTTGTAGCTGGTGCTTGAGACATAATACAACATGGAAATATTTAAAATATTATTCAAGGTCGGAGAGTTGTAAACTGAGAAATATTTAAGGTTTTTGGGTATACATGAAACTTATAGATAATTAATTCGTGAACTGATTAATTATTTAAGTCCAAAATTCAATTAGTAAACTGTGTTTTGTAGGCAAATATTCATGAGTAGTACAGAGACACCCATGGAATTGTGAAGGTGACAGCAATAATCTTATATTATATGAAGCATTGAAAACTCACCAGCAATTCCTTTAAAAACCGCTGTTGAAAAAGCAGGGGTGGTCAGTCAGTCTAGATTGGAAACGAAAATCTCCATACAATCGTTTTAATTGTCTAAAATGTATGAAAATGTGTTGTCAACAAGCAACGAGGTATGGAACACGTGTGTTACTATATTTGGGAGGGATATCCCCTTCGCGTCACAGGTCACGTGATTCAAAATGGCCCCATTCATATGTGAGCAATCGACTGAGATGTTTGATGGCTTGTAAAGATATATTTTTGGATATTTTGATAACGAAAATAGGGCGCACGTGTAGGTATAAGTCCAAACAAGTAATTCATATAAGTTTTTCGTGCACAAAAATCGTAACGAGTGCGCGAAAATGCGACAAAGGATTTCCACCATTGCGGCCTATGGAGGTGCTGCATAGCGTTCATGTCAGTGAACGCTATGTATCTTAGCTAAATATCTCAGTCCTGTCCGTGGCTAGTACATTTATCATCATTTAAAAGCTCTGCAATCAGGCAGCTGTCCATTCCGGATCTCGGCATGAAATGAGCGGCCCGAATATGTGTTTAAAACAGCAACCAGCGCTGTCTAATCTGGTGCTTGGCGAGGAGTTGGTTGAATGTATATTGTCACCAATTAATCCTGCGTTGCCGACAAAGATAATATAATCTCTGTTCAGTATGGGTATACTTGTACATGTAATTAGTGAGTTGAGAGAGAAATTGAGAGAACCACGTTATACAACAATGTATATGAGAGTGATAACACTGGTTCAGTTCTAGTCGTAGGAACCGGGGTAGAATAGGTCTTCAGCAACCCATGTGCTTGCCATAAAAAGGTGACTATCTTGTCGTAAGAGGCGACTAACGGGATCGGGTGGTCAGTTTCGCTGACTTGGTTGACACATGTCATCGGTTCCCAATTGCGCAGATCGATGCTCATGCTGTTGATCACTTGATTGTCTGGTCCAGACTCGATTATTTACAGACCGCCGCCATATAGCTGGAATATTGCTGAGTGCGGCGTAAAACTAAACTCACTCACTCACTCACTCTAGTCGTAGGTAACCGTGTCAGCTCTACAATCCGGCAGGCTGTCTAAACCGTTTAGTTTCTTCAGTCCCGATGTGTGCCGGTTTAGACAGCTTCCACTGTACATGTGAAACTTCAACCTTGAATCTCAGTCAGGTTTTTAGCAATATTCCAGCAACATCCCAGTGGGGACACCAGAAATGGGCTTTATACATTGCATGCCTGATTTCTGATCTGTTTGTTTCTTTTATTGTTTGTCTGACTAACTCTGAGTTTTTGCTAGTCAATCATACATCAAGTGCGCCATAAATACTATTTCAATTGTAAATTATTGCTAACATCAAAAAGTTCCTGAAACTATATAATGTTCTGGATTTATTAGTTATACCCTTGTGATAATGCATGGTATTGTCAGACCATCATCAAAACAACTTTATTACGACTTATTTTTTGTTATTTCTTACCAGCTGAAAATATCTGCTTCCGAATACCATCGGATTTGACATCACTGTGCCTGATTGACTTTGAGTTTGTCAGAACTCAAGAATCTCCACCCCAGTTTAAAGGTGAGAAAAACTTTCTTGACATGAATCATGAGGCCAGTGTTATACCCTTGATGGGTCCGTTCATTATCAGTCTGTAACATGTAAACAAGATATATTTTAGAAGCTGAACAAGACTTTGGATATGTTACTTACATATATACAAACATCTTATACACAATGAAGTGGTTAATACTTCCAGGGTACCATACCTCCATTACATTATTCATCATCTTCTTCATCATACTTCTCATATTCGCAGCATAGCATGATTCATTGCAGATAGACAGATTCTCTCTCTCTCACACACACACTCTCACACACACACACACACACACACACACACACACACACACACACACACACAATGTTTTAGCATAATCTTTTAATATTGTAATGTATAAAATTGCTGATACCCCCACCCACACCCCCAAGTACATGTGTGCCAGATTGATGACCCCCCAACTCTAAATTTTAAACTATCCCTTATGGGTAATTTTAAGAAATTACTCTTTTCCACTCATTCCAGGTTACACAACTCAGTTTCTACCTCCTTGGTGGGAAACAATAAAAAAGGAAGAGCTTTTCTCTCCCTTGTTGGTAACTATGGACCTATGGGCAGTGGCATGTGTGGCTATTTGCCTGCTGACCAGCAAGAGGCCCTGGTCAAAACAAGTGAAAGACTTTAAGAAACAGTGTCCAGAATGTCCAGCCAAGAGTTGTAATTGCAACCGTGTCTTGAGGCAAGTTATGAATCATGTATGTATATATCAGTTTCTAAAATCACTTTTTAGCACCTCATCTGACACGATTAGCATTTGAACGATTGTAGTTTTTGGTTCCACTCTCACTTTTATACCTTGAGAGGTATTGCTTAGGTTTTGGATGTAATGGCCTGAAAGAGGTCATAAGAGTGGTATTTTATAGCTATAGTATCAACAAAGAGAGAGGTACCTGTTGATTTCAACTTGTATGTGACGTATCGGTACTGGAATCTTTATCAATTAAGGTAATAGCACAAATACCATAAAGCTACAGCAAGAGAATAAAGATGTTGAAATCCATGTTTACCCTGTCTTCCAAATTGATGAACTTATAATGCAAACAGATCACACTGTTCTTTTTGAAAACAAATAATAAACCCAAATAAGAACAGATATGGTGATGGTATATATGTATAAGAAGAAGTTTCTGAAATAATCACACGACACGGATCTTCTCCAACATGTTTCACTTTTATCTTCAACTGTAATCACTTCTCCCTGAAGATAAAAGTGAAACATGTTGGAGAAGATCCGTGTCGTGTGATTATTTCAGAAACTTCTTCTTATATATGTACTACTGTACGCTCGGTATTCTCATCACTTTCTTTATAATATATGAACATGTTTTTGAAAAAAATGTATTAATTGCACTTGTTATAAACGCAAACAATATTACAAATGTCATGGAGCTGACATTATCTTCAGTCTCACTGAGGCTTTGAAATAGGATACCAAATGAAGAGTTTTATTTTTTCAGATAAGTACTGATGGCCACAACATTCTTAAGATTCTCGACAAAAATGTACTTGTCAAAACTAAAGAAGGGCAATTACTCAAGACTTTAGAATTCCTGACCCAGCGAGATCAAGGTGACAAGGATTGCTCCAGAGCAGAGCAGGCCCAGAAGATACTCAGTGGTATTTTCATTATAATGCAATGAATAGTTCGATCATGACTTGAAATGGCATTTCATTTAATGTTGTAAGTTTGATGATATCTTTATACCAAGCAATTAACCCATGACGATTTGGTTTAGAATTGGTCTTCACCAACCCATGCCTATCTTAAGAGGTGAATACGGGATCGGTTGGTCAGGTTTGCTGACTTTGTTGACACATGTCATTGTATCCCAATTGCGTAGATTAAAGCTCATGATGTCAATCACTGGATTGTCTGGTCAAGGCTCAATTGTTTACAAACCACTATCTTAGAGCTGGAAAATAGCTGAGTGCACTGCTAAACAGCAAACAAACATTATGTTCTATTGATTAGCCAGTCAGTGTTGCCGTCCCTGATTAAATAGAACCTAAGTACCCCCTGCTTGTCCTGAGGTTTGTTTGTTATTAAGCATCACAACAGTATTTCAGGTGTATGATTAGTCGGTAATCGATTTTGTACCAGACGATCCAGTGATTCCCATCATGCATCAACCTCCACTGTATTCTGATAAATACCTTCTAGCCATACAGACCCGTGAAGATCCGGGGTAGAATAGGTCTTCAGCAACCCATGCTTGCCACAAAAGGTGACTATGCTTGTCGTAAGAGGCGACTAAAGGGATCGGGTGGTCAGGCTCGCTGACTTGGTTGACACATGTCTTGGGTTCCCAATTGCGCAGATTAATGCTCATGCTGTTGATCACTGGGTTGTCTGGTCCAGACTCGATTATTTACAGACAGCTGTCATATAGCTGGAATATTGCTGAGTGTGGCGTAAAACTAAATTCACTCTAGCCCCACACAAGTGTAGCTTCATTCCGGAATTTTAGCAGCAATGGGGACATGGGTTTGAATCCCCACATGGGTACAATGTGTGAAGCCCATTTCTGGTGTCCCCTGCCATGATATTGCTGGAATTTTGCTAAAAGCGGCATAAAATCATACTCACTAACTCACTCATTTATCTACTCTTGAATGAGCAGAGGTTCTCACACTCATGAGTTGGATCATTCAAAACTGTGGTACATTCAAAACTGCATCTTTGCAGGTCCTCGGTATATATCTTAGAAGATTTATAAGTAAAAGACAAGTCAGGGCTGTGAAGTTGTTACCTGTAATACAATCAATCATGTATAATGCTTAGCCAAACACAGGTGATAATCCCTCCAGTGGCAATCATCAGTGTATTTTCAGGAAATAGCTATTTGTACTGGTCATTGGAATGAGACTCAATTGCGAATTGATCCTTGGGTTTTTATAAAAAAATAGAATGGAGATGTAATACACTGGATTATGGAGGAAGAGTCCCTCCATGTTTGATACAGGTAGAGGGCAGCTTTGTGGTTAAACAGTTCACCCATCACGTTGAAGACATAGGTTTGATTCCCCACATGGGCACAATGTGTGAAGCCCATTACTCGTGTTCCCTGCCATATTGCTAAAAGCTCAATACTTAACTCACTCACTCGCTATGTTTGATACTCTGTAGGGGAGGATGCAGAGGTGGAGACAGTGGAGATTGAGATTCAGTATAAAGGCAGGCTGCTCTACAAAACAGTTGTTGATAAAGGTACATCTGTTGGACAGGTGCTTCAGAAACAGGAAGTACAACGAAAGGTAATGAACTGTGCTTCACTTTTTCTTGATATTTAATGCTGGAAAATATTAATTTTTAACTAATCCTGCACTACTTACTTCCTGCACTTATTGCTTACGGTTCGAAAAGCGTGGCTTGCCAGACGATGTCAAAAAGACGTAGAACTGCAATCACTTCCTGGTCTTGGCTGCTACTCGTCTGCACATGCGTCACCGGAAGGTGACGTCAGCCACCTCAGATTATTGCTTTTCGCACGCCTCGTTAGACGTGTTGTTTGCCAGCTTTACTTGTATCCTACAGGATTATTTTTGTGAAGCTTAATAAAGACTGACTTTGTGTGTATTTTTGTTTTTGTACCTCTACGAGCAGTGTAGGTATTATCTTTCACTTTCTCTTTTTTATTCAGTAGTTCTGTGTAGTGATGTCGTTCGTTTATACACGGTCCCGTCATCACACTTTCACTTCGCCATTACAACACTTCGCCGTATATGATAAGTCGTTGTGTTTCATTTGGTTCAGGCTTATATACTATACCATATAATAGTGGTATATTTATTGTGCCTGTATTATGGTCTCTTTAACTTTCAGTTGTTTTGAGACTTTGTTCTCAACTATGCTGTTATATTCATTACTTTTGTATGTAATGTTTTTTATGTGCGTTTACTGGGTTTTCTGCTTTATTGCAGATCAATGTACAGCGCCAGTTGTATACATTGTAGGGGTGGGAAGTCTCGTAAAGACCCTCATCCCCGATGTTTGAATTGTACCACTCAATGTACCCTTGGCCATAAATGTGCCAGCTGCGCTGTTCTTTCACCCAAGAGTTTCTCCGTTTATCTCCAGGTTTCTAGGAAGCGCCTGGGACAACAGAGACGAAAGAGTATGTCTACTCTACTTCGACACCGGTCTTGACGACCACTACGTCTACATCAAGTGTTGCAGCGTCCACTGTGTCACCGAGTGCGCCTGTCACCAGCATTCAGATGATGACTTCGCCGCTTATGTCACCGGGTGTTACAGCGTTTGGCGCTTCGGCGCTTGGCGCCTAGGTGCTTGGAACTTCGTCGTCGCTTGGACCGTCGGCGCCTGGCGCTTTGGCGCTTGCCGCTCCCTCACCTCCTACACTGTTGCCGATGTTGTCTCCACAACGACTGATGGGCCAGCAGTTTGCGCCGTGTCAGCTACCCCAGGCTCCTGTGTCGCAGTCCTTTCCAGTGTTCCCGGGGCAGGCGCGTTATGCGTATCAACCACCTACAGGGTTTCCAATGCCTCAGGCATCTATGATGCAGACGCCATACGGCCACCAGCAGTTTGATGTATCCACGCTCAGCACTCTCTTGACTTTACTATCAGGTCAAGCCGGTACATCAGTGCCTATGCCGTTTATGCCACCAGCAACATCGGCGCCTCTCCCCCCTACGGCGCCTCCAGCGTCTTTGCCACCTTTGCCACCTCCGACGATTACGGCACCTCTGCCTCCTCCAGCATTGGTGCCTATCCTGTCTACTGTGTCTGCTCCTGTGCCCATGCCAACGTCTCCCATTGCTTCCACGTCTTCGGCATAGGTTAGGTCGAGACCTCGACCAAGGCGTCTTCTGCTAAGGCGTCGTCTGCATGTAGCCGTTCCCCCGCTGTTTCCTTCACCGTCCTCAGAGAGAGACTTTGCCCCAGACTATGAGGAAGACATGGGCTCTAATCACCTTGGCTTTGATCACTGGACTGGATTGCTGATCGTTTAATAGCCTCAGTCCCTTCACCGGGACCTGATGTTGCAAAGTCGCTTACTATTTGGGACTCGCCTTCCTTAATGTTGCCAACACATGAGGCGGTCAGAGAGATTCTCTCTACACTTGATGAAGATTTCGCGGGATGTCTCTCGACCCAACTATTAAAGCGCCTAGAGTCCGGCGTGATGACTATCCTATTCATGGCTTGGACTTTGCCCTGACAGTGACTAAGGTGGATGAGGAAATGAAACGTGTGACAGGCTCTTCCTCTGTCTCCTCCTATAAAGTTCAGGATACAAGGGTCGCGGCTTTGGACTTAGAACTTAATCGTATTTTCTCCGCCCTATATCGGCATTGGCGTCAGCGACTGACGCCATCACTCAGGATCTTAAGGAAATAAATCTGGATCGACTGGATCATCTCACAACTATGATGCTATGGCAGGGCAAAGTGCTCACTGACCTGCGTGAGCACCTTAGGTCGGCGCTTGCCAACGCGTGCGTAATTCGTCGGCAAGGTTACCTCTCCTTTTCTTCATGGGATTCGGAGTTTCAGCGGAAATTATTCCACCAACCCTGGTCATCGTCGTCACTGTATAACGATGCCATTCATGACGTTTATCGGCAGGTGTGTGATTTTGCCAAAGGGGAGACTGCCTTGAAAGCGTTTCAAAAGGGACAATGTCCTTCCTCCACGTCATCGAACACCTACCAGCCTTGGCGACCGTCTGTTCGGCATGCCAGAAACTCAGCGCCATCTCGTGGCAGGGGACGTGGTGCCAAGCCTAGATCAGACGGGAGGATATCAAAGTCGCCTTGCTCCCGCCCAGTGAAGTGAGGGACACGCACGACTGGACACTCCCACCTCCAGTCGTCCCAGTTTATCCTACACCGGTAGGTGGGAGAATAGGGATCTTTTGGCAAAATTGGTCCATCTTAGAGGATCCATACGTCACCGATATATTGAGGCAGGGGTTTCGGCTCCCCCTCCTCTCCGATCCACCTCTGACACTGTTCCCGCTCTGGCACAATCACTCTCAGTTTCAACACGACCTCCTAGCGGAGAACATAGCGATTTTGTTGGAGAAAAGAGCCATCGAATTACTCCCGCATCCCGTCACAACACCAGGGTTTTATTCTCCAATATTCTTAGTGCCGAAGAAAGGGTCCACGAAAATGAGGATGATTCACAATCTGTCCTATTTCAACGAGACTTTCCTGGAACGTCCTCCGCACTTCCGAATGACGTCCCTCGAATACCTCAAAATCTATGGTATCGTCAGCGCTTCGACTTCATCAGCCTGGACCTACAGGATGCATACCTCCATGTTCCAATACACCCCAGTGACAGGAAGTACCTGCGCTTTATTTTCAACAATCAACATTTCCAATGGGCTGTCCTCCCATTTGGAATTTCAACGGCCCCCTGGTTGTTCACGCTTATCACAACTCCTATTTCGCGGTATCTTCATTTGAGGGGCATCAATTTCGACCCGTACCTGGATGATTGCCTTATGCACCTGTTAGACCGTCTGCTTCTTATACAACAACGGGATTTCACCCTTCGTCTGTTACGCCAACTAGGTCAACTTGGACAAATCGGAGCTTGTCCCGACTCACACTCTTACATTCATCGGAGGTCATTTCCAGACGGACAAGAACCTAGTTCAGATTCCTCTGGACAGGTGGGACAAGATTCCTAGTCTCTGATTCCCACGTCTCTGGACCTCTGTCTCTCCGGTGGGCAAGCATTCTGGGATTGTTGACGCCGGGCGATCTTACCAGCAGAGGCGCCTTCAACTTCGGCCTCTGTCTCTTCAACGCATACTTAGGAGGGCGGACGCTCATCAACGGTTTTGCCTTCCACCTCAGTTACATCGCTATCTTCTTTGGTGGACTCGCCCATTGAACGTCTTTGACAGAGCGGCCTCCGGATTGCCAACTGTTCGCCTCCCTCCAGGGTTGGGGCGCTCACTTACACGACCAGACAGCCTCCGGCCTGTGGTCGGGTCAACACATCAACTGGCATATAAACAGTCTAGAGTAGGAGGCCGTGCTTGTCTTCTAGTGGCCACGGACAACGCCACGGTGGTATGGTACATACGGAAGCAAGGGTCGACACGCTCACAGTTTCTTCTCGATCAGACTTTTTGGCTCTTTCAACTGGTCGACGATCTCCACATTCTGTTGAGAGTTTGGCATATTCCGGGGTGCCGCAATATACTAGCAGACGCTCTGTCTAGACCCGACAGAGTTGCTCCCACGGAGTGGATGCTACACAAGGAGGCCTTCACTCTCCTAAGTCACGCACTGGGTTCTCCAAACATAGATCTGTTTGCCACCAGCCAAAACCATCAACTGCCAGTGTATGTATCCCCAGTCCCGGATCCAGCGGCTTGGGCGGTGGATGCTCTGAGCCTATCGTGGGAGGGACTTCACGCGTATGCATTTCCGCCACCAGTTCTATTACCCAAAGTTCTCGCAACAGTCAAGGAGACAACTTGCCCACGACTGATTTTGGTCGCGCCTTGGTGGCCGGCCAGGAACTGGTTTCCCGTTCTAAAAAGTCTAGTGGTAGGAGATCCCTTCCCTCTACCCACGTGGAGGAACGTTCTCGTGCACCCTCACAGCCGTCTTCCGCATCCTGCTACAGATCGGTTCAATCTGCACGCATGGACCATTTGCAGAAAGCACTGAGTGCTAAGGGGTTTTCGGCTAGAGCAGCCAGAGCCATTGCGACGGCGCACAGAACTTCTACTAGACATTTGTATGATGACAAGTGGCAGTCGTTTGAACGCTTTTGTGTTACCAGGAAGCAGGATCCGCTGAAATTGTCTCCTCAGTTCATAGCAGACTTCTTACTTTATCTCCGAACGTCCAGGCGTCTGAAGGGAGGCACCATTGCCACGTATTTGGCGGCAATTAGCTCCGTTTTAGCGGTTCCCACTGACAGAAGGATTTTCAAAATCCCAGAATTACAGGCCATGCTTCGCTCATTCAGACTTGAAGACCAGAAGTTGAAGTTTCGTCCACCGGCATGGAATCTCAACACTGTTTTAGACCATCTCTGTGGTGCACCTTATGAACCTCTTGATAACGCTTCTCTCACTGATTTATCCAGGAAGACGGCTTTTCTGTTGTCATTAGCGACTGCAGCTAGAGTGAGTGAGGTTCACGCCCTTGACGTGACTAGGGTCAAGTTTGAACGTCGTCGTCATGGTTCTGTGCACTTAGGTCTGTGTTGGGATTTCATCGCTAAAAAACAACTACCAGGTCAACCTGATCGACAGTTTTCCATGGGGCCGTTATCATCTATTGTTGGCTCTGAAGACGATGCTGAATTACTTTTATGTCCGATTCGTGCGCTAAAAACTTACATTGATCGCACCAAAGGCATCTGTGGTACAAGGAAACGGTTATTTCTTCCCCTGTCCCGGGCGTCACAGTCAGATGTCAGCAAAAACACAATTGCCTTATGGTTAAAAACAACCATTCTTCAGGCATATAAAGCGGCTGGGCTGGACCCTCCTACGTCCTCTCATCCCCACGAGATTCGAGCACTTGCTTCGACTATGGCACTTCACAGTAATTGCTGCACTGTGTCATCCATTATGCAAGGTTGTTTTGGCGGTCAGACACAGTTTTTGCCAGTCATTATTTGCGTGACATGGCTGTCAAGGACGTTAACGATGTCCACAGTTCGGACCATTGGTGGTTGCTCAGCAACCCGCCATTCCCCGAAGAAAGTGACCCTCCTGCCTTGTGTTTTCCTTCCCACGGACCACCATATGGGGAATGAGTTGTTTTTCTTCAGAAACAACTAGGTATGTCAGTTAAGGAGTTATCCTTGTTTTTTCAAGTCCATGCTTTTTACTGCATTCCTTAAGCTTCGCCAGCTTTAAAATTAGTGGTTTCTTTTCATTTAAGACGCGGTCTTATTTGCGAATTACCACTACCTGATCGTCACTCGCTAATTCGCTCTCTGTTATAGGCGCATTACCAACGCTTCCCGAGCACGGGCTGCTATTACGTAAGCGAGGCGATCCCTCAGATGACACGCCCACCTTCCAGCCTGCCGGATAAAGTGCAGGAAGTAAGTAGTGCAGGATTAGTTAAAAATTTAGTAAAATCTAAATATTTTTTATATTTGTATACTTATCCTGCACTACTTATGATAAGGGCCCACCCTGTGCTATCAGCTACCTCCCCGCTTACTCTTGCCATCTGTGGGATTTCTGGCAATAATCTGAGGTGGCTGACGTCACCTTCCGGTGACGCATACGCAGACGAGTAGCAGCCGAGACCAGGAAGTGATTGCAGTTCTACGTCTTTTTGACATCATCTGGCAAACCACGCTTTTCGAGCCGTAAGCAATAAGTGCAGGAAGTAAGTAGTGCAGGATAAGTATACAAATATAAAAAATATTTAGATTTTACTAATATTTTACAAAGTGTTAAACGTGGCCTGTAGTCTGTGAAAATACAGACTGACAAATGTTCTCTGCTAAAATCAAGATACCTGCAGTCCAATATTGGCTCCAGACTAGTTAAGTGCTACAAATGGTGTATATTCATGTTGTATATCTTTGTCATGTTAATTTTCAAATGTATTTCTATATATATACTGAGCGAAACAAATTAGGGATCACCACTTCTTCACAGATTTTCACAGTGCAAAACAAAACGACTGAGAGGGCGATGGGGTAGCCTAGTGGTTAAAGCATTTGCTCGTCACGCTGAAGACCCAGGTTCTATTCCCACATGGGTACAATGTGTGAAGCCCATTTTCTGGTGTACCTTGCCGTGATATTGCTATAATATTGCTATTAATTTTGGGGAAAATTAAGCTCACTCACTCACTCTCAAAACAAATGACCATACTGATTATGTCCATTTCTTCCAGTTGAATGATAAACTGACCCTGGCTCAGCCTCCAAGTGACCACGCAATCAACAGTAGATGCATCATCACAGTACAAAAGGGGGATTCACGTGTCAAGAAGTGGATGGAGAAACTGCACTTACTGTGACACTGATCAGCATCCCTTCCTGTAGTCACTGTTCTGTTTGTTATGGAACGCCACACCCAGCAATAGTCAAGCAATATGAGTCGGATCGGTGAATAATCAAGTCAGGACTAGAAAATCCAGTGACTGATTTCATCAAGTAATGTAATGTGCAATCATGTAAATGAGTGAGTATGGGTTTACGCCACTTTCAGCAATATTCCAGAAATAACACGGCGGGGACACCAGAAATGGGCTTCACACATTGTACTCATGTGGGGAATCGAACAGGGCCTTCTCGGCGTGACAAGCAAACACTTTAATCACAAGGCTACCCCACTGCCCTCGCAGAAAATAAAGTCCGAGAGCCTGATCAGCTGGCGGTCAGTCTGTTAGGACAAGCATAATGGTGACCTTCTGTGAGCAGTGTGACATTATACGTTGTTCACTGGTCACGAGGGGGGCATAAACATAAACAAACATCGAGGGTACATCAACCCATGGGCCCCGAGGGACCAGTGAACAACGTATTTATCTTACCGAACACCTTAATGTTAATATTGAATTGTTGGAAGCACGAGTACAAATGTTTTTGTAGCCATCTCTAGATTTTGCAGACAAGAAAAACAGATTTAGAGTTATCTCCCTTCCCTCGATTTGCATTCCCAAAACATCTCTAATTTCCGTACATCATACGTGATTCAATGTAATTTCGAGATAAAGAATTACTACCTCGAAGTACCAAATGAGTTGCCATTGACAGCGGGGTACATTGAAATGTTACTCGCTTGTAAGCGGGGTACATTGAAAATAATAGAAGAGCGCTCAGCCAATCAGAAAGCGACATTTATGAGCGAGGTATGATAATGATGAATGTTCTTCATACAAAACAGTTGACAATATTTAGCAAGTAAATACAGGTAAAACAAGCAAATTTCACTAGATGTTTTAGTAAATTTTAAATTAATAAATATGGTGAATTGTAAAGATTATGCAGTACTTAAACCTAATCATATGAAGTCATTCCTTGCTTTTATCACACGTAATACATTTTAAGCGGCCTTCACATGTCAAACTAAAGTTTGACAACACATGTTCTTTACATTTTAAAAGTTGTCAAATTCACGTTTTCTCACGTCAAACACATGTTGTCAAACTTTCGTGTCATTTTGAGCGCAATGGCTTTATCGGTGTGGTGATGTGACAATTTTGTTGACTGCGATTGGTTGTTTCTGAACAACACGAGTTTGACAACTTTTCAAACGTCAAACAAAAGTTTGATAACACCAAAGGTTTGATGGAAAAGTTGGCGAGAATAGAGACAACTCTGAAATTGCTGTTGGTGGCGTTGGTGGCGAGTTGTTGGAATGTTCACACTCTCAAAACTTTATTTTGTCGTGTGAAGGCCGCTTTACTGGTCGAACTTTTGAGATGGATGCGTGTGAAGAGATTGTGTGATTCATCATTATAAGGAAATAGAGGGGTGTGGCAAGGTGCTGTGTTAGCATGAGCACAGTGTAGCCAAAAATACACCAAACGGAAGTGGAAAAGTCTAGATGTTGATTGTCTGTCGCCCAGACCAAAGAGAATAAATTAGAATGGAGTCCCAACTAAAATCTAATTTGATTGGGCAAATTTACATTTACTCAACTCTAGTCAAGTTTGGGCTCCTTTTGCATTTTATTTATTTATATATATTTTAGGATGCTGTGTTGTTAATGCCTGAAGTACCATGCAGAAAACGTTTCACAGAAATACTGACATCTGTCCTACAGATTCTATGCATTGATACTGAAATCAGTCATTGTACTCCACTGTCTTTCAACCTAGTGATACATTGGTGTTTTCGGAGTGTTTTGAAATTTTTCATATAGTCATGTTTTGTTGAGCTAGTGCGATCTGGTAATGCGCCACAATATGATCTTAGCACTAGTGGTGTTCCGATTAATTAAAATCATCGAAGATTGGTCGCAATGATCAAATGACCAAGCAATTGATCACGTTTTCTCATAATCGAATACAAACGATTTTAGAACTACTGTTTTAGTTTTTGAAACACTTAACTGAATATTTCTTGAAGACAGGTAAGTTTATGTTCATGATATATAAGTCATCACTTTAAAGTAGCAAGTTGCATAATTTTACATTGGATGTGAAATTTGCAAATGGAACATAAAATATAAAAACGACTGATAACTACGTTTTTTTCTTTATACCTATCTGCATTGTATGAAATAAGCCAAAAACCCAGCCAGACATCTGGGCTGGTAACTTCAAAAACTTAGCCCAGAAGAGATTTAACCAGACCTTCTTAAATCCTAAATAGACAGCACCAGTGGACACGTTATCTGAAGAATTGTTTTCACACGTCCATCGGGCTGACTAGCTGTAAAATTGGACCGTCCGGCAGAAATCTAGCCCATCTCCGGCGGTCGGACAGGCCTTATTTCATACACTGCTATCTGCAATAACAACCTGGACAGGAAAGTGTGAAAAATTACGCTGACCAATTATTTTCTATGATTGCTCGTTAGTCATGAACCAATCATCAATTATGAGATTTTAACCAATTCCCAACACTACTTAGCATTAATGTGATCTTAACTCCCATGCTTTACCATAGGCTTCGATCATCGTAGTGCTAAGGTCATGTTGTGGAATAGAATCCTGAAACCAGGAAAGAAGCTTGAGTTTTCTGGGGTGAGTAAGTCTTAGTTTTAAGCGGCTTATTGCAATATTCTAGCAATATCATAGCTTGGGACACACTGGGCTTCATACATTGTCCCCATGTGGAGAAACGACCATGGGTCTTCAGTGTAGCAAGCAAACATTTTAACCACTAGGCTACCCAACCGCCTCTCTGGGGTTGGAGAATCGGAGTGAATTCTGAAAATCAGACCTCATGTTATGAAAAAAATCAACTTGGACTTAAAGTAACTCTCAGATGATTTGTTCTTTCAAATTTGTGAGGGGATTCTGATAACTCTTGTTTCATCAAGCAATGAAATATGGATGTTGGATATAAGTTTAATTATATGAAGTTCATATATCTTGAAGATCATTCAGAATTTGCCTATCTATCATGCAAAACTTAATTAAATGAAGAGTTGATAGTTATGAAACACATCAGATCTTACTGCGTTTGTGCAAAATAGCATTGCTCTGTGAGCTGGATCAAGTGTCCTGAAAAGGAGCTGATTAAAGACATTCACAAGTTTTTTTGACAGAGTATTGAAAAACCAGAGTTAGAGTATTCAGTTCAGGTTGAATGAGTTAAACAGTGTATGTTCATAAACCACTTTTACATAGCAGTATTGCCAGTATATAACATGTATTATACACAAGAATATATGAGTGTCATGCATGCATTCTGGCTTAGTACAGGGAGCTCACTCAGATTACTTGCAGTCAGGTCTAAAGTGAAGATACTTACTAGAGCATGGTAAATATAGTATTTAAACATCATGTCTGCTGGTTTATTCTTGTTCATATTGAATGGAAGTATTCTTCCAATTGACTTCCAGAAGGGCCAACAAATATTTTTGTATAGTACACTTTTATGTTTATACCAAGTACATGATCTGATACAAAATGCTTTAAAGAGTAGCCATGGTGTAGGTGCTGTTTTACACACCTTGTATATTTTTGTTTGCATTTTTGTACATATGTTGATATCATTGTACATGAACTTTCAATATTTGTGTACCATTGGAACAATAAAATTATCACATGTTTGTTATTGTGTGTTATTGCCTAATTGTGCTTGGGGATTGTATGTATATAGATGTCTTTGTTTGAATTAACTCTTTCACACACACATAATATCAAAGGTAATACTCGATCACTGGATTGTCCAGTCCTGGCTTGATTAGTTTCAGGCCACTATCAAATGGCTGGAATGTTGCTCAATGCTAGGTAAAACAAGTGAGTGAGTGAGTTGGATTTTACACTGTTTTTAGCAATATTCCAGCAATATCACGGCAGGGGACACCAGAGATACGGTTCACACATTGTACCTATGTGGGGAATCGAACCCTTAGCGTGACAACCAAACTGGGCAACCCCACTGCCCTAGGTTAAACAAGAGGTTCTGAGGTGTAAGCGCTGTAGTTTTATGCACAGCTAAGATAATTGTACTAAACCTTGTCATTTTTCTGTGACAGAGTAATAAAATTATGACATGTCAGTTATTGTGACATTTTCCGGTGGCATGGCATTTAAACTTCACATTGAAATAGCTGTATTCTAAAGTCTAAAAGCTGCATAGGATCAACATAGTATACAAGTTTAATAGTATAAAGCTACAAAATATAACAATTAATATAGACATTACCCTGTCCCCCACCGCAACGCGAAACTGGGGACTATGTATTCAGCATTCACGATTCTTTTAACGAAATATCTCATGAACTGTTTTACCCAATGTCTTCAAATTTGGTGACAGCCTACATTGGGGGATTATGCTGACACCAGTTGATTTGGGTGACCTTGACCTTATCCTAAAGACCACCACGAAACTTTGACCACTTTTCAAACCCTTGTTAACACGATATCTCATGAAACATTGCACCCAATGTCTTCAATTATGTTGACAGCCTACATTGGCGATTACGCAGACACCAGTCATTTCTTGTATGTGACCCAAAATAAAAAGTAGTAAATATGTTATAAATATTTCATTCTTCTTTATCGGCGGGGGACATTGCCATATTAGTGGCAAACACTTGATATTAAATGTTTTAAACTTGTATTACTTTTTAAACCATACATAAACTCATGATACGATTCTTGTATCTTGTCACACAAAGCTGTTAGTAAGTCTTGCTCTCACTGATCGTCGCATTTGTACTCCTGGTGGGGGCGGTGGGGTAGCCTAATGGTTAAAGCGTTGGCTCGTCACGCCGAAAACCCGGGTTCAAATCCCCACATGAGTACAATGTGTGAAGCCCATTTCTGGTGTCCCCCGCCGTGATGTTGCTGGAATATTGCTAAAAACAGTGTAAAACCCAACTCACTCACTCACTTGTTTTACCTAGCATTGAGCAACATTCCAGCCATATGATTGTGGCCTGAAACTAATCAAGCCAGGACTGGACAATCCAGTGATCGAGTATTACCTTTGATATTATGAGTGTGTAAAACCAAACTCGGTCAGTCAGTCAGTCAGTATTCCTGGTGATAGCAGATTGGATTGTTCACCCTTAGCCCTGGAGTTTGTAGTGTTCAACAAATAGAATTAAATATCAACATTCACTGAGTGGTGCCAGAGGAGCAAGTTGTTCAAAAGGACTTTAGTTCTTTAAATCGGCCCATTTCTGGTATCCATGCCCTCACTCTTTAAATCACATAGATGTATGATGTAACAGTGTGCTTCAGTTTATCTCAAGAAATTCAATCAATACAAACAATTTTGTGACTAAAAAAGCATTTATTAAAAGAAAATGTAGAAAAATATAACAAGTAAAAAAACTGAAATGAAATAACAGAAACTTTACCATTGACAGGGTATAAAATATTGCAAATGTTTACATTTTGTACAATCCACATTTTTACAGTAGGGCTGCTGGATGTGCAAGTACTTGCGTAGATGGACATGCAAATGTACTCACAAAGTTGTTAAAAGTTAAGATGCATGTTTACTTATTGCATTTGACAAGTTACAGAGAAATCCAAACCAACAATATACAGTTATGTACCTGTGAATATAGAAAACGTTCTGCCCACTTGTTACCTTCTAAATATCAGGTCAGATAACTACAATAACTCTTACACAAGCTGGTGTAGCTCTGTGTCTTACAATGATTAAAGAGGCACAAAATATTTCTCAAAAGAATATCACTCTGAAACAAACTGTGAACTGAACTGAGTTGAAACGTAAACGAACAGATACTTTAACATTTTCCATGACAAAAATAGAGAACCTTTTTTTTTAATTTTGTAAAGAATTCCAGATCAACATGAGAAAATGTGCATGCTAAGAAGCAAGGTAGTTTTGGAAAAGACAGATTATCAAAACTTATGTATAAATAAACATACAGAATACTGAATCCCAAATGGAACTTTTGTGTCATTGTTGATTGGGATACTGAGCAATATCAGAGTTGTAAAGATCATAACACGTTTGACCCACACAGGAAGATATGATAGCACTGTGGACAAGGTGTTGGCTTCATTGAGACAATCAGGGTTTGATGCCCCATATACTTATGGGTACAATGATCACATATCTCACTTACTCTGGACATCTGTATGACAGAAAGGCAACACTGTGAGAAAATAACATTTTATGACAATTTCACCAGAACTGCATGAAAATTAGAGCAGTGACATGATAAATGTGCTTTAAAAATTACAAATTTTGAGAACCAATCCAGATCACCAGGGTGATGTGTGTACGTTTTGAACCAATGGTCTGTCACCCTGTTTTATTAGATGTCATACCCTCACTGTGAATGGGGGTTGATTGAGTGGTCTGGTTTCAATGAACAGAGTGGACACTGCTACTCCAGAATGCAATCATTCTACAGCAATACAGGTATACACATACAGGTATACACATACAAATACATGGATACTATCCAGAGTGGATACTGCTTCTCAAGAATGCAATCATTCTACAGCAATACAGGTATACACATACAGGTATACACATACAAATACATGGATACTATCCAGAGTGGACTCATGAATCAAAGACTATCTTCAGCCCAAGGCAACATCAAAGCTGAGACACCACTGACGGGATTCACAAACTGTTCCCATCTGGGGATTCGAACCCCTATCTACAGCGTGATTTGCAAAATATATTCACATTTAGCATCCTGTAAACACCTGTACTCATGTAAATGGATTTCCACCCTTGAGCTCAAAGCTGCCACTTCCCATGCAACTGCACAGATACTATTTCAAAAGATACTACTTTCCATACAACTGCATAGATACCATTTCAAAAAGATGCCACTTTCCATACAACTGCATAGACACCATTTCAAAAAGATGCCACTTTCCATACAACTGCATAGACACCATTTCAAAAGATACCACTTTATAGATACCCTTATTAAAAACATACCATGACCCATGATTGACGGCATACTAACATGTACCCCACACAATGCATAGATAATAGTCATAACAGAGAATGTTTTGTTACTGTTAGAATTCCATGATATTCATTGCTACATGCAGTATAATGAACCATGTTGACAGATATAACAGTCCAAATGCGTATAATGAACTGGGGTTCTAATTAACTAAAATTAGTGCAGCCTTCACAAACTAAAGCCTCTTTATACTCTAGGTACATGCATTGTAGTTGGTTGCATGAAGTAGTAGTAGTTGGTAGATGAACTCTATACGATCATCGTAAACTTTTGTTTGCTGTAAAATGTCAGGGTGTACCAAGAAAGGTCATTAAACAGAGTATGTTCAGTACATGAAGCAGAGCAAACTAAGTACACGAAACAGCTTAACTTAAGTATGTGAAACATACAGCAACTTAAGTACACAAAGCAGAGTAAGTTAAGTACATAAAACAAGGCAACTTAAGTTCATTAAAGACAGCAACTTAAGTACATGAAACAGACACCAACTTAAGTACATGAAACAAACATCAACTTAAGTACATGAAACAGACAGCAACACAAGAACAGGAAGTGAATTTTTCAATCAAACCAGACTAAGAGTGAGGCCCCTGATTGCAGCCCACAAAGTCAGCAACCAAACCCACTCAGCCTGGTGTCCACAAAAATGGAAGTGCCAAAGTGGTCTAGATCCAGATGCCCAAATCTATGGCATCACTTTCAATGCCACTTTCTCAGATTTTCCTGTTCTTGTAGTGACAAAAATAGTAATAAAATATGCATATACATACCGTATTTGACATATTTAGTGCCCCTGTACACTTAGCTAATTAAAATGGTGCTTATCAGGATACCCTGGTGAAGTAGTGTTAATTAGGAAGAGCTTTAAAATCACAAAACTGTCAAACAATAGGTAAAAGGATCAGACATTCTTGTCAAGCGACTGGAAGCCTAGCTTGTGAAAAATTAACAGGATGTACGCCTGATAACAAAACTCCATACTTCTAGGGAGGCATTTATTGGAGAGATGGCTCTAAATATGTTAAATACGGTACATAATCATGTTAACCATAATGGTTTCAACTTGAAATGGTTTTGATTATGCACCAATATTGTAAGAAAAGAGACAGCACTAAGAAGCTATGACAAGTTGTAAATAAAATATACAACAGAATGACTACACTTTGTGTAGTCCTGCATCAGGTCAACTACCAACAGATGAGTGGCATCTGGGAGAAAACATGTAGAACCACAGAGGCAACTTTCATTTATATGGGTAAATGTCATGTTTAAAATGAAACATTAAGACTGTTTCATGAGCTGATTGTCACCAGGTGCCTTAAAATACAAAGCTGAGCAATGAGAAGCCATCACATGTCTTCCTTTGGTAGTTCAAATAAGTTCTACCCTTGGTTAATTTGCTTGTCATATGAAAATAGAATATATATACTGAAGGGGGAAAATAACTTAACACCTGTAAATGCGCATGTTACACATGTCAAAGATCAGGTTGTGTTTTGACAGTTTGACAGATGAGGGTCTCTGGGACTTCAGTCCTGCCCCAAACAGAAGCACATGTGGTACATGTATTGTCACTTCACTCAAGTTCGAAATCGAAATATGCCTCTGTTCACCCAGCAGTGAATGGGCACCTGGTATGAGATGATAATGTGACACTAGCACATGAAGTAATTTCGGTCTTAATCGCAATGTGCCTCTGTTTACACAGGAATGGGGACCGAAAAGGATGTGATAGTGACAGGAATGTTAACCTTCTAGCACCTCACAGGAAGCCAAGGTCGTATACTTCAAAGGGAGCTATATAATGTGTGAAGCCCATTTCTAGTGTCCCCGCCATGATATTGCTGGAATATTGCAAAAAGCGGAGTAAAACCAAACTCACTCACTCATTCCAAGGGAGATGAGTGAGTGAGTGAGTTTAGTTTTACGCCGCACTCAGCAATATCCCAGCTATATGGCGGCGGTCTGTAAATAATCGAGTCTGGACCAGACAATCCAGTGATCAACAGCATGAGCATCGATCTGCGCAATTGGGAACCGATGACATGTGTCAACCAAGTCAGTGAAACTGACCACTCGATCCCGTTAGTCGCCTTTTACGACAAGCATAGTCGCCTTGTATGGCAAGCACATGGGTTGCTGAAGACCTATTCTACCCCGGATCTTCACGGGTCCCAAGGGAGATGAGAATGAAAATGATTGCACATTGATCCTTTGGTAATAACCTAGCACCATGAGCATTCTAGGTGAATGGAATTTGGTACTTTGTAATGTGCTCAAAATTATTTATAGTAAAATTGTTGTTTAGCATGAAATTCACATATAATCTATGAGACTGCTTGTTTTTTAAAGCCGAACTCAGCAATGTTCCAGCCTGCTTTCAATTCAGTGAATACACCTGATGCTAACATTAAACTTGCTGACTAAACTCTATTCAAGAAAGTTTGTTGTTCAACATTGCACTCAGCAAGATTCTAGTTGTGTGATGGTCGCCTGTCAACCCCATTGATCCAGTGACTTATGACCTGTCATTAGGATTTGGTGACATAAGCCAAGTCATTGCCTATGTTCAACCAGCAGAAAATGGGTACCCAGTGGGATAAGTCATGTGACTGTTAACCTTCCAGCACCTCAGAGGCAGCTTGGGTTGTCAGGGATAATAATAATAGCACTTTGAGCAAGATATTCATCCTGGAATGGCGCTATAAAAGTGGACTATTATTATCATTATAAGTCACTGACCTCACCACCCAATCCACATGGCCACCTCTTATGACAGCACTGGTTGCTAGTGGCCTATTCTAACACTGAGACCCACAGGTAAAAAATAAGTAAACATTTCTTTGCAATATTTCAATGCATTCCCTTACTTTTCCCTATCAGTGTTATGATCAAGAAACATTATGATAATAATAATAAGTCATCTTCTATAGTGCACAGTCTTCAAACACCATGTGATTGCTCCGGTGCTTAATCAGAATCTGATTATTATTACCCAAGATAACCCAAGCTGTCTGTTAGGGGCTTGACTGAAGTCCTAGAAACTTTCAGAAGTCAAGCTGCCAAACAGTCGTTCACCCATCCAAGGATTGTCCGAGCTCGACGTTGCCTAACTTCAACTGATTCGTGACCTGAGCTCTGTGCACAGGACCACATGCCACCACAATTATACTGACGGTTGCCTTGGCAATGAAATATAACATTGGTCATTAAGATGAGTCTGTGGTTCTACATGTCGCTCCTAAGATTACTGCTAGTTGGAGGGACAAACATGGGATCTGATGGGAGCATGAATACGGAGGACACAGCACTCTGTTAGTCTGTCATGCTTGTTTATAATCTTGTCCATTGGTCTCCCATCGTAGACCTGGTCCCAGGTAAAATACATCCCTTCCTGTAAGTCAGGGTATTGATTTTTCTGAAAGGTAAAAAAACTGACTTTACAGCAGCCTGTACATTCAAAGCCTTAGCATTGAAAAAACTAAAACATTCAAATCCTTACAGTGAGTGAGTGAGTTTATTTTTACACCGCACTCAGCAATATTCCAGCTATATGGCGGGCGTCTGTAAATAATCGAGACTGAACCAGACAATCCAGTGATCAACAGCATGAGCGTAGATCTGCGCAATTGGGAACCAATGACATGTATCAACCAAGTCAGCGAGCCTGACCACCCAAAGTCGCCTCTTATGACAAGCATGGGTTACTGAAGATCAATTCTAACCCGGACCTTCCCACCTTAGAATGGCTCTAGACAGGGGGATTTGAGGTCTGAAAATGTTCAAAATTTAATATCATAATATACAGGTAGTTGTCATTGGTAAAATCAACTTAGCACTTTAGCAGGAGTGTTATGAAAACAAATTAACTTAATTAAAATATCGAGTAAAGACAAAAAGAAATATATGTAAGGCTTTGGCCTCCCATAATAAATTATGATATTGCTGAAACAATACACACCAACTGAAAAGGGTTAGTTTTATGACAAGATACGTGCTTTAGTCATTAATTAGTACAACTCACCAGCTGTTGTACAGCTGGAGTATTCATAAAGGCCCCCATGCTGATGCCACATGGAACAACAGCCGGGGGAACTCTCTGATTGCCATCCTTCTTGATGACTGCAATCACATTGTCATCTGTAACAAGAAGGAACCTGATTACTACAGTAAACAGTAACAGTGGATGAAATAAGCCAAAAACCCAGCCACACATCTGGGCTGGTAACTTCAAAAACTTACAACCAAGAAGAGATTTAATCAGTCCTTCTTAAATACTAAATAGACAGTGCCAGTGGACACGTTATCTGAATATTTTTTTTCACCCGTCCATTGGGCTGACTAGCTTCAAAATTAGACCGTCTGGCAGAAATCTAGCCCGTCTCAGGCTGTCGGATGGGCCTTATTTCATACACTGACAGTATGCATGTCATTTCAATCATATAAACAAGCATCAATATATTTCAAAACATATTGAGAAGCTACCATACCATGCACTGATTAAGGATATTATCAAAAAGGGCCAAAATTGATTACAAAACCACCTCCCCTCTATTCCAGGGATGGAAATAACCCTTTGCCTGATGTCCCAGTCCAGTGTTTTTTCTGTCAGGCAAGCAAATTTGTATATCACACTGTACCGGTGTCCAGCTGGCTTTCAATGTTAATTATGTTGTTTATTTAAAAATGCAGAAGAAAATTGGCCGGTATAGTGGAAAAATTAAAAAACCCTCTCAACTACCACTTTCTACTGAGAAAGTGTAATCCCAAATGTAACATGTGTTACATCATAAGGCCAGACCAATTGTATTTCTTGTTTTGCAGATCCACCGATCATATCTTTTCAAGAATAAGAAAAAAATAAAATAAAATCCTAATGTTTTTATTGGCCAGTAATGTAAACTTACCCAAAAAATATTTTTAGATTGTATTTTCCCCCATATACACTTCATAAATTGCCAAAAGTAAAATACTTTTAGCATTTAAAAGGAATATTACTTTGACTGGTGATTTTATTTTTATCTATGTTTCCTCCTGCCTTTAGGTTTTCTGAGAACAAAAATCTGTAAAACAAGAAATAAAATTGGTCTGGCCTAATAGGGAATCTATCTTGGTTGTAAATAATAATATTTATACCTAGTTGAGTGATAATAGTTCACTTTTAGCCAGCTCAGCAGAGTGCAAGAGGAGTTTCAGCCAATGAAAGTTAGTCTTTAAAAGTGTTTGACCACAGTTATAATGCCATTATGATAGCCCCACTCCCCTACCAGTTGAGCACATAACCAATTCGGAATACATGTACATGTACTTTGGCCTCATGAATTTAAACATGTATAAATGAACATCCTGACAGCCCCACTACTTCAGAGGTTACTATTCATCATTACTCGTCCCATGATCTTACCAAGAAGACCATCTACAGCCTGTTCTGCAGTCAGCTGGGCTGTGGGGCCTGCTGGTGTGAGGAGGCCATGAATCAGACAGGCCAGACGTCTAACGTCAGGGTCATCACTCTGTGAGATGATGGGCAGGTATTTCATGACAATGTCGGGGTTCTGCTCCAACTGAAGTACAACAATTGCAGTATTACAACAGGATCAACCATTACTCGACTAGGTCTTTGAATGGCATTTAGAAGTGATTCACAGAAGGAAGAGAGTTTTAATGGATGTCAACTTCTTTATCATGAGGAACACAACGTTTCGAAGTACATCTTTACTCCTTCATCAGGTGAAGTAAGGATATACTCCGAAACGTTGTGTTCCTCATAACAAAGAAGTTGACATCCATAAAAACTCTCTTCCTTATTACCTGACTAGATATACAAACATATGACTTAATGCTTTGCAAAAACACTTTACCCTTAAGAGTGAGTGGGTTTTACATTTCATTTAGCAATATTCTAACAACACATTGCGCCCTGACGGAAAACAAACCTGACGAAAGTTGACGCTTAAAGCACATGGCCACTTAAGGCCAAGTGAATGCCAGCAATATTCCAGCTATATCATGGTGGCCACTAGACATGTAACGATATTGACAAGTCACGATATGATATGTAGTGAAATGATAAGGGTGCAACACGATTTGCATTCTTTTCCTTTTGAGGGTGAACCACAACCCTGAATCATTTGTTTCATATCAAATACAATATAAGATATTGTAGGAGAGAAACATATCAGCTTGCTGTCACTGTGTAGATTCGGCTACTTATAGCCATCCAGACTGGAGAAACTGGGAGAACCCACATCAAGTTCCCAAATAAACTCATTGTAGGGTCTTTCAGGTTAAAGTCTACAGATACTGATGTTCAAATATCAGTCCGTCTGCCGGTCAGGAAAGTTTTCACGCCCGACTCAAAGAGAACATATCTCGGGGTGTTTGAACAGAAGTCCATTTTGAAAGCTGATAACAACAATGGAAGATGGCATATTTTCATGATTGTAACAATGGGTCACTTTACTTGCAGTTAAATGATTGAATTGTCTGACAGAAGCAGAGACAATCGGGTATTAAGATGTCTATTTAATAGATTCGAGGTTATCAGGAACCAAATGATGGATTAATATATACTAACGGACTGTGCCACCACATAGACATTGGTGGTGTTTACATGACTCCTTCTGTGGAAGCAATAGAATATCTGACTGACTTCCAGTCAAACTTACCAAGATAAGGTACTTGGACACTACATGCAGACATGGTCCACTCTGTGGGTTACATGATCTACATCGCTGAAGGTTTACTCGCTCATCACCAAGCAAGGCCTGTCCAGTAATGACGTGCAGCAGCACGACACCCACTGCCCACAGGTCGAGAGATTTAAGTAACTCAAAATCTCTGCTTTTGCAGCATCTCCTGAACCATGGAGGGAGGAAGGTGTATGTAGCTGCAAGAGACAAAGTGTTTGTTTACTGATTAGAATTATCTAGCTATTTGGTTGTGTTTCCTCAATTTGTTACAGTGCTGGTAATGATCCCATGATCTGCCTTGTTGATGTTATTTTACTATGACCATAGATGTATCTACATATTGATAATTTGCAGAAAAAACTAGACCTGTTTACCCCAAACAATGGTGGAGACGTTCACAAAGAATCTCTCCATGGTTTCTGAGCATTTATCTTTACCAGTTTAATCAGGGAGGGACCTTAGTTGACATCAACTGACCAGAGTCGTCACCCTTTCATTTTCACCCACTCCTTGTTTCTGATCAGAATCTATTATCGGTAGAGTAATTGACATATTTCTATCATGAGCATGCAGTTCAAAGCAGGCAGATATTTGTAAAACAGACAACTATCAATACTAATTTGAAGATTTATTAAGACAGTGTTTTGTATTCATTTGTGAACTAATAACTAGTTTTGTTTTATATTCGGTGTTATATTCATTTATCAGTTAAGAACTTGATATACTGCTATATGTCATTCTTCAAAATCATATATTTTCACGTAATTATAGTCTGCTTCAAAATCAGTAAGGACTATAGATGTCATTGAAGTGAACAGGTCTGTAATCATGGTAATACCTTTCATGACTAATTTTCACAAGGATTGCTTCTAGTGGTGGCCTGATTAATCGAAATAATCGAAGATTGGTCACAATAACTAAACGACCAAGCAATCAATCATGTTTTCTCATAATCGAACTCAATCACTTGCTTGCACTAACAATATTTTTCACAAGGTTGATTTTGGCTGTTACATTTCATAAGCACTACAAGCTCATTCCAAGTCATAATTGAAGTGATCTTAAAGACTTCAGGAAATTTATGTTCCTAACATACTAGTCACCCTTTAAAGATGTGCAATTTGAAAAGAACACAACTACATGTTTTTCTTTCTGTTTTTGTGTGTGCATTAACAAACAACCAGGAAAATGTTATAAATGACGCTAACCAATTATCTTCGATGATTGATGGGTTGTAATGAACCAATCATCAATTATGAGATTTTAATCAATTCCCAACACTAATAGCTTCAGCTGTAGAGCGAGAGAGCTCAATGCACACCTGTAGTTTATATAAAGTGTTGATGTTGCAGTCATGGTAAAAGGAAATGTTGATAAATATATATGTTCATCAGTCTTACCGCGCATTGGGTTTTTGTATGTAGGGTGATAGGCAGATTCCATGTCGATCAAAATGGGGTAACCCTTTTCGTTGAACACCATATTTTCATCTGGAGACAAAATAAACACTTATCAACAACTTTCATCAGGCAATATATCTACAATCAGAGCAATCACAAATACATGCACAGGCAAGCAAATTTTTCACATGATAAACACAAAAAGTTAATACTAGGACACTAGCTTCAGGCCAGCTGTGGTTATCTAACTGATATGGTTAATTTTTATTAAGCTTCACTTGTGTTTTAATTGCACTTCTACATTTTTTCACGGTAATATGACCTATAATCAAAAAATGGAAGGTGACTGATCATGACATATCTTGTACAACCAAATTCAGTCAAGTATGTCCTCTTGGTTTAAGTGATGGTTAATTTCAGCAAACTAGTCACAGTAACATTTGGCCAGTCGTGATTATGTCGCCTTTGATCTCATCAACACTGGCAGATTTGTGACTTTGTGGACTAGAGCCTTGGTTAAAGCATGTGAATCAGCACATCCCACTCCATTGTCAAAATACCACACGCCATATAGCTGAAATACCAGCCGCCATATAGCTGAAATACCAGCCGTCATATAGCTGAAATACCAGCCGCCATATAGCTGACATACCAGCCGCCATATAGCTGAAATACAGCTGAGTAGGGTTGTGCAATATTAATGGTAAACCGGTATATTCCGTTACAGTATCTCACGATATGAATATCGTGATATGGTTCAGATCATTTAATTTTGGGTCATCCAGAGTTAGCTCCCTTTGAATTATCTGCCCCTGAATCTCCTTGATCTCTGTACATCTCAATCTGTAATACTATCTCACTGGCTTCCTTTACATTCTATACATTTTGCTCATAATCATATTCTGTCATTCACCTGATGAAGGGGCAAGAAGTAGCCCAGAAACATTGTGTTGTAAATATTTAAGAAGTTGTAAATCCATACCATACATTGTTATGATACCAAAGATCTGTTCTACAGCAACCCATGCTTGTCTTAAGAGGTGACAAACAGTATCAGGGGGTCAGGCTTGCTGGTTGACACATGTCATTGTATCCTAATTCTGATGATGTCGATCACTGGATTGTGTGGTCCACACTTGAGTATAATTACAGACCACCATCACATAGCTGGTATATTGCCTAGTGCAGGTTAAAGTGATACTGAATCAGTCAGGTCTGATATAGGAACAACAGGAGCAACCCCAGGTTATAGCTGGCCCTTATAACATGTACTGCAAACTAGGGACCTATTTTCCTTTCCGAATGTTCAGTTCCTGGAGTCCAAGGAATGTGCTATAAATGTCTCAGCCTTTGTCACCAATACAAGTTATCAGATAACTGACCTTTTCTTTTACTTACTCTGATGTGAATGAACCTTTGAATGTAAATTCACAGTGCTGTCAGAAACGCCTCCACTCCATATCAAGATTGGAGGTCTGCCAATTCATGCTGGGTTTACTGTTTACCGACATGAATTCACAGTTTATACAGCTTTTCAATATTTAGTGAGTGAGTGAGTGAGTGATTTATTTAGTTTTATGCTGCCTTTTCCAATATTTCAGCAATATCATGGTGGGGAGCACCAGAAATGCGTTTCACACATTGTACCCATGAGGAATTGAACCTGGATCTGCGGCGTGATGAGTGAATGCTTAAACCACTAGGCTACCCCACGGCCCTGTTCAAAGATGTACATTCATGTCCACATTCTGTTGTAATGTTTAATACAGTGCATATAGAGTCCCAGTAAAATGTATTAAACACTTGACAAGAGAAAAACTCTACTTACATTTAATATCCCCATGGACAATGTCTTTCGAGTGAAGATAGAGAACATTAATGAGGATGTTCATTGCAAGTCTCCACTTTGCTGAAATGTCCAAAGAACGGAACAGAGAAGACGGTTCAAGGGTACCACCTAAAACACATAAACATCGCTTTGGGTCAACAAATGTCTGTCTAACATGGAAAATGCATGAAGTTAGTACTATGAGAGATATGTAGATTTTAATCAACATTTTACAGCTACATCTTAATGTTTCACCTGATAAAACAAAATTTGAAACCTAAATATGTTGTGTCTCTTTGAACTACCAATATCCAAATACTTATCAATTTAAAGACCTCAAGATTAATTCAGATTATGTTCATGAAGATTGATACAGCAAATATGAAACTAAACTCATGAAACTCATTACATATCAATATATGCAAACAAATCTAATCAATTTCATAAGTAGGCATTGCTAGATATCAAATACTGGTAATACAAAGTAAATTGGACATACAGTGTGTATATATAAAATTCAAAATATCGACAGCAGTTTACACAAGTAACCTTTCAGATTCAACAACAATTTTTTTTCTAAAATTGTGAAATTGTTGTGGGAGTATGCAAAAGTCAGCAGGCATTGCTGGGCCCACAATAGAACCTAATTCTCTGCTCTAACTTACTTTCATTACTCTGGAACATTTGTCTAAAAATATAAAAATCTGAAAACCATAAAATGCAAAAGGGAAGGGTCATACAATATAACACATATACTGAGTCCAAAAAGAAACTTCACAAAATGTAATTTGAAAAATAATGAATAATTTTTCTCTGATGATATATCTATGTATCTGAAATGGGATCCCTATCTTTCGACTCTAGAAAAACGTTAGCAAAACCCACTCAAACCCAACCATTCGTCGTGCAAATGACGTTAGTGCCAAATCAGATTTTGCATGTGCAGTCGATCACGTGATCTTCGCATCGAAGTTTTCTTCCTATGCATGTGTTTGCATTGGCCTCAAGAATTGAAAAAAAACACTTTTAAACCACAGTTCTAATGGTACTTGAAATGCCACGATTGTCAAATGTGTAACGTGAACGTGCCGTTAGCATGTTGCAAGCGAGAAGATCAGTTATTGACGTCGCAAGAGCAATGGGATGCAGCCGTTGTACTGTGTATGACTTGCGAGGTCGTCAAACTGGCACCACTTCTGATCGCCCAAGGTCGGGTCGTCCACGTGTGACGTCACGAGCAGAAGACCGTCAAATCGTCCTACGTCACCTACGTGACAGATTTCTGCCGGCTACACGAATCAGGGATGAGATGTTTAGAGGTCGACTGCCCTCACAGACCATTCAAATCCGTTATGGGGCTGCCAATCTCCATTCTCGGCGTCCACATTGTGGGCCAAATATTGACGCCGTTTCATCAACGTCAACGTCTGCTGTGGGCCCAACGTCACCTCCGATGGACCCAGAGAGACTGGAATCGAGTCGTCTTTAGCGATGAATCCAGGTTTACCCTCAGATTCCCGGACGGCAGGCATAGAGTCTGGAGATGACGTCGTGAACGGTATGCCCAATGTTGTGTACGGAAAGTCGACAGATTCGGGGGCGGAAGCTGCATGGTGTGGGGTGCTTTCTGTGGGAACAGCCGTTCCCGACTTCTGGTCATCCGTGGAAACCTCACAGCAGCTGCTTACCACGACCAGGTGCTCACCCCTGAACTCGTTCCTTTCATGGCGGCTCTTGGCCCAGGTCTACAGTTCCAGCATTATAATGCTCGGCCGCATACCGCGATGTTGACACGAAATTTCCTTCAAAACGCTGGAATCAACGTCATGGACTGGCCATCGAGGTCCCCTGACCTTAATCCAATAGAGCAAGTTTGGGATGCACTTGGGAGAAGGCCTCATGGTCTTAGGAACCAACCTCAGAATTTGCAGGAACTTGGCGCTGCCTTGCAAAAGCAATGGCGCAGAATCCCCAACCACGTGTTCACAAGCATCAGGTAGTCAATGAGGAGACGGTGTTTGGCAGTGGTGAATGCGCGGGGCGGCCATACACGATATTGAACTGAGAAATTTTGCTTTTTTATTCTTGTGACTTGACATTCTGTATACCCATGTTTTGAACGGCGGTGTAGCCTAATGGAACTGATTATGGCACTGTCAGTGTATCGAGTACATCACACAGATCTCAGCAATGAAATAATAACAATTTCACCATCTTACCATCTCTTGTTCTTTTATAGTGCCCTGAAGAAAGAATGTGAAGTTTCTTTTTTGACTCAGTATATATTGGGAGAGTCACATTATCATAAAATAGATAGCAGCTTGACTCCTGAGAGTTTCTTACCTCCGTTCACCAAGCAGAAAATTGGTACCCATGGGATAAGTCATGTGTGAGTGAGTGAGTGAGTGAGCGAATGAGTGAGCATACCTGGTGTGGAGTTTGGTGCTATATAAATGGGCACATTATGTTTTATTATTACTACTATTTTTTGTATTTTGGGGAGGATCATGAAAAAAATGTTCACCGACACAGCAAGGGTCATAAAAAATTTACCAAACATTAGTGGAAGGCTTTTATTTTCAACCAATCAGACAGAAAGAGACACACAGGTGTGCATATACACTGTGCCCTAAAACTGCCCTTCAAAAATCAATAAAAATGTCAATGAACTGCAAAATGTTGAGCTCATGAAACACTGAATGATATACCAACCAGGATAAAATTCCATGAAGATTTCTCCAAAGTATTTGGTATTAATCTTGCGCTTGATAATACCAAAGATCCTGCCAAGTCCAGGGCAGTCGTCCTGGTGATCCACAACCAAAGACACTTGATGTGGTCTAGACAGCCTCATTGCTGTCTTCCCGAATGGCAGCTCTGTTGGTTCAATGGAGGCCTGAAATGTACCAAAATATAGTCCAACAGGATAGATATAACGTTATCGTTCAGTTCCAATAAATATGCCTTATATCGAACAAATTATATATACATATCCATTTTCTGTCAACTACACTTCGTTTATGGGAATTCTAAAAAGTTGTGGAATTTACTTCCTAACAAACATGGCACATTGTGTTTTTGAAGTCAAATAATTGATTAAAAAAACCAAGCCAATTTAGTATAAGTATATTGGAGTAACGGTAAAGGTAAATTGGAGTAAAGGTAAAGGTATATTGGAGTAAAGGTAAAGGTATACTGGAGTAAAGGTGAAGGTATATTGGAGTAAAGGTAAAGGTATATTGGAGTAAAGGTGAAGGTATATTCAAGTAAAGGTAAAGGTATATTGTAGTACAGGTAAAGGTATATTGGAGTAAAGGTAAAGGTATATTGGAGTAAAGGTGAAATATAAACGGTCAAAACTTATAATGGCTGGGCTCAGGAAAGTTGACTTTCTCGGTTATCAGAAAGGTAAAGCTCAGGTGCTTCTTGACAGTTTCCTTAAGCAGAAGAATGTGACTAGAGGTGAATCAGTCTATTGGAAGTATGTAATTAAGACATGCCGTGGCAAGTGCACGACTGTTGGAGATTACGTGAAGTGAGGAATACCTCCAAGTACTGTCATCCCTCATCAGAGGAAATATCAGTAAAGTTTGTCAGCAATGTTTTTTGCAGGCTATTTTTTGTACATCAAATGTCTCCTCACACACCCCAGCCCCCACCTTCCCCTCTAAAAAAGGAAAGAAAGAGGAAGAAAAGTTAATACACGGATCAGATTGAACACTGAGGATGAAAGTGACACTAAATATAAAAGCCTATCTGTAGATGAACTATCTATACATCTATATATTCTAAGCAGCAAAAGAAACGTCAGTTTCCTTCGCAGAAACGGATAACTGTAAACTCATTCAAATTTTTGATTGTATACTTTTTACTTTACCTGAGCGAAGACATTCCTTCCCAAACTCAGAATTGAACCCAGGAAATGGTCTCAAAAACGCAACCTGATCTGGGAGATGGTACAGTGTTCTCCATGTTTTCATGCAACTCATGCTGCACGTGCTGTTCACAAGGACCAGCCCTATAAAATGCACCCCCAAACCTGGTTGAAACATTCACATTACAATGTCAGCAGGATGCCGCGACTCATGACAGCTGAGAGGAACCAGGTGCTAGGAAGACTTGAAGCTGGCCACACTGCACAAGCCGTTGCCAATCACTTCCCCGGTCAACATTCGGATCATCTACAGGCTGCAGCAACGTTTCCGGGCCACCAACACCACAAATGATGGCCCCCGTACTGGCAGACCAAGGGTGACCACAAGATGACAAGACCGCCATGTTGTGCGACAGCATGTACAGAATCCTTTCATGCAGGCATCCGAACCAGCACGCCAGACAGTGGTAACACACAGAAGACTAATCAGTACTAATACAGTATGTCGACGTCGTAACAGCGGGAACCTCCATTGCCGTAGACCTTACCGTGGACCTATCCTCACCCATAGTCATCGGCATGAATGTCTCCAGTTTGCCCTATAACACCAAAACTGGCAATGAAGAACTGTTCAGTTCACCGGAACAAAATTTTCCAGCATGATAACGCCCGGGCCCATACTGTCAGAGCTACACGGGACTTCCTACAGCAGAATGGTGTCAACATTATGCAGTGGCCAGGCCTTAGTCCTGATTTAAACCCAATTGAACATCTTTGGGATGATATTCAGAGGAGACTGAATAATGTCATACCAAGGCCGAACACAGCCGACTTATTGCGCCAGGCCTTTCTCAGAGTGTGGTTCAAGGTACCAATGGCCTTCATCAATCGATTGGTGCACACCATGCATAAACGCTGTGCTGCAGTTATTGCTGCTTGTGGTGGTCACACTAGATACTGAAGTCAAGAGTCTGAATGGACTGCAAACATTAACGTAATGTCTTGGATTTGTGCTGAGTTATTCATTGATGTGTCAAGAAATTGTACACATAAAATGTTTTTGATCCGCTTATTATGTCTATTTCTGTAATGATTTGATTACAGTGCCTATCTTATTTTGAATTTGTACTGATGGTTTTTTTTGCTGCTGAGTATTTATAGATATATCTTTATATATTATCCATAATATTTTGTATTTGCATGTAATGTGAGCATGAAAGATGTATGTAAATGAGTAGCAGATAAATAAATAAATAATATTTGTTTGTTTTCTGTTGGGCAATCCAGTATGCAGATGCAGATGACAGCATGTAGTTAATCTGTGCTCTGGGCCATAACATGTATTGTTTTAAGCTGTAGTTCTTATGGTTTACTCCCAAAAGTCAGATGTCCCAATTGTCAGACAAATCAATCAGGCGTGACTGTGATTACAACCTAGTCTTACCTACTAATATAATGAACCTGTCCCATACACTAACGAGATGGTTTTCACATTTGTACAGAAATACTTTGATCAGAATACTATTGTTGACTGGCTTACTCAATCACTGGCTTCTCCTCCAATGTGTTTTCACAATGTTCAGAATTATCTTTTTATGTTTTTGAGTTTTCATTAACCTAATGGAGTAACTTCATTCCTAACATTCTTTATCCTACATAAACAATATAAAATATAGAAAGAAGTACAGGGTGTAGGGTTAAAATTCAATTATAACTGGCAAATAATAGGAAAACATTAGCCACTCTACTAAATTCAACAAACACTAAATACAAAATGTAAAAATCATCACCAAACACGCCAAATTGATGTTGCCATAACCAGACTAAGATATGCAAATTGCAATCTTAATCACAATGTTCATCATTAGTACTTAATAAATAACGCAACATAATCACAAAGTAAAATCAAATTAAACAGGTTTCTGTCCTCAACAATAACAATAACCATTTATTATACTACATCTATATTAAATTCCAAATCTCTATTACTCTTTACCTATTTCATATATTTTACCTTATTTACCTTAGTTGTGCGTGCAACGCTAAATAAAGCAAATAAGAGAGTAGAATACGTGAAGTCAAAGAACGGTACTCCTCAGGTATTCCTTCAAGGTCACACACAGGGGGCTTGTTATGCTAAAAACTGCCATCAAGGTATATATTGTCACTGACGGGGTCTTTGTACTATATAAAAGGATATATAGTACTAAGACCCGTCAGTGACAATATATACCTTGATGGCAGTTTTTAGCGTTACAAGCCCCTGTGATAAAGTCATTATAAAGTCATCATTTAAATTATCTTGTTGAATTAACTTATTTTGTTTTATGTCAAATAAAGTCATTGTCATTATCCATAATCTCGTCTCTTTGTGTTTGGATTAGTACATTTGGACTAGTCCATTAATTAACGAAGGTAACAGTGTAGTGAACCTCAGTGCAACCACCCATAACCTTTGTTGTTTTAACGGGTCTAACTTTTGGGACGTCTAACTTTTGGGAGGACACCGTTCTTATGGGATGTAGTTCTTATGTGAGGACACCTTTGATAGTAACCAACAAGGAAAATGGCAGACATCAGAAACAGTTATGTCGGTCTAAGCCTTGCTAAAATTTGCAAGAACATCTTGGATTTTGTACCAAACAACAACTGGCAAAACAAAAACAAAACTGTCCTAAAATAATTTAGATATGAATAACGCCATTATGTAGATTACATACACATATAAAGGCCAGTTTTAGCCAATTTCGTAAAGATGTGTTAAGTCTCCTATCTGGATTCCTTAATCACATTGTTCATCAATTTGGTCCTCAAACTAAAATGTCATGCTTCCTATTGTTGTTTATCAATGTGAAAAGTCAGTTAGAATAAGAAATATATGAGATGAATAAACATGTTAATAATTGAGTCACATGCATGATGTGGTCACATGACTTAATCCTAGATGTCTGAGAGTTGAAATATGTGTAATGAACTAAAATCAGCAATCCCTTTGATTTCGTTACAACCATAGTTTTCGTATATCTTATGCAAGTACACATTGTAGATAAGCGTTCACAGAGGTAATGGGCATAGCTAAACATATCATGAACTCAAACTAAGGTTACATTTCATCAACACAATCCAACCAGTCCACACCTCATCCAATAAATTCACACACAATGACTTTCTCACCAGTTTTGTGACAAACTTCCTGTCTGTCATCTTATCCATCCAGAGGGTGACATGTTTACCAGGTTGAAACTCCATTACAAAGACGTAATCATCCCCACGCCTGAACCTGGATCTTCCAAAGAAACCTTCAGCCTGAAACAGAATGATTGTAGATAAGTGTTTGGGATATTAAAATATTGACCTACTAATGCAAGACTTAAACTACCCATGTCTTTGGCAAAACAACTCGCATAAACATTGTTGGTAGTGAGCCTTGACCATGAAACATCTGTACGAGCAAATCCCACCCAAATCAGTTTGCATCATATCAGCCCTATTTGTGTGGCATGCATGCGTGTGTTCGGGCTCGCTCACACACGCACTGCATGCCCATGTGCATATACAGTGGAATCTGTAAAATCTGGACTCTTTGTAAACCAGTTTTCTCCATAATCTCCATACTCTCTGAGTCCTGGCAAAATTGTTCTTAATTTATCATTAAAGCTTGCTTTATAATCCGGACTCTCTCCGGACTAAAGTAACAGTCACGACAATCAATTTGCCATGAGAACAATGCTTTGTAATCCGGATGTAGCTGACTAAAATAACAGTCTGTTGAATAAACATCTCCATTACTTCTGTTGGGGTCCTAATTGCAACCAACACAGACCACAAGACAACTGGCAGTTATCGTTCTAATAAAAAATTTACTGACCCCTAATGTGGGAACCTGTGTTTGTTTTCTTTTTTATATCAGATACTACCGGTATATTGTTCCAATCACTGCATCAGAATTCATCTCGTTATATTACTGGGTATGTTTTAACTAAATCACCTGTAGGTTGCAGGGAAATGTGTGCACAGCTGATTTCCTGCTCTGTATACGAGACAAATGCACACGGTAATCTTAATCTCTCCATACAAGACAATGTCTAGGAAAAACAAATTAGAAATGAAAAGGTAAATAATCTTGTCTAGTGATGTCTAAGTGCAAATTTGACATCTTTACAGACAAAGTCATCATCTCTTGTTTGTTCACGCGACGCAATGTCGTTTTCTTACCCTCTGAAAAAAAGTTAGACGAAAGTGTAACCAGTAGATAAGCCGACCCCTTCTACAGACTGCTTTTTTTGGTCCTCAAAATTCGGCTTATCAACAGTAACATATGGTAACTCGTCATGGCAGTGTCTACAGTAACGGACAATAGTTGTCTAATTGGACTGCTTTATAATCCGGACAAATAAGTCGGTCCCAGGCCAGTCCGTAATAGGCTGACTCAACTCTATAGCCAAACCAAAACAATATGAATTTCAGTTGGTCTGAGTGACAGTGTTTCAGGTCAGACTTGCAATCATCTGTTTGCATCAAAACCGCAAAAAACATCTATAATCCATTCATATTTCACACACTGCCTCTTTATCATGTCAATGATAATGATATCATATTTCCATGAGAACTTATCATGATGAAATATTCTGAATTTCAAATTTCATTAGAATCAAATGTTTATCTGAATGTCAATGAAACTTACTTCACTCAGGAAGATCCCAGAATCCTCTTCTGCTGTTTCAATATGGTGCAGGAAGTCATAAACATCTTTCTTGGAGCCATACTTTATTCTTGTGAAGCGTTGAGTTTGAGCAAGGTTGGTGAGGTGGTCCAACCGTTGTTGAATACTGGTAGACGATACACTGGGGCTCTGATTCCTCTGCCCACCATCAAGAGGCAGATTAGCACCTCCTGGTGTTGGGAATCGTTTGTTGATATCACCATGTCTAATGGCTACAAGGCTTGTGTTTTGAGCTTCTCTCAATGATGGTGGATAGTGTGGCTGCTGCTGGCTGGTGCCAGGGACATTGCTGCCAACACCACTGTCAATGTTGTGGCTTGTGCCATCAACTTCAACATCTTTGAAGCCAAGACTGCCATCAAACATGCCTTGATCTGAAAACAAGAAGAGGATACACAGATACATGATATACGACTTAAACCAGTGACGAAAATGCATAACTGTTAAAGGGGCTGAGCTAATTGGAATTCCTAGCAACATATAACATTTCAAATTAATACGATAAGTCACGCACCACTGATTATTACTCAGTGGTGCCATAACAGTGGTCATCCTTAGCTTGAACTGGTCCGAGACAGTGTTGCCTCAACTAGTATGCATATATGTTACAGCCAATGTGTAAAATCAGGCTATTTTCAGATTGCCTGAATTTTTCAGACAATTTACAAATTGACTGAAAAATTAGTCGATTTATTTGACAGACTGACTGAAACATGTTTCAATATGTATTATTAGTGCATACAAACTTTTACAGAAAACCTAAGACACAGACACTCAAGGGACATCTTTATTGACATATAACAAATTATTTCAAAATCTAAAAAAAACATTGGGTGACAGTGTTCGCACAAGTGAGGATTTTTTTGGCACCTGGTGTTGCATTTGACTCCAGCTTTATAGCACTTGCATTTGTTGATTGCACACTGCTTGCCACTCTTAGAACAGCTGCATTTGGTGAAACCCTGCCCAGATATTGATTCTCCTTGAACAGCCTGTCGTAGACCAATTTCCTTCTCACGAGAGATGTCATCCATGGTATATTTTACACAGAGATCGAACTGATTGCAGCTATAGGCCTATAACCTCCCTTCAGCACACCAGTCCCGTGAAGATCCGGGTCAGAATTGGTCTTCAGTAACCCATGCTTGTTGTAAGAGGCGACCAACAGGATGGGGTGGTGAGGCTTGCTGACTTGGTTGACACATGTCATCGTATCCGAATTGCGTAGTTCGATACTAATGCTGTTGATCACTGGATTGTCTGGTCCAGATTGATTATTTGCAGACTGCCGCCATATAGCTGGAACACTGTGCTTGTGCTGGGAGCGACATAAAACTAAACTCACTCACTCACTTCAGCACACCAGCATGGACTCCAATTTGGTAGAGGTCATCATCACCGCTGTCCACAAAAAAACCCCATGGTGTTGCGCGGATCCCGTCTACCTCGATCAACCAAGAGGATTGGTATGGTGACGTTGTCCCAGAATTCCCAGCAAGATGTTCAAGGCAACATTTTACCATATTCTATATCTGCCTGAGCCAACTGACCTTCAGCAGCATGCTTGTGGTTGACATGAATTTTGTTGTGCAACTCGTCCAGAGCTTGTGCTGACTCACAATGGATGAGGATGATAAAAATGACTTAATTAACCTATTGTTTCACTTCATACAACCTAAAACCATTGAAACTGACTTTCAGTCAATCTGTCAAATAAATCAACTAATTTTTCAGGCAATTTACAAATTGCCTGACTTTACAAGCTGACTGTAACATACTGTAACATGCATATATTCAATGTACATGTATTTCAATCTCGAATCACAAGATATCTCAAACCTGTCTTGATGGTCCCTTGGGGTTCGAGATCCAGGGAGTTTACTGTATATAAATCAAATATTGCATATGCTATTTAAGCTGCCCCGTCCAACTGCTGTAGGCAATCTTTACACATGTCCAGTTATAAGCCAGACATTTTACATGTCTGTATTTTCTAGTGTATATTATAATCCTCTATTTAAGTCAACACAACAGTGTAAAGGGTACATAACAGCATGGTAACTTTTTATGAAATAGTATTAATCTCCTTGATGTTTGGCCTAGGTCTGCTGTCTGTACTGGAGCTATATGCATCCTGTTATTAGCATGTACATGGCCAGCTAAATCCTCTCAATGCTGTTGTTGAACCCATTCAACAGGAGAGCACAGCGTTCGAAATAATGGCCGACCGAGTGGACCAGCGCTGGTTGTTGTTGTATCGGGCCAGCAGTTTCAAATATCTACAGGCCCTTGTGGCCTTCAGTAAATTATCTGTCTTTTTGTCAACTCAAATCTTTCACTTGGTTTTTATTTGTTTTCTTTACTAACGTTCAGGAATCATCCAAGATCCATCATGTTACGCTAACTTATAGTTTCACTTCCTGGTATTTCAGCGCTTTGGGCATAGAGAGTGTCAACACCAGTCTTTAACAATCAAAAACGTCTCTCTGCATCATAGACTTCGCTACATGTAATGGATTTGTAGAAACAGCGTGAAACTGTGTACAGTGTAGTCTATGGTTTTTTAACAAAATGGGCCTGCAGATTTCATTCAGGGCATGTATGCATGTATGCATGCGTGCGTGCGTGCGTGTGTGTAAGGAAGGTGGGGATGAGGTGGGGAAGGAAGAGATGGTGTCTGTGCATGCTACTGAACACATGATCTATCAAGAATAACATCATTTTATCACTGGTCCATCTGAGCTAAGTGACAACCTATGCCTAGGTTTACCTCCCACACACCTGTAAAGATCCGGGTTAGAATTGATCTTCAGTAACCCATGCTTGTCGTAAGAGGCAACTAACGGGATCGGGTGGTCAGGCTCGCTGACTTGGCTGCTACATGTCATCGTATCTCAATTGTGTAGACTGATACTCATGCTGTTGATCACTGGATTGTCTGGTCCAGACTCCAATATTTACAGCCATATAGCTGGAATATTGTTGAGTATGGCGTAAAACTAAGCTCACTCACTCATTCACAATCCTGCCATCAAAAGCAGTCATGCCTTGAACATTGAAATGACTAGTGTTTAAATCAACTTGATGTACCTACCATCAGGTCCTCTAAAATCAAGACTGCTGCTGGAACTTGTCTCCTGACCTTCCATTCTTTGTCCTCCAAAATCAAGACTGCTGCTGGAACTTGTCTCCTGTCCTTCCATTCTTTGCTCATGACCAGCCATGGATGAGAATTTCGCTGTAGACAAACTGTATTCTTGGATGTGTTTTAGTTGTAAATCCGAGGGCTCCTCTTTCATACTGAGAATATCAGAGTCCTCACTCTGAAACTGAAAATACCTTACCAGTTTCACTGAACCAAATAATCATTTTTCTACTGAAAATGGAGAAATAATTATAGCAGGAAATAGTGATAGTGAATGTAAACTGAAGGCCAAACAGTTTTATTGTTTATTGACCAGAATAATGTTGTTGTGCAGAGAACAGATAGAACTGCCCATAAATTGTGAATATGTTATTATTTAGCCCCAGTCTACATGCAACAGTTTGTAAAATAAGTAATCTTGGCTGTTGAAAATTATCTGTAAATCTACACAAAATATATGCATGTATTTAGTGAGGACTACAGATAAAAACTGAAACACTTGATGAAACCCCTACCATGTTTGAAATGTAAACTTGTGCTGAAAAAGTAAATGTATTGATTTACAAAGATGTCTAAGATATTCATCAGCAATTGTGTATTATTTAAGTGTTGTTGACCTTTGCAATTTTAAAAAGTTTCAAATCAAATTCTATTTTACAACATATGAGTATAATACATGTATAAGTATTTTTGATTGCTTTCTAAGCACTAGTAATACAGTTCATTTTCTGGCCGCAACATTGCAAACATAATTTCAACTGAATGCTGAGATAGAAATGCATTTTTTGGAAGGGTGCCATTTAAAGGAACCAGACAGACAGTTTACATGCGCCTTTGTGAAAATAAGAGTGCCCATACCTTTTGATTATCCAATTAAACTTCAAACATCACAAGAATTATATGTCATTTCAATTTATTGGGTTTTTTAAAATCCATCAGTAAACATCATGTAAACCAGGACCAGTAAACATGGTAAACTTAAGAGCTGGATTTCCTGAACACTATCATGACAGCAAGAATTTCTGGATATTCCTGGACCCATAAACAAAGCCATAACTATGTTATCATCCAAAATAGCACTGGCATTCAAAATGACCACACCCACATTTGACAGGGTGGGAAAATAGGTTTCGAATAATTTCAAATGGTCAAAGTTATCATATTTTCCATTGAATGAATCATGGTGAGTATTATTTTCATGATTTTAGTCATATGGGCAGGACACATTAAAAATATTTCATCTGTGCCATTAGCACTATTCTCTGGAATGCAAGATATAGATAATCTTTGAGGTAGTTTCTTTTGTACTTTAGTCTTTTTTATTCTTGCTGTCAGGCCCGGAGAGTGGAAGGTCGCGGGTTCGATCCCCAACCGCGTCATACCAAAAGACGTTAAAATATGGTACTTGTTGGTCCCTGCCTGGCGCCCGGCATTAATGGGTACAACAAGGACTGGTCGGCTCGGAGTCAGTATTATGTGTCTGAGTTCATGTTTCACTGCGGCATGGTATCTCAGTGGGCTAGCACTATAAAATCAACTTCAGTCTGTGCTAGTACAAGCAGCCACACATACGCATACACACGCATGCACGTCGTCATATGAGCAAAATATTCTCAAGCACGACGTTAAACCCAATTTCACCTCACCTCATGCTGTCAGGTATGTCTTGCTAAACTAATGACTATAACTTTACAAGAAGAGTGAGTGAGTTTAGTTTTATGACGATATTCCAGCAATATCAACTGGACTTAACACATTGTGCCCATGTGGGGAATCGAACCGGGTTTTCAGCGTGAAACCACTAGGCTACAAGAAGATACATAAATCATACTTGTGTGACTAATCACCATGATCACTGTTAGTGTAGAAGTACCTTTCTGTCAAAGAAGCTTTAATTTTATCCTGGTTATGGGCCAAACAAAGTAACGTAATAATACTACTAATAATTTAATAATGGATTTCTATGGCACCTGGTTTCAGGCACATAAGCAAGTAAGTCACATTGCATCATATATTTTTACCTGCATTGAACAATACAGCTAGGAATTAAAATGACCAATATTCACATTGTTGTGAAATAATGTTTGTAAAATAGATATTAAGTCATTAATGGATAGTCGATAAATACAGTGAATGGCAACTCAGTTTCAAATCAATACTCAAATACTAAATCAACAAATATGTGGGAAATGGAGCTTTGCTGTTGTATACAATTCTGAGGTTAACCGCAGTATAAGAACTTTCTCGAAACGCTGTGATCAAGGACTGCTTGAAACCAGTTCAGGCATTGTTGAAACAACCCAGTTCGTTCCTTTGACGTCGTCGTGTCTATAATCACGATAACCTCATGTCATCTTGTCATATTGTTTTATTCACATCACTCGTCGGTTTGAGTGGTAAATCATTCAAAGGATCAAACAGGTTCGACCTAAAATGAGCACCAAATGATTGAAGAATAATAACTAAATATAGAAAATGAGTAATGGCATTGGCAGGATATTTCGTCAGTAAACGTCTATCTCTCTTTCACAAAAAATGAACACGTTCTAGAGGAAATGACACTTCAGTAGATATATCTACCTGTCTCAGAATGAGTTCACAAGAATCCAGCCCGATCCATTATGTACATCGGTAGATTAATGATTAATCCCTGAGCTAGCAAGACCTTCTGCTTTTAGGCTGCATGTACGCAGCAAAAAGGGGGATCTCCCTAATTATGCAGTGAACCCATAATTTGGATTTGACGAAAAATGATCGTATTTTCTAAACATCATGTCTTTTGTAAAAGTTCGTGAAATTTTAATACGCACTTCATAATTCGTCATGTTTGTGTAAGTCGATCGCAATATGAATACTATATTTAGCTGGTTTTTCCAACTGGGCTCCTGTCTACTGATGTTTCCGATGGCTGCTGCGCTATATGCTTCAGTGTCGAAGCGCAAAAGCAGCCGGGAACCAGATTAATGGGCCCCACAGTGGTTCGAATCACTGTTTGGACAATAATTTTTAAAAATAAAAAAACTAGAATTTTGCAATCGAATATTGTTTTTATATGTTATGATTAACATAAAGTTCATATTTAAATGAAAAAGATGAAGAAATAAATATTTTTTGAAAATTCTACCGCAACACTCATCATTAATTGAGAAGATTTATATGGAGAAGCATACATGTACACTGTAAATGACCCGGTCCCCCGCAAAAAAATGTGTACAATGTTACCAAATTTCAATTCAGTTTTTCAATTCAGTTTAGTTATTGTTATAATCAGAGTAAAATATGTTACCGTTTTCAATCTTTATTTGTACTTGAACGGCCACGGGGCTTATATACAGACAATATTATTAGGCAGTAGAGAGTGCATTTTTTCTGTGCAGAAAGGCACGATACAGAAATATTCAAAATTATTCTAGATGTTCCTGGCTAGAATATGTTTAATAGATATATACATTTATAACAGAGCAACAACATGCAGTGTTTTCGTACCAAAAGTCGGATGTGCTTGACCAATGTTCATGTATACAAATAAGGATTAACAAAACAATATTTTGCTGAAAACTCGTATTTTGAATCATGTTCTCCAGGAGTCAACACATTTTACTTTGCACAAAACTAATAATTTCACACAGAAGAAACATGCTTACGCTAATTTCTAACATAATTCAATCAGTGTTTAGCGTAATTGAGACATCTGCTCAATTGGCCAGCCAGCTTTTCTGCAATCCCCCAAAGTCTTGGTTGTGAAAAAAATCACAAAGGCGAAACTAAACTTACCATCATTCGTATTAGATTAGATTACAATTGAGCATACGCAGATACGTAGAAATCAACCATGTTATCCTATATGCGACAAAGCCCGATACTAAGTCTTCACATCAACACACTTCTCCTATAGTTGGTTGGTTGGTTAGTTGTTGCCGCACTCATCAATAGTCCAGCTATATGGCGGCGGTCTGTACATAATCGAGTCTGGACCAGACAATCCAGTGATCAACAACATGAGCATCGATCTACGAAATTGAGATACGATGCCATGTGTCAACCAATTAAGTCATCTATCCTGACCACCCGATCCCGTTAGTCGCATCTTATACGACAAGCATGGGTTGCTGAAGTCATATTTCTAACTCGGGTCTTCACGGGTCTCCTCCTCATAGACCCAAGATCCATTCACTAGCTGCATGCGGCCTCAGGGCAAGCTCCTATGTAAACCTACAAGTGCTGGTGACATTCAGTATCACTTTCTCAAACAATTCTCAAACCTAATGAATGGGTAGAAAATAATTGTAGATGTCTTTTATCAAATGAAGGCACCGAGACATTTCCCTTAATCTTGTCGAAATCCAGTAATGTTCGCAATAACTACACCCTGCCGGGGTCATTCCACCTTAACTTTGGGCACCATCTTACTTTTTGGCACATATTAATCACTGAAAGCAAATTGTCTGAAGTGATATATATAGTCTTCAACTTCAACTTCAATTTCAACTGTATTTTTATGTTTATTTTGAAACATCTTGTAGGCTTTATGAGTCAATTAAATATAGCGAAATTGCACACTGGGAATGCAGACTTATCCGTCTTTGGCACCAACTCGAGGAAAGTCAGTTTGAGTGTCACATGGAGACGTGTGGTGGCGCTGAAGTCAATACCTCGTGTGACCACCGTGGGCATCGAGAACTGCACGGCATCGCCTCGGCATCGAGCGAATAAGTCTCAGAATCTGGTGTTGCCCAATCGCAGCCCACTCTGCCAGTAGTGCCTGTGCGAGTTGCTGAAGTGTCTGGGGCTGAGGGTTACGGCGTCGCACCCGTCTGACCAGGGTATCCCACAGATGTTCGATCGGGTTTAAGTCCGGTGATCTTGAGGTTCAAGGCCTGAACGTTGGTGCACCATTGAACTCGATGTCGACGATGTTGTTGTCGAAGCACAGGGCCAAAATAAGGTCTTCTGGCACGTAAACCAGCCTGTTCCTGACGGTTTGTGCAGAAAGCCTCCTCAATCCGGGTATTTGTCGAGCGGTACTGGTCGCCGTAGCTGTTCGATGACGCAGGTGATGTACCCGGATGTAGCTATCCTGCGCCGCAGTGGTCGCTCGAGGTCGCCCACTACGAGGAGCATCTGCTACCGCATTCTGCCGGCGATATCTCTCCCAGAGCCGTTAAATGGTGCTTTGGTGAACATTTTATGCGTCGGGCAACTGCACGTTGAGACTGGCAGGCTTCAAGCAAACCAATGGCGATATGACGGTTGGCTTTACTTAAACCGGGCATTTTGCGTTCGTCAACAATATTCCAAATACAGTGAATAATCGACAGACAGCGATCAACCTTTTATACCCATCATTGAGACTATCTGATCCCCAACTTTCACGTGCATTACATGTGAATTGTGTATTCTGTGACACTACACGCCGACATTGAAAATCATGCTGTTAAATACGGGTATTTTACGGATGGTGCGTTTTGTTGTGATGTTTCAAAACATAAACACTATAGGACTCATAAACAGAGCAAAAGCTTTTGTAAAATGAATCACGTTTAATTCATTGCTACATGAAATTGCTATTTTCATGATGCGTTTCCTTTTTGGGAGAGTATATATACACCGACAGTTGTTTCTAATTTCAAAGTAGGAAGGCGATAAGTCAACCTTCCTTTACTTATGTAGATCACATATGCGTTCTGAATTTAACTACGGCTTCATCACTTATGGCGGAGCCTGCAAACATGAAATTATTATATTTTATCCATCATGAAGGTCAATGGCGGTGTCTTCGATCTAATAGAACATCCCCAGTTGACAAACTATACATGTATGAGGATGCGTCGACGTCTCTTAAACACCTTCCGTATTGACATTATATCACAAAGTTATAGTCGTTTGAATCCAACCTAGGAAAAATTATTTGGTTTGTTTTACCTGTGTCGAATGAAATTAATCAAGCACAGCGATCTACCTAAAACTAACAGCTAGTCTCTTAAATGAACATATTTTACAGAAAATAAATGTTTTTAAATTCAAATTTAAAAAATGATAAAAAGGAGCCTGGAGACTTTCTTCATTATCCCCTGAGACTGCGGTAATCTAAACTTGCCACACATTCTAGATTTGCATGGGCTGCATTGGGTATATTTGTGTCATATTTGTATGACAGACTAAGATCTACCAAGAAGACGCAGACACGCTGACTGAGGCTCTGACGTCACAAGAGCCAAGTGGTGTCGGTTTGGGGCTGAAGGACACCATTTCAGACAGCTTCCGTCACTCTCAACTGTCTTCTGATCGTTTAGAACCTTTACGAACTATTGAGATAAGAGTCCCGTGAAGATCCGGGTAATAACTGATCTTCAGTAACCAATGCTTGTCGTAAGAGGCGACTAACGGGATCGGGTGGTCAGGGCTCGCCGACTTGGTTGACACATGTCATCGTATCCCAATATTGCGTAGATCGATGCTCGTGCTGTTGATCACTGGATTGTCTGGTCCACACTCGATTATTTACAGACCGCCGCCATATGGCTGGAATATTGCTTAGTGCGGTCACAACTAAACTCACTCATTGAGGTGAAAGCTCTGTCTACCATATGCTAACACATTGGAGCACAGTCTCCATGGAACAATTCGTTTCCACTTGCCAGACTTTTCCCATCTGGAATTCACCCATAAACTGGAAACTCGTAAAACACATATTTCACACAAAAATCTGATTGTTTCTACAGTTCAGTATTCTTACATTTCGATCTTTGATGTATTGTCTTTGTTGTCAGCGTTTGAAAGAATGTAATTAATATTGTTCCAATTATAAAAAAAATAACAAAAACCAAAAAAACAAAAAACAACAACACTTTTTTCTGGCTACGAAGAGCATGGATTCAGTAATAGCACCCTCTAACTCCATAAAAAAATAGACATACTTTCCAGGTTACCTTCAGGACAGGCTGATGCTCAGCAAAGTGACAACGTGAGGTGGCGTCTAACAATACGTCAGTAATAAGTGTTATTCAGACAAATAGTGCTAACATGTGTCAGCTTTATGCTGTGTTTTACCTACAGATGTTTTACTGACTCTTTTGTTACTGAAAGTCATCGGATATAAACATTGGTGACTGTGACGTGTCTTGGTGTCGGGTACGTCTTCGTATGATACACAGACGCTCCAATACTGGCACCACGACTGAACTGAATTAGATATCTTAAGTGTCGCCTGCTTTGTTTACTTCCGGTAATCTGTCTTCGGTGCCAAATTCCCGGAACTGAATTGCTAAGGTCGAACTATCGTCATGTCCCGACAGGGTACAATAAGACATGTCTAGTTGTGGACTGGGTTTTATGTTTGTGTCTGTTTTTTGTACCCAACTTCTCAATTTTGGTACCTAAAAAAAAAAAGATCCCGCCTTTTTATAGTACAGGAAGAAGTACAATTCTATTTCTAGGCATCAGTCAGGACTGATTCTTTAGACCGATTCCCGTTCAGTCCATTGTCTTTAGAGGATGTCTACTTGTGGAGGAGACAATGTTATAGGCACCCATTGGATAGACAGCAAAGTCCCTTCAGTCTTCACGTACACACTGGTAGATCCACTTGCGCAACAGATTCGTAATGGCGACGTCAATGTTCAGGTCGACAACACTGAACACGCCATCAGCAGACGAACAGGCCTTCCACGACTTGGTATGGCAGGTGTACGTCCCTATATGTATATGAGTCTACAGCCCCTTCCGTGGAATGGTATTGCCACGTCTACACCCTCAAGGCAGACTGCAATGGGCATGAACTGGACCTAACAGCAACGTGGCTGGGAGAGAGTGCTCTTTACATATGAAAGTTATGACAGAATTTAGAAATTTAGCCGAAACTAAAGAGCAGGTTATAGCCCATGTGACAAATCCCGAAACGTGAGAAGCTCTTGACAGAAATATGTCACACTTGAGAAAGTTGCTTGAGGCATATACTGAAGGGCAGCACAAATCAAAACAACAATTTCTTCCCCAGCCCCCGACCACATCTAACTCTCTGGAAGTTATCATAAACTTAGACCAGGAACTTAGACCAGTGTATGGTCTCTGTCTACAACAAGATGCAGGTTTCAGGCTTGTCCAGGTCTGCTTCAGCATGAAGTCCATGTCGTTAACAGATTTCACCATAGGGGGTATATGGTGACATTACAGTCAGTTTTACAACATGATGACCTTTCTATTGGGAATCATCCCATTCTCAACTGACTCATGCATCTTTTGAGTTGGAATGTTTTAACACCTGATCGCTTTCCAAAATTGAACCAATCAGTCGTCATGTCTTCACGTCCAGTGGAGTCTTTGAATGTGAACCCATGATAAAGCTAATTTGATTCAGAAATCTCCGAAAATAGACTTTATTCTTGACATGGCTAGAACAGAGTTTCATACCTCTTATGCCTTGGACTTTTCACATCTTATACATGCTGACAATCAGAGGACAATTACAATCAGATCAACTTTCGTTGCCCAAAATCATTCAACTACTATTGGTCCACTGGAAAGTAGACACAGAATGTGACACCAGCATTTTCAGAAGGTAAGCAGACCTTTTGATCCTTGTTATATGCACCTGTGAAGATCCAGGTTAGAATTAGTCTTCAGTAACCAATGCTTAGCGTAAGATGTGACTAACGAGATTGGGTGGTCTGGCTCACTGACTTGGTTGACACTTGTCATCATATCCCGATTACTTTGTATTACCCTTATTTGATATGTGGGGCGGTGGGGTAGCCTCGTGGTTAAAGCGTTCGCTCGTCACGCCGAAGACCCGGGTTCGAATCCCCACATGGGAACATTGTGTGAAGCTCATTTCTGGTGTCCCCCGCCGTGATATTGCTGGAATATTGCTAAAAGCGGCGTAAAACCAAACTCACTATCTTATTTGATATGTAATATGATTAGATTTGTATGCATATACGCATATTGATATGTAATGACCTTAATGAGCTGTTGATCACTGGATTGTCTGGTCCAGACTCGATTATTTACAGCAATTTACCTTCCAACAATTTTGGAATTATCCATAAGACTTGTACTGATTACATATATGCATCACTGTGCATCTTCAACACATCTGTGTTTTCAAGTAAGCAACATCTGATTGGTATATGAGTATTGGCATAACCAAGGGAGATAATGAGAATATTTTTCAAAGATGTGATATGAATAACTCAGTGAAAATTGACATACTTGATGCTCCAGCAACTAGAGAAGAAATCTTAAATAGTATTAGATAACTGAAACTGAACAAACCATCCGGAATAGATGATACTATCTCAGATTGTTCCTACACTCATCAGATATTCTACTCCCGTATCTTGAATTATTGTTTATTGTCACTCTTGAGAGTGGAGTTTTTCCACATTCATGGTTGGTTGGTAATATTTATACCTAATCAGAAGCATGATAATAAAAATCTAACTCAAAATGATAGAGGCATTACACTTCTAAGTGTATTTATTGCCATTATGAAGAAACGTTCAGTAGTCTGTGCAGAATCCTTTGATAAGATAACCGAAATCCAAGCTGGGTTTAGGAAGGGATATACTACTAATGACAATATATTTGTTTTTACTTATACAGAAATACTTAAGTAAGAAAGGTACAACAAAATTATTTTCTCTTTGTAGATTTTGCAAAGGCTTTCAATTCTGTTCAAAGAGAAAAATTATGGAATCTTCAAGATGGTCATTCCTTAAAGGTCACATGCAACCAAAAAATCAAACATAATTAAAACACAATTATCACTTCTTCATGACATATAATATGCATAGCTGATTATGAAAAAACAAATAAACAAAATTATAAGCGTATAATCGCAAATCAAAAGTGCAATATTTTGTACTTGGGTTTACCTCCCTCGAAACGAAGCAGCCGGGATACCGAACCCAGTCAGAGCGGGTGGGTGTGCACTCAAGTGTAACGGCTGGTTCATTAGCAGATGCCGCCTTCAGGCCTCATATTGTGTGTGTATATAGAGATGATGGGTTTTGTAAATACATGCTCATTTTTTGTGTATAACATTTTGCAATCAACAGACATCATAACATGTCATGTGTTCAAGTATCACACCTGCCTGTCTGTGTAATTACATAATGTGACAGAGACCCGAACTTCGGGCCATAAATCAATGCGTTTTGTTTATGGTGTATAGCCTGATTGGTGTTAAGTTCGAATTGCATGTGGTCAGTGATTGCAGTTGTGTATTGAATATTTTCATTAGCAGACAGGCAGGCAGACACATAGGTGTCAATAAAACAAGACATTGAGTTTTGTCTGTGACAACGACATATCTATATCACAGTCAGAAACTGAGTCAGCGCTAAATAATGACATTGCTTTTAAGTATCGAACTGAGAAAGTCACTCGGTAAGAAGAGCGTGTGGTGAAATAGACAAATGAAATTATATAAACAGTTAATTTACTGTCATAACATATAAAAAGTTCGCCTGTGAGATATCAACAAAACATTAGAAAAATAGCTCACACCAAGGCCTTCACCGGTATTCACCCGACAACCCGGCTTCCAAGCTCGCGAACCTATTTACTTGCGCATGCGTGCTATGGGCGCAGCCCAGCTGTTGAAACCGTTTCCCAGAAATCTCTGGGGAAAATTAGTGAAACGTTTGAACTCCGATTTCGCGCGGTTTTTTTCATCGCGTTATTTTTCAACTTTATAAGTTGAATTTGCATTTTTGACTATTTGTTTCGGTATGTCCATACCGAAAGGTATCAGAATCTGCAAAGTTGTGTTTTACGTTGCATGTGACCTTTAAGCAGTAACGTCAGTAAACTTTTAAGAAGTATTTATGATAACGTAATGGTGTGTGTGAGAAACAATAATAAAATATCTGAAACATTCGCAAATAGGAGTAAGACAATGTTGTATCCTGAACCCAGTTTTATGTTCTTTCTTTATCAATGATCAAGCAATACAGATTCATGAAAACTGTTCAAATTGTATTCAGTTACGTCCAGATATGGTACAGCTATTTCTTCTGTTACAAGGATTACAAGCAGAAATAAACAAATTAAAAAATACTGTAATGAATGGAAACTAACCGTAAATAGAGATAAAACTAATTATGTATAAGTATGGAGGTAATCTTCCTGCAAACCAAGAAATGGTATAACAAAGGTGAAATGCTAGAAACAACTATGTCTTACAAATACTTAGGAGTTTATTTTACAAACCACCTATCATGGTCCTAACATGTCAAAAAATGCATCAATGCAAGCAAAGAAAATACTAATTGGTATTTGACAGAAGTTTTTATATTTTAGGTGACTTGTCAGACAAATCATTTTTTAGAATTTTTGATGCTAAGATTAGTCCCATACGTCTATATGGTTCTGAGATTTGGGGACTCCAAACATTTGATATACTAGAAAAAGTACACTTGTATGCAATTAAAAGATTTCTTGGTGTGAAAGTTACTACATTTTGTACTTCATACTTAATGGTTCATGGTGAATGTGGTAGATTTCAATTAGTTGTTGAATCAGAAATGAAAGTAGTAAAATATTGGTTTAAAGTCTTAAATATGCCATCTTACAGATTACCCCTAATATGATTGTATAATTATTTTGTACGATAGACTTGGGAAAACGTAATTGGGGCACAGATGTTAAATAGTTACTATTTTCTACTGCTTTCGGTAATATATGGCTGGAACAGTACCTAGACTCGCATCCAAAGTTTCTCATATCCAAAAGTTACAAGATATATGTCTCCAGAATTGGCTTGACCAATGATGTGTATGTAATAAATGTTTTTATTACAGAATGTTTAAGTAATCGATATATAATGAAACCTATTTATCATCTTTGAATGTTCGGAAATATAGAATCACACTTGCAAAATTTCGTTGCTGATCCCATGATTTTTAACAGAAACAGGTACCGGTAGATATACTGGAATTACAAAAAGGAAGAATGTGTGATTTGAATCAAAGTGAAGATGATTATCATATTCTTTGTGTCCGTCCAGCCTACCACACTTTGAGAAATAAGTATTTAAGAAATATTACTTTGTACATCATAACATTTATAAATGTATATCTCTATTAACCTATTCTAGGAAGGACCATATACAATAATTGTCAATGTTTTTGTATCATGCCCTTCGACAAAGAAAAAATGTACTCTCTACTGCCTAATATTAATATTGTCTGTATACATGTACTATAGGCCTGTGCAAATAAAGATTGATTGGTGTTGATAATAAATATAAACACAGCATCAACAGTCAAGTCATCATGCCTTTGATAACTGGAACCCCTACCCCTGGACTTCATTGAAGTTCTTGATAAGCAGAAGTATGATAAGAAAGACAATCACAAGGATGTGCTTGTTAGCTGTATATTCTATTTACCTAGATGTACAATAGATAAAGGAATACTGTACACAATTCTACAGTCAAACAGCACAATAGTTAAATATAGAAACACAACACCAAGACAAAAGTGTGCAGATTACATAAAAAGAATTCAGTAACTCAGACAACAGACAAATTCAGTACAAATACCAGCAGAAAGTCAAATGGACCATGTGCACAATTGTATCAAGATGAGTGTATTTGGGGTGAGGTGACCCGATAAAAGCCAAAAACAGTTGTTTCCTTCTCAGGCGGTTTTTAAAATGCAGAACAACATTTACCTTCTCCTTTAAATCCTTGCACAAAATTCCCAATTTTGAGAATATTATATATGAATATCGATAGTTCAAAGGCTGCAAGGATTTGGTGAAAGGTAGACCTTGTTCTGCATGTCTCTCATGACACTGCTTTAGTTAGCGGACATCATGATAGAAAGCAGGCAGGTTTTATTGATGATGTCCTCGTGGCTGGTGAACACCTTTCTCTGTCCTGACAGGAACTCCGCAGCAACGGTGATGTTCTTCTGAAACAGAACAATGATATATGACAGTACGTTGTTACATGAAACCTGCGAGTCATGTGAATCTGATTCCCAAGATTTCCAAGATTCAGTTATCTCCAAAGGGGCAATTAATTTTACTAATAGAATCAATAGATTTAAGTAAATAAACCATTTTTCATTTAATTCTGCATAATGCCCTATAGGCCTTGTTGTGTTAGTTGTATTTGTTTGAAAGGCTTATAATCACAATGGCTGCTAAATTTCTGCTTTAGAATTATCTGTAAGAACAAAACTGTGATCATCATGTTTTAAGTATAGTTGCTAGTCACTACTGAAGTATTTGGACTGTTGCGGATGTATTGTGAAGTTATAACTACTATTGTAGTGGTTAAAGTGTTCGCTTGTCACACGGAGGACCTGGGTTCGATTCCCAGATGGGTACAGTATGTGAAGTCCATTTCCTCCGCCATGATTTTGCTGGAATATTGCTAAAGTAGCATAAAATTAAACCACTCAAAAAGTGGCATATGCTATGGTATTGTTTTTTGGTGTTTTGAGTTTCTGAACAACAAATTTTAATGTATTTAAGGCCTGTTTCTAGCTTACCTAGTGTACATAAGCTGCCTTACATATTACAACATCTATTTAAATATTTCAGTAGCTTGGCACATATAACCATCAAGTTCATATTTAAAATATAAATGTAATGTGTTTTCAGATTCCTGGGTGATGTATTTTATTCCTAATATTCCTAAAAAAATTGAAAATGAAAATAAATAACACATAAAGTTAAGCATTTTTCAGTTTAAAGACGAAATACTAAAATTTTAATCTATGAACAATTTAAATGGATCTTTTTTTCTTATAATTTTATGTTTTTTAACTGATTTTAACAAAGAATTAAAGTGGGAGTTAAACAACGAAGTTGTTGGGGATATTATACTAAGAAACGAGTTCCGTCTGCGTCCATCACTCTTTGCCCAAAGCATATCTCCTAAACTATTTGTGATAGCCTAACCATATGAATTTTATTTTTTGCTGTTTCTATGGAAACATGACTTAGGTTGTGACTTATTATGAGGATGTCATCTTGTCCGAAGCAGATGTTCCAAACTATACATGCTAGCTTCATCAAATCAGGGCTGGAAATAACCCATTGCCCGACGTCCGAGTCCAGTGTTCTTTTCTGTCGGGCAAGCAAATTTGTATATCACACTGTACCGGTGTCCAGTTGACTTTCCAATGTTTCTTATGTTGTTTATTTAAAAAATCAGCCAAAAAACGGTTGGTATAGTGGGAAAATAATCAGGGCAAGTGACTTTACATGTGCCACTGTACCGGAGTACACTAGCAATTTTAAACTTATTTCCACCCCTGCAAACTTGGTATATATGTCAAGCATGATCCAGTGATGTGCCTTTTGCTGTTTAAACCCAGATATGAATTTTGGTTTTGCTGTTTCCATGGAAAGTTGACTTAGGCTGTGGCTATGAGGATGTCATCTTGTCCGAAGCAGATCTCCTAAGCAGATCTCCTAAACTATACATGCTAGCTTCATCAAACTTGGTACACATATCATTCATGATCCCTAGATGTGCCATTTGATGGTTACACCCAGATATGAATTTTATTTTTTGCTATGAGGATGTCATCTTGTCCGGAGCAACCTAATTATATAACAGTACCACTCTATTTCCAGTATCAACATTCGGTACACAAACTGTACACTTCACATAGTGAAAACTAGTTGACATATCCGTTATGAGTATTTTGCCATTGCTTGGGATAATGGATGACTTTGTCTTCTTGTTTGTTTTTGGAAAAAATTCATGCATCTTACACCAGAAAATGTGGTAGTTTAGATTCTATGTAGATTATTGTACCCCTAAGAATATTTTGTTCACTCACGTTGTCCACATCCTGTTTTTGAAGAAGGTCTTTCAGTGCCATTCCGCCTGGAGGCACCAGTTTGGTGTGCACAACTGTGGTGTTCAGGACCAGGTTCTGTCTATAGATCCAGACCATGATGACATCTGAAGCATCAGTGAAATAAAATCATTGCTTTGCATTGAAGCAGAACCTGTGATTGTCAGAGGCAGATACACAAGGATTTTATGACCTGGGTGCACATGTTTACAAGAGGTGGGTTTATATGTGAGAGTTGCCTCCCTTGGAACAAGGGGTAAGGCCTTGATTAGTCAATAACAAAAACATATGAACAGCTTGGATCTGAAACATGAGAGGTATTTATGGTAAAGTGCATATGTGCATGGGAAAAACAGAAACAAACAATACTGTTTATCCTGCTCATAAAACTCATGGTCAATTATAAAAAATAATTACATTTAGTGATTGACACTAAATATGGTTATCAAAACCATTCTCTTGCATCCTTCGCATTTGCTTCCGCGTTCTTGTGTTTACTTCTGCATTCTGTTATCTGCCTCCATAGTTACGTCACTTAGTTACCAGTGACGTCATGTATTAAATGCGCGCCGGTTACGTCACTTTCTGAATGTCATTCGTGCCGATCTTATTGTGCCATCAACACCATTCGGTAAAATCATTCGATCTGTTCTTCATTTCGTCATGCCTGGGAAAAGGAAGGCAGCTATCAACCACTGGCTCGTGAGGACGGGGAAGGGCCCAAAGCAGCCAAAGAAGACGCCGGCTGTTGCAGTCGTTACAGGCGGTAACATTTTTGAGAATGGTGAGTCCTGCAATAATTATATTAATCCATCGCCCCCATCTGAATCGGTTGAAATTTCCGATTTCACATCCCCGGCGCCAAGAGCAATTCCCAGTATTTCGGGACAGCTTGAAGCAATTCTTAAATTGCTTTCAAACCAAGGTAATCTTCAGAACCCGGTTGTCTCCCTCCCGGTTGTTCATATCATCAATAAACGGTCTTGCCGCGTCCCTCGTACTATGTCCCTTGTGAGACGCTTCGTTCTATATTGCTTCCACTACAATATCACATTCAAAGCTGTATACATTAGTACCCATGACAATGTTATAGCTGACTCTCTGTCGAGATTTCAGTGGGACCAGTTCCGCAAATGTGCGCCAGCAGCGGACCTGACACCAACACCCCTACCGGACGGGATCTGGGACCTCTAGATCGGAAGGTCCAGCGATCCATGTCGTCGAACACCTGGTCGACATACCACACGAGCTTGCAGACGTTCCACACCTTCAGACGAGCCCATGAGCTGTCACCACTTTGGCCGGCCCCGATTGATCAGGTTGTGCATTTCATTTCGTATCTGTCGGTTAACCGTTACTCCAGCAGTACAGCTAAAAACATACATCTCTGCACTATCATCCTTTCATAAGTTAAATGGCCGGCAGGATTGCACCGATCACTTCTTGGTTTCTAAGTTACTTGCTGGCATGTCACGTGACCAGTCGCGACGTGACACACGTAAACCAATAACTGTTGATTTGTTAAAGTTTATAATCCGTAATCTTCCAGCGGTGTGCAGCAACGTATATGAGCAATGTCTTTTCAAAGCTGTTTTCTGTGCCGCATTCTTTGGATTTTTCAGAGTGGGGGAGCTCGTACAGGCCTCGGTTGATCAGCCAGGCATTGCGACCAATGACGTGAAGCTGGACAAATCTGCCGGGCAAGTACAATTTACTTTGAGACGCTCCAAGACTGATAGGCTGAACAAAGGCGTGCTTGTTGCCATTTCCTCCATCCCCTCCCCAACCCCTTGTGTCCCGTGACAGCTGTCCATTCTTACCTTAACATTCGCCCAAGTGGTCCACAGCAAGCCTTTATCCACTTTGACCACTCCCCTCTCACAAGATATCAGTTCCAGGCCGTGCTTAAAAAAGCATTAGCGCACAGTGATGTAGACACCTCAGCGTTTTCTTCCCATTCTTTTAGGATTGGGGCTGCAACTACGGCTGCAGCAAACGGCGTTAGCCCACACATAATCAAAAAAATATGGTAGATGGGGGTCCGATGCATATGAATCCTACATTCGTTTCCAGTAATCATTTAGCACTATCTAACAGATATATTTCCTTTCACTTGTCTCACTCTTTTCAGTGTGGCTGATTGGGTCATCCTATATGGCCAGAGCTCAACGTTCATCTGGGACGCTTCATCGTGGTACGTGGTTCATTCGAGGGGGGGATGAGATGGAGGGAACTGGTCCCAATCATCGAGAGGGAATGCTTCGTTCAACCCCATCCTTCGGTGCTCGTAATCCACCTCGGATCTAATGATATGGTACAGACCAAGACCAGCCTGCTCTACCTCAACATCTTTGAGTCGCTGCTGCGGATGCAGCTACTGCTGCCCAACACGAGGATCTTGTGGTCTAACATGCTACCCCATCGCCACTGGAGCAGTGCCGCCTCGTTTTCAGCCATCGAGGGGGCCCGCAAGACCCTCAACAGGCAGGTTGGGAACTGCGTGAGGGAGCTGGGGGGAGTGCAAATAAGGCATGACATTGACAGTTCCATGTTTTCATGGGACGGCGTCCACCTTTCCCTGCGTGGGCTGCAAGTTTTTGTCGAAAACATTAACTGTGCTGTGCTGGCTGCTGTGAAATCCCCTTAAACACAGGTACCTTGTAAAGGCAAGCTATGGTGGGAAACAACCGGGTGAGTTAATGGTCATTTGTGTGGCTCGGCACGTGCGTGCTTTGGCGGGATTCTTGGAGGCTTAAACATATTATAACAATGTTCTAAATTTAGGGGTCCTACTTTTCAGTTAGATCTTATTTTCCCTCCACTTATCAGTGGTGGGGACTATTTTGGCATATAAATAAATTCCTGCTTCTCAGCGGACGTATATCTTTACTTATCATTTTGCTGCTGCTGCAACTTCGTTTGCCAATGATATATCCTGCTGCTGCACCTTAGTTTGCCAATGCTATATCCTGCTGCTGGTGTCTGCTCCGTAGTTGCCCGTTTTAACTCCTCTTCCATAGTTATTGAGTTAGGGCCCCTCCAAGAACCGCCACGCTCATGACCATTTACCCACAACAATTTTTATTATTTGTGTTGTATGCGCGACGTCAACGCACATTGGGTTGACGCCGCCGGTCCAACAGAGAATGTGTTTTGATAATTCTTTTTGTTCATCATGAACAGTGTGAATTCTTATACAGGTTTAATTTGAGATCAGTCACATTTCAATGTGGACATGCTGGTTAGTGTTGGGAATTGGTTAAACTCTCACAATTGATGATTGGTTAATTACAACCGATCAATCATCAAAAATAATTGGTAAGCATCATTAATCAAATTCTCCTTGTTATGTTTGTTAATGCACAAAAATATAGAAAAACAAGAAGTTGTTTACCCCTTTTTTTTGCAAATTGCACAAAATGCATTTACAAATATCACATCTTAAAGGATGACTAGTATGTTAGGAACATAAATTTCCTCAAGCTTTAAGATAAAATCAATCATGACAAGGAACGAGCCTGTAGTTGTTATGAAATGTAACAGACAAAACCAGCCTTGTGAAAAAAGTTAATGCAAACAAGTGTTCCAAAATTGTTTGTTTTCGATTATGAGAAAACATGATCGATTGCTTGGTCGTTTAGCCTTTAAATTGCAACCAATCTTTGATTATTTCAATTAATCGGACCACCACTAATGCTAGTTAGCCTTAATCATCAATTTCAGTTCAGGTTTTCAATTTCAATTTTTAGTTTTCAATTTTTCAGTCAAAACTGAAGATTTGAGAAACATGAGGTCAAAATAATTTACAAAATACATGTTAGTTCAAATATGTAAATGTTTCTTCTACTTGTCCGAAGGCCTTAACCTTTGACCATGGTGTATGTAGCCGGAGGATCTTGAGAAGTTTGATAGATCCTTACTGATAAAATGCTTACTTTCATAAAACAGAGTGAGGATGTTAATATAGGGATTGTTGTGCTCCCTGAAAATTCCAAGCATCTTTATTGGCGAGTCTTCTCTCAACAAGTCCTGAATTTCTTGGATTTGTGGCAGTGGCAGGAAGAATGTTCTCAGAGACTCAGGATCCAAAGCCAGAGGTATCTGATAATGGCAAATAGATATATCGTTGTGCACTACAGTCAAATAATTTGATTAATATTGCACTGATTAATATTCCTAGAATAAAAGATGTGAGGATGCAAAGTTCAATCATGAAATTTGAAAACAAACAGAATGGAACATTTTGACATTACCAATTCACAAATCAGGTCAAACTGTTCTGGGTTTCAGTCCACAAATTGTTAGTAGAGCTACTACATTCATTACTAAGCCTATGATAAACTATAGAGTTATAACACATTGTGCAATATATAGCAAAAACTCACTCCAAAACATTATACATGGCTTTTTTGTACCCAGATACTAAATCTCCCTACCCTACAATACCCTACCCTATCCTAGCTAATCTTGCCTTGATCTGCACGACCCTACCTCTACCTTAACTGACCCTGCCCTGGCTAGTTTAGCCTACCCTACCCCACCCTACCTTGGCTAGCAGAGCTCCCCCTACCTTACTCTACTACCATTATATATGGCTTTAGTGTATCCAAATACGAAGCTTCCCTACCTCTACATTATCCCAGCTGACCCTTACCCTACCCCTATCACTGCATTACCCTAGCTGATCCTAACCTACCCTACCCCTACCCCACCCTACCCCTATCACTGCATTACCCTTGCTGATCCTAACCTACCCTACCCCTACCCCACCCTACCCTACCCCTATCACTGCATTATCCTAGCTGATCCTAACCTACTCCTACCCCCTACCCCACCCTACCCCCTATCCCTGCATTTATCCTAGCTGATCCTAACCTTACCCTACTGATCCTACCCCACCTCCTACCCCACCTATACCCTGCATTACCCTTTGCTGATCCTAACCTACCCTACCCCTACCCCACCCTACCCCTATCACTGCATTACCCTAGCTGATCCTAACCTAACCTACCCCTACCCCACCTTACCCCTATCACTGCATTACCCTAGCTGATCCTAACCTAACCTACCCCTACCCCACCCTACCCCTATCACTGCATTACCCTAGCTGATCCTAACCTAACCTACCCCTACCCCACCTTACCCCTATCAATGCATTACCCTAACCTACACTGCATTACCCCTAGCTGATCCTACCTAACCTACCCCCTATCACTGCATTACTCCTAGCTGATCCTAACCTACCCCCACCCATACTCCTACCCTACCCCTATCACTGCATTACCCAAGCTGATCCTACCCAACCCCTACCCCAACCTACCCTATCACTGCATTACCCTAGCTGATCCTACCTTACCCTACCCTAGCTGACCCTATCCCATCCTACCATAGTTGATCTTACCCTACCCTAGCTGATCCTACACTACCCTTGCTGACCCTACCCTACCTGATCCCTTTCACTGCACTAACCTAGCTGATCCTACATTACCCTAGCTGACCCTACCCTACCCCTATCACTGCATTACTCTAGCTGACCCTACCCCACCCCTATCACTGCATTACCCTAGCTGACCCTACCCCTATCACTGCATTACCCTAGCTGATCTTATCTTACCCTACCCTAGTTGACCCTATCCTAACCTACCCCTTTCACTGCATTACCCTAGCTGACCCTACCCTACCATACCTTTAGCTGACCCAGTCCTACCCTTAGCTAGCCCTACCCTACCTTTAGCTGACCCTGTCATACCCTTAGCTAGCCCTACCCTACCTTTAGCTGACCCTGTCATACCCTTAGCTAGCCCTACCCTACCCTACCTTTAGCTGACCAAGTCCTACCCTTAGCTAGCCCTACCCTACCTTTAGCTAACCCTGCCATACACTTAGCTAGCCCTGCCCTACCTTTAACTGACACCAGTCCTACCCTTAGCTGGCTCCTACCCCTACCTTTTAGCTGACCCAGTCCTACCCTTTTAGCTGGCACCCTACCTTTTAGCTGACCCAGTCCTACCCTTAGCTAGCACTACCCTACCTTTAGCTGACCCTGTCCTACCCTTAGCTAGCCCTACCCTACCATACCTTTAGCTGACCCTGTCCTACCCTTAGCTAGCCCTACCCTACAATACCCTACACTATCCTAGCTAATCTTGCCTTGACCTGCATGACCCTACCTCTACCTTAACTGACCCTGCCCTGGCTGGTTTAGCCTACCCTACCCCACCCTACCTTGGCTAGCAGAGCTGACCCTACCTTACTCTACTACCATTATACATGGCCTTAATGTATCCAGATACGTAGCCCTGTCATACCCTTAGCTAGCCCTACCCTACCTTTAGCTGACCCTGTCATACCCTTAGCTAGCCCTACCCTACCATACCTGTAGCTGACCAAGTCCTACCCTACCTTTAGCTAACCCTGTCCTACCCTTAGCTAGCCCTACCCTACAATACCCTACACTATCCTAGCTAATCTTGCCTTGACCTGTATGACCCTACCTCTACCTTAACTGACCCTGCCCTGGCTAGTTTAGCCTACCCTACCCCACCCTACCTTATTCTACTACCATTATACATGGCCTTAATGTATCCAAATACGTAGCCCTACCCTACCTTTAGCTGACCCTGTCATACCCTTAGCTAGCCCTACCCTAGCTGACCCTATCCTACCCTACCATAGTTGATCTTACCCTACCCCAGCTGATCCTACCCTACCCTAGCTGACCGTACCCTACCCTAGCTGACCTTATCCTACCCTAGCTGACCCTACCCTACCCCTTTCTAGCTGACCTTATCCTATCCTAGCTGACCCTACCCTACCCTACCCTAGCTGGCCTCTACCCTACCCTAGCTGACCCTACCCTACTCCTGACCTAGCTGGCCCTACCCTACCCCTAGCTGACCCTACTCTACCTACCTTACTCCTAGCTGGTCCCTACTCCTACCCTACCCTAGCTGACCCTAACCTTCCCTAGCTCACTCTATCCTACCTTTATCCTACCCCCTGCTCTACCTACCCCTATCACTGCATTATCTTAGCTGATCCTACTCTACCCCCCTACCTTTAGCTGACCCTACTCTACCTTATCTTTAGGTGACCCTATCTGGCCTACCTTTGACCCTATCACTGCATTACCCGAGCTGACCTACTCTACCCTACCTTTAGCTGACCCTGTCTACCCCTACCCTTTAGCTAGCCCTACTCCCTACCCTACCTTTTAGCTGACCTTACTCTACCCCTAGCTAGCTGACCGTACCTGACCCTACCTTTATCTGACCCTGACTTACCCTTTAGCTGACCCTACCCTACCCTACCTCCTACCTTTAGCTGGTCCTGTCTTACCCTTTTAGCTGGCACTACTCTACTCTACCCTACCTCTTGCTGACCATGACCTATCCTTAGCTAGCTCTACCCTACCTTTAGCTGACCCTGTCCTACCCTTACCTAGCACTGCCCTACTCTACCTACCTTTTAGCTGACCCTGTCCTACCCTTTAGCTAGCACTACCCTACCCTACCTTTAGCTGACCCTGTCCTCCCCTTAGCTAGCACCTACTCTACCCTACCTTTAGCTGACCCTACTTTACCCCTACCTCTATCTGACTGCATTACCCTAGCAGATCCTACCCCAGTTGATCCCATCCCGAGTCCCCGCTGTGATATTGCTGGAATATTACTAAAAGCGGCGTAAAACCACTCTCTCTCTCTCACTCACTCACTCACTCACTCACTCACTCACTCACTCACTCACTCACTCACTCACTCACTCACTCACTCAGACACTCACTCACTCACTCACTCACTCACTCACTCACTCACTCACTCACTCACTCACTCACTACTCACTCACTCAGATCATCTTTCTAAATGAAAAAAACATCTTGCAAGAAAAAACGATCTGCCGGCTATACCTTGATGGCATGAAGCTCTATAACAGTTATAGCTTTGTGTTTAACAATTAAAGTTTGAAATCTTTAAAAATTTTGTTGTTGTTGTTTTCAAGTATTTTACTGCTGAATTGTTTGCAGAAGTTTGAAAAATGGGATGCAGAATTTACTTAAATTTACCGCAGAATTCTTAAAAATTCGCAGCGGAATCCAGGAGGGACTGAAATACTGTACAGTTTTCAAGGTCTGCTCTAAACATCTTGCTCAGACAGCCTGATGGACAGACAGTGTCTATTTTAATGCAATCTGCAAAGTTGAAGGGGCAAAAGTGAAACTAAAATGATTCACTGACCCTCAGCTTAACAATATCTTGATAGTATCCATCCATTTGTCTTTATCAGTGTCACTTTTTCTTCAAACCTCTGGACAAGCCTGGCTCGTTGTTCATCAAAATCCCCAGGCCAAGTCTCTGCAATATATTACACATAGTTTGGTAAGAGACATGACATTCTACACATACTGTCAAAGGCCAGGCAACTGGTCATATAACTTGAAGGTTTAGACCATGATACTTTTAAGAGGGATCAGTCTTCCTGCTCTGCACACAACAAAGTTGCCAAGACAGTCAAATTCAAATGGGGAGCACATGAAATTCACATCTCAGTTTCTTTTTCTTTGTAAGAGTGACAGAACAACCATACATTTCACCAAAACAGCAATTGCCACACAGAATTAGATTTCATTCTTGGATCTATTGTTTGCTCTGTATATGCCATTCCAAAATTTTCAAAAAAATGCATATTTAACTATTCTTCTCAAATTGCTGGACTGAGGGAGCTGAACTTCCACTCGTCTTTTTGTTATGGCATCTTATTTGTTCAAGTAATTCTTGTTCAAAGATCTCAAAACATATTTTAATATCGATTTTGACAACAACTTGTTAAGTGGCTGTTTTTGTTGACATCCTGACTAGTGGACAACATTCTGTTTAGCTACAGTGCTACAGTGCTCACTTACAAGGACATGAAAACATTGGTTGATATTCTGAAGTAGTTTAAGTACTTTCATCCGAAGAGGCATGGTCCAATTTTCATCCTCTTGTGTGCCAGCTGATTGTACAGTCCCACAGTCATATTCTACTGAAAATAATTCATAAATGCTCATATAGGTTCTTCTACATCTACATGCTGGAAGGATCGGCATAACATTGACAGTGTTACAATGTACTGTATAAGTACATTTTGAGGATAGAAAAATAGCAATCTGTAGAGCGGGGTTGTCGTATCTACTAGTGTTGGGAATTGGTTGAAATCTCACAATCGATGATTGCTTCATTACCAACGAACAATCATCGAAAAAAATTGGTTAGCGTCATTTTTCAGATTTTCCTATCCAGGTTGTTGCTGCAGAAATGTATAACATGATGCAACTTGCTACTTTAAAGTGATGACTAATATATCATGAACATAAACTTCCTGGAGTCTTAGAGAAATATTCAGTCATGACTTTTCAGTTAGTGAAGTGAGTTTTCTAAGAAATAAACATGTTTCCAGGCCCTGACAACTTCTAAGATATGTTCCATTGTCAAGTATTTCAAAGACTAAAACAGTAGTTCCAAAATCGTTTATGTTCGATTATGAGAAAATGTGATCTTTTACTTGGTCGTTTGGTCACTGTGACCAATCTTCGATTATTTCAATTAATCGGAACACCACTAGTATCTACAGGTTACACTCTCATCAAACTTATTTTTCAGGTAGTAAGAAAACAACATCATATCCCTTTGTGTGAATGAAGATGAGAAAATTACTTTTGTTGGTAAATAAATCCCCAGAAGTTCAACGATTACCTATTTATTTCGTAATATGTTACTTTGGAATTACAGAACTAAAACATTTTCAAGTTAAATTGTATATATTTTGAGTTACGATCCGTGCAATATCAGTATCTGGCAACTCGCGAAGTCAGCTTGGAATTGTACATTACCAGACTATCTGACCTCTGAAAATGGTCATTATCTATAGAATAAGATTAGAAATATATTGTAGCCCTTCGGTGGTTTTAATTCGCTGACGGAAAATCAAGAAATGCAGAAAAAGCACAAGGATCAGGGCAGTAGTCAGTATAATATGAATTCCTCACTCGAACATGGACAGAAAAAGGTTAAAAACTTGATCATTCGAACTCCAAGGTTTAGAAACGAATAATGTCTCAATACCTAAAGACTTTTTGTGTCCATCCAAATATAATGTTTGTTCTTATTTCGGATAAAAATAGACACTGTGGTAAAACAATCTCTCATTTAAGTCAATATTGTAACTCTGAATATATGTAACATACATTTTGTAAGTGTCAATGCTCTATCGACCTGTGGTCTCCTACATGAGATGAATGGTGTGTACCGTGACTAAAACACTTTTTTTGTATTAATAGGAAAGCATAGAGCATAATTAACCCTATGGATAGAGACTTTTTCTTTGAAATTGTCTTTTAATTTAAACGAAAAGACCTACAGACAAAGGAAAGAACATTAAACAAGTATTCTGGTAAAATAACCCATCAATAAATTGTTCCAGATCATGATTCACTTAACAGTCTAGCACACAAATGAGGGATACATAAAACAAATAGAACTACAAGAGAAATGCTCCTAGTTTGTGAACTCCTCAACTTAATCTGTTATATAACGTACATTTCAAAACAAGTTGCTTTCTCCTGTTACTTTTTTTCGCCAAGTAAATACTATTTTAGCAATGAGAGCACAACAAAGGCTTTAAACCAACAGACAATTGTAAATTCAAACTTTAAAATGATAAAACAATGAAAATTGACAATGCTTTTTGCCAAATACATGATGTTTGCAAATGGTAAAGGACATTTCACTTGTAATTTTCAAACTTCCCTGGAACCAGGTGTAGGTCTCCATGACTCAGTTTAAACATACGCTGTGACTTGCCACATGGTACTGGTTCATAAACCTTGCACTAAACGTCTGTGCAACACTGTCTTCAGTTAGTGTCGTCCAAACTGGTAACGTACTTTTCGGTCACGTACATTTCATTGGATCAATTTAACCATTATCTCACCAGCTAAAATCAACTTTGAATCGAAACTTGGGATTCTGATAGTCTATGTAAGGTACATAAACATAATTAGCCTTACAAGATTTGTTTTAGTATTAGTCTCCGTCCGTCCGTCCGTCCGCCCGTCCGTACATCCGTACGTACGAATTGGAATATCTTAAGAACTGTTCACTAGATTCTTTTCATATTTGGTACCTAGGTTCATCACAGTATAAGAAAGGTCCAAGTCAGATTTGGTGACCTTGACCTTCATTTCAAGGTCACAAGGGGACTTTAACGTTTTACCTGCATTTTAAGCTATCTCAAGAACCGTTCACTAGATTTTCTTCATCTTCAATTCAAAGCGTTATCTAGGGAAGACACAGGGCCCAGTCGATTTTGGTGACCTTCACATAATTAATAAGGTCATGGTGACACTTTGAAGATTTCAGCATGTAAACCTGCATGTTAAGCTATCTCAAGAACCTTCACATAATTTTAGAGGTCACAGAGACACTTTGAAGATTTCAGCATGTTAACCTGAATTGTCAGCAAGATATTTCAAGAATGGTTCACTGGATTTTCTTCAAAGACTTTCAAGACTTCCCTGAAATGTTTTTCAAAAAGCAATTTCTTTAGTACTATTTTTGCATATTTCATACACTATGACATTCATGTCAAGGTCAAAGTCAGTCTTGAAAATATGTGTGTGTTTGAACATCTAAAGAGCAAGATATCAAGAGAGGTTGACTGGTCATGTTGTTTGTTGACATTTAACTTAAACTTTCATTACTTTATAAGTTTGATTTGATAATTTGCGACAGGGGATTATGTCACCTTAGTGACAATGCTTGTTAAATTATTCTTGAGAAGAAAAAGGCAGTAACGTACATTTCATTGTTAAAATTACTCTCGGATTTTAATTTTGGTATACAGTATAACTGTATATAGCAGTTTTGAAATGAAAAGAAATGACTGCCACCTTTATATCTGACAGGCAAATGAGTCTGGTAAATAAATACTTTGGCTGTAATGGAATCTCAATGTGAGGGTAGTGTACATTTCTGCAAAGGTTGGGACATAGAAGAACTGAAGTCGAACTTTGGAAGAAATTCGTCGAGATTTAAAACAGTTGCTTGTATGTGAAGTGTACATGATGGTAATAAAGGAAAACACTACAATGAACTTTGAATGCAGCTACAATAAGACCATATCATAGTAAAGTTGGTGTACTTCCAGGATGGGACAGTAACGTACATTTCATTTTCACATACATGTACTCAGAGCCTCATTTCAGAAGGACTATTGTACTTATGAAGCTGAATGTTGCATAGATCAAACCCTTTATTTACCACACACAAAATCATGCAAAAGAAGTTTATGTTTGTGCATATGACAGTGGGACATCACTTGGACCTGCTTATTGGGTTTCATTGATTGACAGTCATTGTTAGCCTTACATCCATATGGACATCTAATATTGACAGTCATTGTTTAGCCTTACATCAGTATGGACATCTAATATTGACAGTCATTGTTTAGCCTTACATCCATATGGACATCTAATATTGACAGTCATTGTTTAGCCTTACATCCATATGGACATCTAATATTGGCATTCATTGTTTAGCCTTACATCCATATGGACATCTAATATTGGCATTCATTGTTTAGCCTTACATCCATATGGACATCTAATATTGGCATTCATTGTTTAGCCTTACATCCATATGGACATCTAATATTGGCATTCATTGTTTAGCCTTACATCCATATGGACATCTAATATTGGCATTCATTGTTTAGCCTTACATCCATATGGACATCTAATATTGACAGTCATTGTTTAGCCTTACATCCATATGGACATCTAATATTGGCATTCATTGTTTAGCCTTACATCCATATGGACATCTAATATTGACAGTCATTGTTTAGCCTTACATCCATATGGACATCTAATATTGACAGTCATTGTTTAGCCTTACATCCATATGGACATCTAATATTGACAGTCATTGTTTAGCCTTACATCCATATGGACATCTAATATTGGCATTCATTGTTTAGCCTTACATCCATATGGACATCTAATATTGACAGTCATTGTTTAGCCTTACATCCATATGGACATCTAATATTGGCATTCATTGTTTAGCCTTAAATCTAGATGATATCTTGTATTGGCATTCATTGTTGATCTATCCTACTCTGTAGATAGCATTACCGATATACTCACGGGAAACGTCCGGGAAACCTTCGCTATACTCCATTTTCAGAGCTGAAATATATATGATAATATTTTTTATTCAAATGAATAACAGTAGCATCTTTAAACAAACCCTGAAATTATACTAGAAGTACATAAAAGAAATAGCAATACCTCTTTCCTATTGTAAGGAACAAAATGGTTAACCTTTTGTTTAAAACAATTAATGAATCATCAATCTCATTATCTGACAAAAAACATAATTTTTACTTTGAGTGCCGGTATTGTCACATTATTGTGGTGCAAAATAAAGATGTTGCATCATGTTTTCATTCCCAGTTCTACATCTCTCGACTAATAAAAGACTATTTCTTTGAGAGGCATCTTAGATGTTGTAAAGATGTAAAGGAAAACCAAGTTCTATGGATAGTCAATTCCTTTATTGCAATGGGTGCGATATTTCGGTGTAGATACTAACACCCTTATCAAGCAGATCACTTACTTGATAGCGGTGCTTGTAGTATCTACACCGAAACATCGTATTCATTGCAATAAAGGAGTTGACTATCAATAAAACTTGGTTTCCTTTACAAAAGACTGTGACTGAAGTTTCAATCTTGACCGGAGTAGAAATTTCAGATCCCCACACAGCAGCTACTTCCTTGTTCAGGTGAAATGGTTATGTGTTCAGATAATATCATTATTTACACATAATGTGGATAATTAAGCTGTTCAAGGATTGAATAACATGTCAGTTGTTGAATGTTACTGATCTTATGAAATATAGTTGAATACAAACAGTATTTTTCAGGTCAGATGTGGACTAAAAGTCTCCTTACCTTTACCAATCTGTAGAATTACTACGCAGTAGAAATGAAAATAGACGTCATGTCTAAATATATATTCTTCGATTGTGACGCTATGTATATCATTTGCATTGCATTTTTTGCATATTGTACACCTTTGGGACAATTAAGTTCAAGACAACTAGGAATTCAGACCATCTAATTCAACACATCCTGGTGGAAATAGCATATATTGCTTGGCATACCACGCCACGTCTTGCTATGCCATGTCATGTCACAACATAACATGACATGACCAGTCGACTTAAGAAAATCTATATGTTCACTTTCAATGTCATTGTTACTTGGGAGCGCTCTTGGAAAAAATGCCACCAGTATCTTTGGGCATCTTTTCATAACTGAGTTCACCACAACAAGATATTCGACACATCTGAGTTCGACACAATAGTGTTTGACAGTAGCTTCCTCCTTACCACCATTCTTAGATGATATCCCAATAGCCTGCCCAGTGTAGTTACCATGGTAGTCATAGATGAAAATGTCATTTTGACCTACAAAGCGATAGGCAATATATATTAGAAAGGAATGTGGAGTCATTCAAGAAATTGAGTCACCAATACCAATTCCCCAGGAATTGTGTCTTCAACTATAAATGTCATGTGCATTATTTTTATGTAAACATTAGTAGCTTGTATCATAGGACAGAAATACACTGAATACTTTTCAATGAAGTCATCAGGCTTGACATGGAATCAAACAATAACATCTTTTAATATGCTGCAGTAAAGCCAAGTAGGCAGCAGGTGCTTGTGACAAGGATATTGCTCATTGCATAGAAAGTCACAGACCATGAATAGACCCCTTGTGGATACACTGAACAGGCTGAGACAGCCTCCTATATATAATTTGATAACATGTATGTAATGCCTCAAAAAAACATTAAGAGGAAAATAAAGAAAAATAAGCTGATTTCAGAATTTAGAGGGTAGAGGGAATCTCTTGCATCTTTTATATTGTTTCTATATTATGGGTTTAGTAGTTGGTGATAGTGGATTATTCACTTTTTGTAACTGAGTGTGTGAACCATAAGAGGGTTAACACAGGGTTTGTGCTGTTTTTGGTCGATTTTTTTTTCCATAGCAACCAATGACCAAATGGAAAAAACAACCTGTTGACCTGCTAACAAATAAACAAGCCTTATATGACTGTTTAGAAAATACAATGCGTGACCTAATCACTGCTGTGTCAGCAAACAACTCTACTCCACAGATGTTGCTCACGAATCAATTGCCATAAGCGATGAGGACTCCATGGCATGTCACTCAAAACGATATTATGGTTATTTATATCACGGCTTTATGTATACTTTCAACGTGATACAACAATGATATCATTATCGGTGTTTAACTGCTCTATCTGTTGTGAAGTCAGTGTATCAATGAGGTAAATATGTAGGAGTAGTTATCAGACAGATGTTTTATGTGTGTCTAGGTAAATAGTTTATATCACACCAAATATGCATTTCATAAAACCATGGCATTCTGAGTGAGTGAGTGAGTGAGTGAGTGAGGAATAAGTCAGCTGCCTAACCTGCTCAGCCACTGTGACCCGTGTGGGTTCGAATCCCGGATGGGATTCAGCCCAACAAAGCACTAGAATCTGTACTTTACTAAGAAAGTGTAATCCCAAATATAACATAAGCTACATTTGACCACTTTCGAAATGGCATTGTGTAATCAAGGTTATAAAGTGATTTTCGAAACTAATATTGTGGTGTTATTGTATAGGTTAATTTCTTTTGTATCAGCTGATACCAAGGGATTACAAACAGTAGTAGAAAGATAAGACATGCTTTGATCAGTGTAAAAGTATTGACAAATCATGAACAAATCTGCAGACTCAAGCAAAATGCTTGTGTGTATTGGGTGTATTGGGTGTATTTGGTTCAGTCTGCTTGACAGCATTCACTTTGCTGTTAGCTCTGAGGTCAACATGACCAGGTAGCCACCAAAACACAGTATCAAATTAGGTTGTAGATTAAGTGAGGTGACACCACACCTTCCTCTGAAGATGGCTCTTTGTATATTAGAAGACATTGCATGTATTTTTTTTTTGAAAGTAGCCAGTGAACTAATTTTGAGTCCTGGGCTGTTGATCCAGGCTGTTTTCAACAAGACCTGGTGTGACTGACTCAACTTTTTCCTCAATGGTTAGGCAGGAATGAGCAGTGCTATCAAGCTGGCCATTGTCCAATTTTATGTTGTTTAATCTTATATCCTGCAGGACTTGTCTTTGTAATCTTATGGGGAGGTGGGGTAGCCTAGTGTTTAAAGCGTTCACTTGTCGTGCTAAAGGCCCATGTTTGATTCCCCACATGGATACAATGTGTGAAGCCCATTTCTGGTGTCACCCGTTGTGATATTGCTGTAATATTGCTAAAAGCAGCATAAAACCATAAAGCATATTGGTTTAAACTGCTTACATTTCGATTTATCCCTTTACTCACTATTTAAAGCAAGACAGGTCTGTTTGAAGTACCTTTTAAATTATAATCCCAGAGCTGTCAACCCCTAAAGATGGTTTGGAGTGAGACTGAAAAAAAAAGCCGGGATCCAGGGACCTCAGGTCCCTGGTCATGTCGAGGACGACGCCCTGGTGGGGGGTCTTTGGGGGGCGAAGCCACCAGCCCCAAAAAATGAAGTTTAGTGATTATCAGGGGCATTTGGAGCCTTCTGGTGGCATTATTTTTACACTAAAAGATGCATGCTAATTAATAATAATAAGCCGAATCATTCGCATAAACATCGCTTTAGTACTTCGTTCATTCAGGCGTTCTTTCAATGTTCAACTTTACGCAAAAACAAACGAAAATGCGTATTAATTTTGAAATTATTTTTGGTTACCACATATGCGTGAGATTATTATTTGGAGGCGTGAGAGCGTGACATTTGTCAATAAAGCGTGAGACTCACGCCAAATGCGTGAGAGTTGACAGGTATGGAATCCAGGTTTTGGCTGTTTTCATTTACAGCTATAAATGCATTTAAACTTGAAATGACAGAGGGAAATGTCGACAAATTTATCTGGACCTGATTGGAAACTAGTATTTGGCTCGAGTTCAAGCAAATGTCTGTATTAAATCGTAAATTATGATTGCATATTTCCATAATCATGTTTTAATAGTTATCCTATGACTTTGAAAGGTGATATGAGTTCCACTGACAACAACACTTGGTTTAACTTCACTGCATTGGATGTTCTGTTAAAATGCAACATTACATTACATCTGAGTGTAGAAATCTTTGTTGTTTTCCCCAATTTTGAATATGATGACAATTGTTTTCCAATTTGCCTGTCAAGGGCAGTTAGTATGGAATCTGACCCATGAAGATCTGGGTAAGAATTGATCTTCAGCAACCCATGCTTGTCGTAAGAGGCGACTAACAGGATCAGGTGGTCAGGCTTGCTGACTTGGTTGACACATGTCATTGTATCCAAATTGCGTAGATCAATGCTCATGCTGTTGATCACTGGATTGTGTGGTCCACACTCGATTATTTACAGACCGCCGCCATATAGCTGGAATATTGTTGAGTGGTGTAAAACTAAACTCACTCACTCACTCACTCACTCACCACTAGTTTTGAATCCTGGATAAATCTCTGACTGACAAGCAAAGACTAATATAACACTGAATAACTGTATCCTCCCTGCAAATGGTGACCCTGTACCAGTATATTCAAAGTGCTAGTACTGCCCAAAGAACAAAAAAGAAATCAGAATCGTGTTCTTGTTTCATATTTTTATTCCGCTTATTGAACAAGTCTTAACTTGATTTGATATTGTAGGAGCATGTGAGGTTGAAAATATGGTATAATTTGTTCCAGAAAAAATATAAATATAATGTTTGCTGGACATGCAGGATGTCTTTAAATATAATATCGTATCTCTAACAAAAAATATATCGGAAGCAGACATTGTGACCTCTGTGACTGCAAGGTCGATAGTGACTTCAGACAGTTCTTTGGATGTGATTCATCATTTAAATGTAACTTTCTATTACAACATTTTAATAAACTTCAATTAACTGGAGCTAAGTGTCATGACACACTGTGACAGGTATCTATAGATATATTCCTACAAATGAAGAGACTTTGAACAACACTAATTCAGATGGGGTGGACCTTAGGGTCACAGATTAGCTTAATTTGGTTGGACTGATGCATGCAGGTGGGGGCAATGTGTTACATTGCATTTTGATAATGTTTTTGATTATATTGGTGCCAGTTTGGGCATCTTGATCAGTGTTAACTGATAATTTAGCAAGTGTTGTTAATGTGAATAACTTTATCTGCATGATTCGTCAGTATACCTAACACAGTTTGAGAGTTTCAGCTTAGTGGACCTCCCAGGCTCTGTAAGCATCACCCATATATTAAGCCTGTTGTTAGCGTTGTGCTTGTTGCAAGAGGATACTATGAGAGTAGATGGTCAGGTTTGCTGAGTTTGTGAATTCATTTCTCAGTGTCCCAGTTGCATAGATTGATGCTTATGATCAGTGTGTGAAATAGCCACTGGCCTGCTAAGCCTGTGGCTAGTAAAGTCCAGTCAGGCTAGTAAATCTCCACAGTCACTGGCCCGACTGGCTAGTAAATTTTCTTTGGGTCATTTTGTAAATATATCACTCTCTGTGACTTGTTAAATTATAATACACTTTTAAATCATGCAAGATTATGTTCTGATAATCATGTTCATCATATTAGCAGCTTAATGATGGAACCTGTGTCATGCCGACATTATAGTATTCTCATCTAGTTTTGTAATCTTTTGCTCAGTTTCTACATTCAAATTTCAGGTTAGTGAAATTATCTTGTGAGCTAGTAACTTTCAGGCATAGCTAGCCCGACTGGCTAACAAAATTTTGAAACTATTTCGCCCACTGCCTATGATGTGCCACAGTGATGCATACCAGTTATCCGGGGCAGTGGGGTAGCCTAGTGGTTAAAGCGTTGTCTTGTCACGCCGAAGACCTGGGTTCGAATCCCCACATGGGTACAATGTGTGAAGCCCATTTCTGGTGTCCCCCGCCGTGATGTTGCTGGAATATTGCTAAAAGCAGTCAGTCATACCAGTTATCCAGTGTAGTTTTTGCTTCTGTACTAATGATGAAAATCAAAATACTTTTCAATGTTCATAATTAAGAAGACAACTGTGTCATTTGTTTATTGCATAAAATGACCAGTTAGACCTATAATAGGTTTAGATCAAAACTATTTGTAAAAATTAGAAACATGTTCTAATTTTCATGATTTATGTCTGCTTGAGTGAATGGACAACAGCACCCTGCAAATACATAGAAATTATCAAAATGAATGAATTAGCAATAAATGGGGTGTTTTATGAGCCTCCTTCCTGAGAAAAGTACTTAACCGTGTGTAGCCATGATCTCTGACCTGTACAGGTGTGGCTTCGCAGTCACAGTTACATGACATGGGATATTATGTTGCGTGAATACTGACATTTCTCCATACTGCTGTGTGGCTGGTGAGTATGCTAGCTGACACGTGACAATGAGAGAAGTAACTGCACACATTGTCCTGCTTCACCATTTAGTGACAGGAAGAGGTCTTGGGTCCTTTCTTATGAGTAATTTATGTTTGTATCAAGTCTGTATCGGTATTCATCCATACAATAATGATAAACCCAGACACCATGTTTATTTGATCCATCCCGTCTCTAGTTGTGGAGTTGGATTCAGTTTACAAGACCCTTGCTTTCACAACACTTAACAGGATTGTGGCTTTATATTAGATCTTTCGACAGTTGGTATCGTGTTGAAACTTCATTTGGGGCTGATTACTGAATGTGTGGCAGGATCATTTATACATGGGTGAGTACTGGTGATTTATTCCAGCAGGGCTGGGGAGTTAGATCTTAGGACTTATCATATTTCTGGAGATTTTTCATTTTATATGACATGTTTTCATGCCCGTCCCTGTGCATGTAAATGTTTTCATTACCCGATCCCTGAAATAAATGGCCAGTCTCTACAAAATGTACACCTTTATAATTTCAGTGTTTCTGATTCCAACATGACTATCTAATCAGGTGAGACATAGTTTTCAACCACTGAAAACCATAATCTGAAATACACTTTCAAACTCTCCTCCTGTGGAATGGTGAAAGGGGAAATAGCTCAGAATTAAGACGTTGACGAAATACGAAGAAATATGTTGAGTCCAACCATCTTGACTGTGTTATACAATTAATAAATACACAATATTTATACGCAATGAGCTGAATAAATACTCAGACATTAATGAGGTGAGCGGAATCCCAGCTCAACCTCCAGTCTAGTCTGTCATACAAACCCTGAAACAAATTTATCCAAGAAAGCCCACGCAAGTCTAGAAAATGTGGCAAGTCTAATGAAGAAAATCTCTAAGGGCTCCTTTCCATTATTTTTTTATTTTTTACTATAAACTTTTTTCTGTAAAATATGTTTATTTCAGAGACTAGTTGTTAGTCTACTGATATGGTTGCCAATGGTGGCTCATAGACTTACAATGATCATAATTAGAAACTGTGTTACAATCAGATTGGTGGTGCAGTGATGGCGACCATACTTTCCGGCATTGTTGATATTCATGTTTTAGTCAGTATCCCTCTCAGATTTCAAGTAAATTGTTACCAAATTTCAATTTCATTGTTTTTGTACAGGTTCCACTTTAATACACAGGATTTGATTTTTGAAAGCATATACAACAAGTAGTGTTTTTCTTCTGTAGGGTGGGGTGGTTGGGTAGCCTAGTGGTAGCCAGGTGGTTAAAGCGTTCTCTCATCACACAGAAGACCCGGGTTTGATTCCCCATATTGGTACAATATGTGAAGCACATTTATGGTGTCCCCTGCCGTGATATTGCTGGAATAAAAGCAGCGTTAAACACCCACTCACTCCTTCTGTAGTCTTCACAAGATGTCTTCAATTACCTGTGATATTTGAGCAAAGTATGCCTAAACAGTAGATATATTAAACTAATTGCATCATAAGTGCAGTTTGCCTTTTTTATTTAAGCTAACGGAAATGTGTAACAAAAATATGTCAAAATAAACTGAACCAGAAAGAGTTCAGGCCATGTGAGGGACCGTTCATAATTTATGGCTAGAGGGGGTGATGATGATATTTATGGAGAAGCATGTACAATGTGAATCACCCCCCTAAAATGTATGTACAAAGTATGTGCCCCCCCACATGCCATGAACAAAATCAATCACCCCTTCCCCCTTCCAATATTTTTTAAGCAAAAGTTTTAAATATTTGTATGTTCAAAATTGCTGCCCCCTAGAAACATGTGTACAAAATTGATGACCCCCTACCTCCCCAGAACAAAATGGGTGAAACCACCCCCCACCCCCTAAAATCATCATCACCCCCACCAGCCATAAATTATGAACGGCCCCTAAAGTGGAAATTTTCATCTGGTAATATTCTGTCTCTTCTACCTAAAATATCACCCAAAATATTCCTGATCCCAGACTAACATTTAGGGTCTGATATCAACATACTTTACAGTTCCTAAATTATGTTCTTAAAATAAAATATAAAGGAGCCAAGGGACTTCTTCACTCTCTGAAACTGGTAATCTTGACTTGCCACATATTTTAGACTTGGCACAACTACATCGGGTGTACTTGTGTCAGGGTCTCTGTGACAGACTATCATGATCCCAAACTTTTTCTGTCCAGTATAGATAATATATATTTGTAATGTTTTCAACTTGATTTCTAAACATAGTGTTGGTGAAATAAAAAAGTAAAATGATGTAATGATTTCTCTCTCTCCCTCTCTCTTTACATATATAGATAGATATTCCCGCCTTTTGTTACTGGGACATCACGTTAACCAATAGATTTTTGACGGTAGAGGGCGTCAGCAAGTATGGTATGGCGGCCATTATATATCGAACCTCAGAGATGAGGATGATACTTATCTAAAGCATATCACATAGAGGTATCATATTCAAGGTAAGAAGATGATCATAAAATGCAGTTTAAGAGATTCTAATCACAGCTTGTTGAACATTATGTCACAGGATCTTGACCTTTTCAAACACTAGTACCGGTATCTTCAATCACTGCACGCATGTGTATGCCGGCTGAGACCATTCATGATTTCCTTATGACTGAAGAGGATTTCCTGAATGTTTGGTGGACCCTGAGCATGCTTAACACATTTGTATCTGCGATGTTATAACCAAGATATAACCAGGAGGTTTGTTTACAAGCTTCACTGCTTCTTTCCATGGTCAGCACCCCATGTCCCATTCAGCTGTTTTATGTCACATTCATCAGATAACGTTACTCTGTGGTGTATACAAATGTCTTTGAAAAAAAAAAAATTTCAAGGTTCTCGTGTTTTTCTTATAACCTAATGTACATTAGATATGCATGAGAAATAATGTAACAATTAGACAGTATGTTATGAACTGCATGTTGCCCATTTGTTGTCCCTTTTTTGGGGGGTGTTTCCTAGGGTATTTAGTTCCACCATTTGATCAGAGGTGGAAACAGATGGCAGACTATACTAAAATTAAGTAATGGATAATGCATATTTTTGTGATGTAGTATTGGTAATCTCCCATGTGACAGACACCCAATTGACAGACACTGAACTAGAAGGTTAATTAGGGTAACACCTATGGGTATAATGGAACAGTCCACTGTCTAGTGAGTAGAGCAGGGTCACAGCCTGAAACAGATTCGTTATTGAGAAGTTTGTGGGTAAACAGAACTTTGTTGTCATTAAATGATAAATGATTTCTCTTCTCAAATTGATTTTATTTTCAATTACTATCGAATGTAAAAACAGGTGTTTATTGATAGAAAAGACCCGTCCCAATAATAGCATATGTACAACAGAAGTTAACTGAGAAAACGTTTTGCTGGAGAGATACAGATATGTACATATTTGAAAACATTCTGATTTGCAGTAAATGAGACACCTGCATTGCCATGTAAGATACGATTAATACCAATCAGTGTTCTAATTTCAACAATCCTTTCTAAAGATTGTAACAGTTTATGTCTTTGAGTAGTAAACAACGGACATTCAAGGAAGTAATGAAAAACATTCTCACACCCATGGCCACATTGACATGATGTGTCATTTTTAAATATTTATTCTAAATAAATCGTAATTAAGTGCACTCGTCATATATCTTAATATTGTGTGCAAAACATATCACTGGACCGTAAATGTTGTTGTTTTAAGGTGTCTGCAAACTGGCTGTCTGCGTAATGGGAGGACACCATAGTATTAGACTGATGATTTAGCATGAGCTGATGCAGCTGCTGGAAATATGTAACATCCTGTAGCATGTTGCCTAGCAACAACACTGCTCAGTACTTATATTTTACTGATGATTGCGTCAGAATTCGTCCCGTTATATTTTTGTGCCTGTTTGAACTTGTTCGCCGGGAAAGTGTACACAGCTGATTGCTATTTCCGGCTTTGTGTTCGAGACAAATACGCACGGTAATCTTAATCCCTGCAAATAATACAATGCCCAGCTAAAACAACTTATAACTTAAAAGGTAAATAATCTTGTCTAGTGATGTTTAATTGCAAATTTGACGTCTCTACTGACAAAGTCGTCTTCTGTTGTTAGTTCACGCGAAGTGATACGATGTTGTTTTCTTACCCCTGGAAAAAAGTTTGACGAAAGCGTAACCCATGGATAAGACAACCCCCTTCTACAGACTGCTTTTTTTGGTCCTCAAAATTTGGCTTTAGACGGTCATATACGGTATCAGACAATAAGATGTTAACAGGATTAACATGTAACTTACAACTATAATAAAGCATACAACTACATGGGTAAAAGCTTTTTGTTTATTGCCTATTTCTATTGTTATCCACAATGTCAAATGGTTTATTATTGAATTCTAGAATGCCGATTAAAAAATGAACTTACAAACTTCAATGAAAAACTGGTTTTCTGTAGGGATATTGTACAGTGTCCTTTTAAGATAACCTCTGCTGGAAGGATGTAAAACTAATTGTAAAATGTTATTGTGGCAGGATCTTACGGGTTGTTTTAGCATGTTCATCTTTTATATCCAACTGAAAAACACTATTTAAGCATTATATCCCTCAGCTGAAATGTTACTGACCCAACCACATTCAAACACACACAGGCTTCTGGTGTGCCCAAGGGACAGACCCGTGAAGATCCAGGTTAGAAATTGATCTTCGGTAACCCATGCTTGTTGTAAGAGGCGACTAATGGGATTTGGTGGTCAGGTTTGTTGACTTGGATGATGCATGTCACCGCATCCCAGTTGCAATGATCAATGCTCATGCTGTTGATCACTGGATTGTCTGGTCCAGACACGATTATTTACAGACCACCACTGACTGAAGTGTTACTTTTGTTTGCCAATAATAGAATGTGTTCAAGAGGTTCAAAATTGGTGTCAAATGTGGCCATCAGTGCAGACACATATTTTTAGTCATTGCTCAGCCATTTTGTAATGAATAGTTTGTTTAGTGTGTAGTTAATAGGGCCCAACACATATATCAATTAATGGATGATATTTTAAGTTCGATATGATATGTCAATCCTGGATGTGTTCAGGTTAGGTCACAGGCGGGTAATGTTATTTATAGACCTATGGCCAATGTTGTCTATTGTTCTTGCAGTTGCTTCACATTATGGAATAACCTCAGTAGAGGTTTTACGATTGCAGGAGGTTTTACAATGATCATTGTAATACCTTGCAGGAGGTTTTACAATGACCATTGTAAAACCTCATACGAAGTACGAAGTTTTACAATGGTCGTTGTAAAACCTCATTGGCTATTATTTATGACTGATACAACTTTGTCTTGCTATGACTGATCGTAAAATATCTAATTATTGAAAACTTCCAATATTCAGTGGCGATAACTGGTTTCGAACCCACAACCCATCACTCTCTAGCTTGGCGGTTTTATCCACTACGCTACGAAGGATCGCTGTGAGGAAAGAGATTATTTGTCAGTATGAACCATGTGTTTCTCACACGACACATACTGCGGGCAGCGCACGTGCAGGACACGGGTAGCGCGTGCGGGGCAAGGTGTTGGCTGCCAGTCGCATCCCAGTTGCCACCAGCTGTTCCATCATTTGCGGGCTGTTCCATCAATGTTGTTCTACTCAGTACATGCACAAATTGAAATTAAGTGTTGTCTTAGACGGTTTATAAGTTAGATAAAACACGACTCCGAGGTTTGGGTTGAGATTGTAAAACCTCAGTGTCAGGAACTCCCTCGGGCGCTTTACAATCTCAACCCAAACCTCGGAGTCGTGTTTTATCCTACTCATCACTAATGGGGTCACATGAACCCCAAGGAACCTGTGTAGTCTGACCTCTTTAAAGCCATTGCCATTCAACTATGGTGACCTTCAAAACAACATAATTCTTTGATAAAAAGGCCAAATCAATTATATTTCTTGTTTTACGGATCCGCCGGTCGTATTTTTTCAAGAACAAGGAAAATAAATAAATATTAATTTTCGCCACTCAAAAAATAAAACCTGTTGTTTTTATTGGCTAAAAATGTAAACTTACAAGAAATCTTATTTTTTAGCTTGTAGCTTGCTCCATATACACTTCATAAATTTCCAAAAGTAAAATACTTTTAGTATTTAGAAGGAATATTACTTTGACTGGTGATTTTTTTTTTGATTTTTTTTTCTCTCCTGCCTTTAGGTTTTCTGAGGACAAAAATCCGTAAAACAAGAAACAAAATTGATCTGGCCTAACCATTCTAAAAACGATATTCAGGATATTTGTGCTTTTCAAAGTGAGAACTGGTATCCTACATGAAATGTGGTCCACAGATCTTTCACATCCACTCTTTAGTATTCATGACTGACAACAGGCAATGAATTTGACACTTGTTTGGTCTTGATGTGGAATGGAAAATTGCAACACCTGCAGAAAACCACATCATGACCAAACCAGTGTCACATTCATTGTCTGTTGTGTCATGTAATACAGCTGACAATGTCCTTGAATGCTAGCAATGGTTTAAGCTGGTTAGACCACAGGTTCTGTGTAATGGCATGTGACTTTTCAAAAGGACTACTCCCTATTTTTTTTTTCAATATAGGGATACTATTTGATTTGTTTATGCAGTGTCTAAATGGTCAGAATGATTCATTCATGAAATGTTACTCTCTCTCTCTCTCTCTCGCTTTCTCTCTCATACAGACCCTGAACCAAATATATCCAAGAAAGGCCACGCAAGTCTAGAAAATGTGGCAAGTCTACATTTACTCAGCTTCAGCTTCTGAAAATGAAGAAAGTCTCAGGGCTCCTTTTCATTATTATTATTTTTTTTTACTATGAACTTTTTTCAGTAAAATATGTTCATTTCAGAGACTAGTTGTTGTCTATGTGGATCCGTGCATGCGTTCGTGAATAATATGTAGTCAATCATGTTGTATCAGGATAAATGTACTTGATATACTTTTGTATCCAAAATTGCACCGGATAAGCTTTCTCTGAATTGTTTACCAGCAGCTGATTTGGACAAAGTGTCTTCACTGAGCCGACCCGTGAAGATCCGGGGTAGAATAGGTCTTCAGCAACCCATGTGCTTGCCATAAAAAGGCGACTATCTTGTCGTAAGAGGCGACTAACGGGATCGGGTGGTCAGTTTTGCTGACTTGGTTGACACATGTCATCAGTTCCCAATTGTGCAGATCGATGCTCATGCTGTTGATCACTGGATTGTCTGGTCCAGACTCGATTATTTACAGACCGCCGCCATATAGCTGGAATATTGCTGAGTGCGGCGTAAAACTAACCGCTCACTCACTCACTCACTTCACTTAGCCAATCACATTCACAGTGATGTTAATCACTGTGATTCTTTGTCACTCTCATGGACAATTAAGTATCTCTACATTCCAGATCTTCCTCACTGTCAGTCTTCTGAGCTCATCAGCCTTCCTCTGCTTGACTAAACCTCAGGTGGAGTGAAAATACAACATACAGACAGGTACCGTCTTGAGCCTTCTCTTGGGACACTGTCTCTCTGAATTACCCCCAGATTAAATCATATTCATGTAGTCATACTTGCTCAATTAATGTGAGATTGAAATCACTCTTTAAAACTTTCAAGAACACTTGTTCAAAAAGTTACCGTCATTACGTGTTTGGTGTTTGGGGACAACATTCAAGGGGTAGTGGCAACTGTTGGAATATCTAACAGGTCACATGATTTGTACTTGCATGACCTGAGGTCACACTTGAAATGGGTTTCATGTGAAAGATCAAAACCGACTTCGAAGTTTTACTAGAGGTGAACCGATATACCACTGTATATACAGTGGAAGCTGGGTAAACCGGCACCGGTCGGGACTAAAGAAATAATCTGGTTTTGTCAGCCTGCTGGATTGTAGAGCTGACATGATTACCTACGACTGGAACTGAACCAGTTTTATCACTCTCATATACATTGTTGCATAACGTGGTTCTCTCAGTTTCTCTCTCAACTCACTAATTACATGAACAAGTACAAGTACACCCATACTGAACTAAGATTAAATTATATTTGTCAGCAACCATGTAGTTTCAACACAGGATTAATTGTTGACAATACACATCCAACCAACTCCTCGCCATGCGCCGGATAGACAGCATTGATATTCAAGTGGCTCATTTCATGCTGAGATCCGGAATTGACAGCTGCCAGATTGCAGAGCTTTTAATTGATGATAAATGTGCTAGCCATGGACGGGACTGAGATTTTAGGCCGGTATTGACAACTTGCCGGATTGGACAGCTGCCGGTTTTGCCAGCTTCCACTGTAGTAGAACCACGGTATTTTGCCTTCAGGTTGATATACTGTAATGCAATCAAAAAAATTTGTATTATCGGTTTTCACACCATCATTTTATTAACCACTTTAAACCTTTTTCTAAAACATCTAGAAATCGAATCATTTGGTCACAATCTATTCATTTCTTTGCTAGGCGGATGCTATTTTCCTGGAAGTAAGATCGAGATTGCCTCAAGTTGTCTATAGTCTGGCAGAAACTTTTCGTGACGGTGTTTAGTCAGTTTACTCAAAAAACTACAAGTACAATCATTTTCTAATTTGGCATGATGCATTATAATTGTTCCTCCATTGTGAATTTTAAATTCATAAATTATTATTTAATTATAAAAGAGTTGTCAGTAATGGATTTCATGTTTATGTCATTTACTTTAGGGAGCATCTCTTCTCTGACTTGTGTCCAGCCTTCAGAAACCCCCTTGCCTCAAGTACCCACCTAGACTAAAGGTTAGTCTCTGGATATATGTAATGTTGACAGAAACAAATTATTCCTTTTAAACTGAATAGGAGTGAGATGGGAGATTCAGAACCTGTGGAAGTCTAGACTTGCTTCATTTTGGGCTTTAGCACCGCAGAAAGGGCAAGGTAGAAGGGAAAATAATGTGGTTCACGGACTGTAAGACACAGTACACAGCGTCCACCAACAGATGGCCATGCATTAGGTTAGGTGACTTGTGGAAGTAGATACCGTTGTACAAAGTGATTTTGTTGCTGAGATGACACCTATATCTTTACACAGACGTCTGACAGTCTACGTGGTAAGGTTGTTTTGTACTACACCACCTGTTCCCCTTCACTTTCACTGGACATATGAATTGAGACAATGTAACATTCCTTCATGTTGACAGAATGGCCGCTCCTGGCAAGCTGAGTGTGGAGTGTTCAGGTGGAACTGAGCTGTCATTTCTAGCAACGAACCATTGTACCTTTGTATCGCCCACCGTTTCATCCCACCCTGCAACTCTTTCAAGTCAGGGATCCAGGCTTCATGTCGGATCGAGCCAGCCAGTTAATATTGACAGCCGCCATTTTGGTCAGGTAATACGGACAGCACTTTTGAAAGCAAGCAACAACCTGTCAAATTATCATGAACATTTTTGTAAAACTTTTTCATGTTTTCGGTTTGGTGATTATTTTCCAAAGATTACAGATAGATAATACAGAAAATGCATATAGTAATTTTTTAAACAAATTAATTATGTTATTTCCTTTTCGCTATAACAGTTTTGGATATTTTATTGATGGTGACTTGGCTGAATAAAAAAGAGTCAACTCAAACTTGATTATATTCATTGTTTGTGAAATGGCAACTGGCCCGCAAGCCCGCAAGCTAATACAAAAAATTTTGGCAATGCCCAATGCTACTTTCAGGTTAAGCTAGCCCGACTGGCTAGCAAAATTTGGAAACTATTTCACACACTGGATGCATTCTGAACATTTGACAACTACCATGAAAACTTGAAATGATTACAGTGATTATATTACTCAGACAGTACAAGAAAGATATTTTTATCTCACAATGTTTTGAAGGTGGAGAACTCTGATCCCACAAATTCGCTGCCCCCAGTTGTGATCAAAGTTGTGGTGAATGGAGATGATGTGGAAACAGTAAATGTGGGCAGAGATCGGGAAGATGTTGCCATCAAACTTCAAGTCTGTGATCCATCCAGAGGTACAGATAAGCTGCGTATCTGCGTAAATTACGCAAATATTTACATGAAAACTCTATTCTTTTTAAGTCTATTGCATACAAGTACAGTTGATTTTTTTCTAAATCCTCATTAAATTTGACCATAAACAACTGGGATATGATGACATGTGTCAACCAAGTTGGTGAGTTTGACCACCCGACCCCATTAGTCGCCCCTTACACAAAGCATGGGTTACTGGAGAAAACTTCTGACGGGCCTGTTCCTTGGACACACCAGAAGCCAGTGTGTGTTTGAGTGTGGTTGGCCCTGTTGTGTTACTAGTTTGGCCAGTACTATACCCATGCTTGTGGGCTTCACCAAAGTGGTATAGCTCTGGTACCTGCAACACTTCAGATTTTCCATCAACAGCACATCGACTCACTATGATATATGTGAAATACTATTCAAAGAGGTCTTAAACCCAACTAAGTCACTCACTCATTCAGTCTGAACAATGTGTCAACATTATTGTGTATAATTTTGGAACTGTACTGTTGCATTTCTTTAATGCTTTTTTTCATTTTCAGGAACGTCAGACCCTGATGATGCTTCCATTTTCAAGTCGATATCAAAGATATCGATGCTCACAGCCATTAAACTCATTGTAAGTCTGGCAAAGGGCAGATTTGTGTTGTGTCTCAACTGTATCTGTCTTACCACCTTTGGTTAGAAAGTTGACTATCAAAGCTTCACAAATTTCTGTGATACTAAAATGCTCGTCTTTGGCTGGCTGAAATTTGTTTCGGTTTGTAAATATTAGGGGTATTATTTCTCATGCAAACTAATTTTCTCTTCAATATTAACTTATACAAAATTACTACGGAACATTGTGGGCATGTGTATAAATGTCATGTTTGTTTTTTCAGATTGTTTTGCAGATTGTTGCTATGTTGAAAGGGAATGGTGTAAACATACACTACAACAATGTGTACAACTACCACCAGACACCACCTCTTCCTGCAAACAAGATGGAGCCAGTTCTTGTCAACAGCACTGGCAATGACAACTATAGACCACCTGTTAACCAGATGGAACCATCTCTTGTCAACATCACTGGTGATGGCAACTACAGATCAGATGAAGCTGCTTCTGGCAACAACAAGGAGCTAGTTCTTGTCAACAGCACTGGCAATGACAACTATAGATCAGATGCAATCTTAAGCGGCTGTACCTGTCAACAAGATGGAGCCAGTTCTTGTCAACAGCACTGGCAATGACAACTATAGACCACCTGTTAACCAGATGGAACCAGCTCTTGTCAACATCACTGGTGATGGCAACTACAGATCAGATGAAGCTGTATCAGAGGGGTCTATGTGTAGCAAGTCCACTCCTCTGAGAAGGCCTGATAAAAAGATAGCCTCCAAGAAATGCATGATTCAGGGTAAACAAATTATGCCCAAACCTGGAGTTAAGGATTACCTGAGTCTTCTGTTTTCTGCAGAACCTCCTCAGTGTAGCTTTCAATCAAACAGAATCTACCATGAGATGACAAGTAGACTTGGCGATGCAAGAAAGCAGCACCAAATTCTTCAGAGTGACCACGAAGACCATTGCTTCTGGGTATCTTCAAGAACACAAGCAAGTGTAAGGTTTGCCATGTCACGACTTGAATACAGTTGTCCTGATGATCAGGAAGAGATCGATGTAAAACAGATGCAGAAGGAACAGAAGAGGTCAGCCATGACGAAGGACTTCACGGCTCTTGCTATGCAAGGAGACAGCAGTAGCAAGCAAGAGGCCAAATCTGTTGCTGGAGCTGGTCATGACAACCTCACCCAAGGTCTTGACAATATGGAATGTCTGATCAGTCCTCTTCTGCAAGTCCTGGCTATAACTGTGTCATTGTTTATTGCCACCTTTGTTTTTGCGAAAACCCTACTGCAGCCGCTCTTTGCAGTGACCAAAAGACTGAACTGGTTCCTTGACAAAGTAAAGCTATATGTTTGTTCTGGAAGGGCTCTCATTTCTTCCACCTGCATCAAATTATGTTGCCATGTTGTGGCAGTGCTGCTCCCCAATCATGTTCCTTCATATGTGGCAATGCTGTTGCTGGTGTTTATGGAGTGTTCAGGATCTGCTCATGGTGAAAGTCCAGACAGCTTTGACAGTGGAGCACAAGTGACCAGTGAACAGGGAAGACAAAGACAGGGGGAAGATGTTACACATGCTGGCTTCCTATCTGAATCATTGTCAGTCCCCAAGAATATACAAAATGTCAGTACGTCAGATGATGATGCACCTCAGAATACAGACCCTGATGAGAGTTATGTGGAAAATCAACGTGATGACACTGACCAAATTAAGAGGAGTGATGATCCATCTGATAAAACTGAAGATGATAACTCATCTTTAGGTCTAAATGAGGTGAACACTGTCCAAGACTTTGTAAGAGACATAATTGGAGAATCTGATTGCCAGCCATCTATTGCTCCAGACGCATTGGAACTGGCCAGGAATGGATTCAAAAACACAGGTGTTGAAGATCCTCCTGCATGTCCTGAGGTACACTGTGATGAAGTTAAGAAAAGGATACCCTCACTTCCCGAGGATGCAAGTATTATCTATTCGAGGAAGCGGCCTGGAAAGCCCCGGATCCCCAGATCTGTAGGAAGATCCATCTCTGATGACTTGGTGGAAACGGATGCAGCAGACAATGAAACAGCAGAACATGTTTTGAGCCATCTTAAGACACAACCAGGTAAATATGAGTACACAGATATTGTCATTCCAGAGTTTACTGTTAAATGATAATTTACACCTGATTATATGGAGAGACACTGAGTTTGAATGACTACAAGAAGTTAAGAGTCAAGATATCTTTGATAAGGTTGCTTGTCACTTAAAGATAAGAAGTGGAGAGTTGGGGCCTTGTTAATTTTGATTACAGTAAACTGCCTTTCGAGCGAACCCTTTGACATAATGAACTATCTTTGGGGTCCTGGCAACTTGCTGTATATTGTAGCTGAAATTTGTATATTGAGGTAGTGTCATAACTCAAATTAGTGGTCCCGTTGAGTTTGTTATAAACGTTATGAACAAGTTTACTGTATATAAATACACAGTGTCACAATGCTGCAAATGCTTTATAATATGTTTCTGCACAGGATGTTTGACAACTTTCCTGGACTTGGTGAAACGTCAAGAGAGAGACTTTGAGCAACCCATCCTGCCCAATGATGCCGGGCGAGACGAACGACTGCATATGCCCCCCAAAAGAAAGTACATTTGGCCTCACTGGCACTGCATCCACGGAGAGAAGTATGACATGATGAACTTCATCCTTGGCATCGAATCAGCTCTTGATGGAACAGGAGTGTTTATTGAGGTCAGAACCAATAGGTTTAAATATTGATTTGATTGTCATTGTCACAGACACCTGAGGTACTGGTCATTTACATATGGGCGGTCGGGTAGCACAGTGGTTAAAGCGTTTGCTTGCCATGCCAAAGACCTCGGTTTAATTCCCCACATGTGTACAATGTGTGAAGCCCATTCTGGTTTGCCATACCGTGATATAGCTGAAATATCTCTAAACTAAACTCACTCAATCACTCCTGCACCCATGTACATTTCTTACAGGTGAGGTTTGGGGTTGTTTGGTTTTTCGTGTGAGCACCTTCCAAAGAGGCAAATTACTCTTTATTTTATCATACAAGGTGCATTTTTTCCAACCCCCAAAACAATGTATGTTTTTTGCATCCTCCACAGGTGAGTGGGATATTCCCCTGATTCCCTGTGACCCAGCCACGCCTTTGAAAAATGACTGTCCCCTTATATCATCCCTTTACTTAAATTCTCGTTTTCTTATTCTGTAGATATGATAGGTTGCATTGTTGCATGGAACATTTTAGAGGCTGTCTTCATTGTGATTGGGTAGAGTGGGTAGACTAGTGATTATAGCTTTTATTTATCCCGAAGATGTGGGTTCATTTGCCCACATGAATACAATGTGTGAGGCCTTCTCTGGTCTCCATGCATGCCGTAGATCTCTACATTGTGAAGGGATGGTTTTCAGTGTTGCTGCTTTGGCTATATAGTGTTTACATGTTACATCTGACACAAAATAACAAAAGTTTGTTTGATATAGTAATTAAACATAATGACAGCCTTGGCATATTGAAAAGGGAGATAATTGCTATAGGAAAGTTAGTTGTCTCCTTTACATAACTTTCCAGTTATCAGAAGATGTGTTTTGATGAAACATTTCAGGTCTCCCCACTTCATGTACAGAATGGAGGCATTCAGTCTTGGATGGTCAAACCCCTGTCCGACTCTAGAACAGCCTACTTTGACCACATGGGAGAAGCTCCCTATATTGAAGAGAAGGTGATGAGACATAACAGTATTTGTCGTAAAAGTTGATAACTTGAAATTGGAAATATGTCAATGGAATGTATTAAAAATGCGTCGGTTAGTCGGGAAAAATAAAATAAAATAAAAAAAATTAATAAGACGAAATTATCTGAATAATGTTCTTGATTCTCATTTATTATAATTCTGATTACAATTTCCTGCATTCTTTGGGACTTGTGGCAGCGACTGATTATAAGGTAAACATTTTATATTATGAGGCGGTACAATTTAGGTTCGAGTTGGCGGTGTTGGAATGAAAAGAAAATTTGGGGGGTGGGGGTCGGTAATAAAATAAGAAGGGTTGGTTGGGCGATGAGAAACACAAAAAATAAAAATGCTGCGATTCTATAAGCAACCTGTTGCTCTGTGTTGGGTATTTAGTAACATACTGCAGTCAGTCAAAATAAAGCTGTTAATCTTCCTCTGGAATACTCACTTGAGAGCATGCTCAGCCCACACAGGCTGGGAATTCACATTGGTTACTTTACATTTCATGGAGTGCAACAAATATAATGCAACGTCAAAGCACTCAAATGAAAGCATCCTCATGCTTTAACGTTAGTAGTTCATTGCAAAACCATACTTTATTACGTCACACTATGGGGTAGATGAAACTTGATTTCTTTAATGTTTGTACACTTTTTTCAGAAATCATTTCTGTGTCATAAGCAGTAATTTCAAACACTTCTAGGGTGGTGGGGTGGCTTAATACTCATAGTGTCTCTTCATTATGCCCGGGTTCGATTCCCCACATGTGTACAATGTGTGAAGCCCATTTTTGGTGTCCCCCATTGTGATATTGCTGGAATATTGCTAAAAGTAACGTACAACCATACTCACTCACTCACCCCAAACATTTCTGTTACAGGTTGAAATTGAAACATTTCTGCAAATTAGACGGAAATATGAAATCTACATCAGTCATCAGGATGATGATGCAAACAGACTGAAAATATATGGACTTAAAAAGTCTGTAGAAGATGATCGCCATTTTGTGAAAATCTTCTATCAGTGCAGGGAAGCTGTAGGTAGGCAAGAGGGCAATTTGTGTTTGTTTTATTTTTCAGTTGTTTATACATGTTTTCCATGTGTTAATATGATATGCATGTTGAAATTGCATGAAAAGAAACTGAATTCTATCATAAGATTGTAAATCGTTTGCCTAGTTCATTTATCCCTCCCTGGCCTTAACACAGGTCTTGATGTCCATGGATGCCCCCCTGTGTTATCAAACACCCTTGGTATTGGTAACATGGAATATAGGTCGGGTGATAAGTCAATTATCAAAGACAGGAGCATATATTCATGTATGAATGTTCCAAGTTGTGGAGTGTTCTGTGTTCTTCTACTGGTGACTACTTTTTCGAGGAAGGTCTGAAGGTCTGATGGTCCAGTAGAAAGATAAATTTTAATTAAATAAAATGCAGATTATTGAAACATTTTGGAACAAAATAAAAAATGTGAACTCACTAGTGCATCAATTGTTTTATTTGTGGAAAATGATTTTAATTGAACTTCAAAAGAAAGAAAATACATTCCATTTTGGTTTGAAATTCACTAAAGGTATTGTCTCCACTTAAACACTGTAGAGTCTTTCTCCATTACGATTGTTTAATATGTAGATGATTTCTGTCTTGACAGGCTACATCAATGTGTTTCTGACGTTCCAAACATGGAGTAGGAGAAGATTTAATCAAGTTCATCGTATTCCAAGTGGTCTGACCTTGAAAGCCGTGATGGCACATCCAGCCATCCATAACTCTGTGAGTATGTCTTCTAGGAAATAAGATAAGAAAAAATAATATGTATAGTTTAAGCTTGTACTCTCTGTCTTATGATCGACAGTTGAGTGGAAATGAACCATAAACAAAGTTTTGGGCCTCTCTTGAACACTTTGCCCGAACACACCCCTACTGCTCCTGTTCCTGGACAGCCTGGTAGCCTTTGAGAAGCATGCAGCCTGTGCTCTGATAGGTCATGTTACCCCTTTGTGTAGTCATCCTCGTCTTGGAACAATAATCGTAATCAGAGACCATATACCCATCTCTGTCGTAATCTGTACGACAGGGTTTGTCACTACTCTTGCATACTGATGGATGGATTAGACAGACATTCTCTTATCAAGCCGTCTGCTTATCACGCCTTAGGTTCGATTCCCCATATGGCTTGATTCCCCACGTGGGTACAATGTGTGAAGCCCATTTCTGGTGTCCTCCGCCTTGATATTGCTGGAATATTGCTATAAACGGCGTAAAATCATACTCACTCACTCACTCTCATCAAGTTGGACTTTAAGTAACTGTCAGATGATTTGTTCTTTCAAATTTGTAGGGACCGGGGGCATTTGTCATCTTCTGATGAGGCTTGTTCATTTCAGGTGAGTCAGCTAAAACAAGTGTACACCTGGTTGCAAGATGGCTGCTATGTGAGGTTGACGTTGGGGGGACGTCATGTCTACCCATCCCCTTCTTGGAGGGTGAACCACAACTGCATCATGGAGATTGTACCCTCAATCAAAGGTGGCCATCAACACCGCACATCTCTCAAAGATGTCTAAATGGACAAGATCGGCCAGCTTAATTTACTTAGGTTCTTATTCTAGTCTGGGAGGAATTATGTATGGTGTATGCAAAAAAGAAGAATTTGACATCCATAATTTTTGTCTTATACTTGAATACCAACTTCTATATGCCTCTCAAGAACCTGAGAAATTATGTAATTGTAAAGTGTTTTGTTGTGAACATTACGTGATGTCATAGAGATATACTCTAAAAAAAGGTAGGGGATACTAAAATTTCCAAAACTTTGAGAAATATTAGTCACTATTAATAATTTGATAATTTTAATGAAAGAATTGGAAACACATACCTTCAACAGTAGTGGAATCTGACAGAAGATGCTAATAAGAGATCCTGAAGGATGATAGGGTTAGATGAGACATTTCATAGTGGGCATTTTTCATCAGTAGTGTGTTGTATCACTATCATTTTTAAACAATCATTCACTTGACAAGGCAAACTGAGTATAAGTCTCCCAGTGATAAAGCGACCCTACGTATAAGGCGACCCCCTAGTATGAACCATCAAAATCTATGCTAATGTAAGTACCGTGTCTATGAAGCGAACCTGAACGAAGCACATTATCAGAGCATACAAGATCCCTATATTTGCAATAAAAACATGTTTGTCTTCCATTCCATTTTTATATGATACTTGGTAGAGTGAGTTTAGGTTTTACGCTGCACTCAGCAATATTCCAGCTATATGGCGGCGGTCTGTAAGTAATGGAGTCTGTACCAGACAATCCAGTGATCAACAGCATGAGCATCGATCTGCGCAATTGGGAACCGATGCCTTGTGTCAACCAAGCCAGCGAGCCTGACCACCCGATCCCGTTAGTCGCCTCTTACGACATGCATCGGTTACTGAAGATCAATATTCTAACCCGGACCTTCACGGGTCCCGATCCAATGGTCTGAATGAATAATTATATCCACAACACGCAGTAGACCTATATCAGGTATGCCTGTAATGTTGCAGGTTGAGGCTCATTGCCAGGACAAATCTCTGGTCGACCGAAAGTGAGTTGAATTAGGCTAATTCTAACCCGGACCTTCACGGGTGATGCTTGGTAGAACTGTCATGGTGACAGTTTGTATAAGAGTATATATCCACAAAAACTAATCTTTTCCTCTGACAGGTCAGTAAAATAATGTGGGGTCTCTGAAAATGAAGGAATGTGCATTGATGAAGTATTCAAAGAAAAAAAACGTTTATCACAAAAAGCCATTGATGAGGTCATGAGTGCTATACATCTCCCTGTGCTGCTTTAATGAAATGTGCAGCATCACAGGGAGAGCCTTGAAAAATGATTAGATAACATAACATTGCAATTAGTGTGGGGATTTGGTTAAAAGCTCATAACTGATGATTGGTTCATTACAACCGTTCAATCATCGAAAATAATCGGTTTCAGTCATTTATGAAATTTTCCTGGTTTATATTTCGTTTTCACAAAAACATAAAGTAAAAACATGTAGTTCTTTGGGGTTTGTTTTTTTTCTTATTTTTTGCAAATTGCACGTCTTTAAAGGTTGACTAGTATGTTAGGAATATAAATTTCTTGGTGTCTTAAGATAAATTCAGTCATGACATGGAACGAGCTTGCAGTGTTCATGACATGTAACTGACAAAACCACCCTTGTGAAAAATATTGTTAATGCAAAAAGTGTTCCAGAATTGTTTGTATTCGATTATGAGAAAACAAGAGTGATTGCTTGGTCGTTTAGTCACTGTGACCAATCTTCGATTATTTCAATTAATCGACCACTACTAATTGCAATGAGCAAGTAGCAAATGAGGCAGGGACATATTGCCAGTTGGAGGCTGATCCAGAAATGTTCTTGCATCAGTACAACTGTGGATTAGACCCTACTTCACCAAACAACAATCAAACTGGTTGCAGCATTTGACATCACACCTCCTAATAAGGCAATGACTGGAAACATTATGGCTTCTGTAGTCTTGGGAGCTGAGAGTGGCATCATAAGGGTCTTTCAAAGGGCTAGCCAAAGAATGGAGCTTATTTTGCTGCACTTTTCACCTTGTTGAACTTGGTTCCTAAATAATATCACCACAAAATGGAATATCCCCTACCTCTTTTTATAGTATATTTTACCTATCATCAACTGATCTGAACACTGGGTTGCATGTAATATTCTTTAGAAAGATCTTGAACAAAATATGTTATTGTTTTAATTTTGAATCTCAAAAACTATTTGTCATGTCTGTAATGTCCTGTTGTGTTTGCATCAACTAATTACAGGTGCAAACAAAAAATATATGTTTGATGTAGTTCTACTGTCACATTTTTATAGATAAGAAAAAAAGTACGGAGCTCTCGTTCATCAGTACGTAACTGACAGTCATGACATTTTTTGTTTTTCTGTGATGTCTGTGTTTAGTCATACAACTAGTCACTGAACGTTCTAATAATGCAACCTGAATCAGCATTAATTAAGACTGTTATCCCAGGTATGAGTGACCTAAGCCTCCAGAAAGTCCTATCGCATTTAAAACACATATTATTGGGGAGTTCCAAATGCCAAAAGATAAGGCTGCATGATGATAGTGTTAACGACTCACATTTCAACATGTGTTATTTTCTGAGTGCAAGGTATTTTTCACAAAGTTATCGTAGCGCTACAACTGTCATACTTCCTATACTTTAACATAGACTTACGACAATCGTAGCTCTATGGTAGCTTTGTGAAATGGGGCGCAGAGATGTAAAGAATTGAAGCTGTTTCGTTTTAGAAAACTTGTATCTGACTGTTCAGGAACTTATGCATCGGTCATTTTGTTTGGGAAATAAAAGTTCATTCTAGACTCACCTCATGTAACTGTCCATGAATGTGTTGTCAGATATTCACACTGAACGATATTATTACAGATTAAACAATCTGGTTTTTATGACAATGGATAAAAAATTCTATTTTTAAAAATGATAAATTTCCCATTCTGTTTCATGTAATGCACATTTTTAGATACAGTATTCATGAAAATTGTTTTCTTTGAGCTCATTAGATTTTGTATTGGATTTTCATGTAAGGGTTGTTTTTTTGCCATTTGAAAATTGATTTATACCATAAATATGATACTACAGCTTTGATGTTTCAGACTGTTATCTCAGATTAAAAGTTTGTTCTCAAGGTATTCCTTATTCATTTTTGGGGCTGTATTAATTCTCGGATGACCCTAATAATGAACTCAAGGCCCTTCAACTTCGACACAACAGTGTTTGACTGTACTTTATTTGTGCATGTGACAAATCTTAACACATTCTGAAGATAACTACTTTTATCAGTAAACATACAAAGCTTTTTAAATATCCTTTTTGTGATGAAATATATTTCGCATAACAGTGATTCCATGGCATATTTATCTGTAATTATTGTACTGCCTGTCATTGATATCTTGCGAGCAACGTCGTCATATATTATCTAAAGTCCTTGCGTCATGTTGTTTTGTTCTCAGTTGTAACTAACTGGCATCAGTCATCTTATGGACAATGAAATGATTGACCATTTCCTTCGTTATTTAGTAACATAATTCTTTCAAAGCAAACATCTAAACAATACAAGAATGTATTTTTCTGAAATTTCAAAAAGCTGCTTGACATGTGATGTGTATTTTAATGGATGCAGAGTATTTGAATGTGCATAAACCATGGTTAGTTGGGACCGATAATTGAAAAACTGCAGTATTGGAAGCAATTGGTTCCCAGTGTGAACAACCTGTGAACTAGTGGACAGTTATTTTTTCAGTGAAAAAGAGTTCTTGACATCAAATGGTGCTTTTGTCATGTGCAGGTGCTTTTATCATGTGGAGATCTAGTACACAAAAATACTATGTTTCAATGTTCAGATGTTCTTGTTTTGAGATGATGGTTGTTTGTAATTTTTATCATATTTCATAATCATGTGATACAATATGTGAATTATATTTCTGCCAAAATTGTACTTATGCACATGCACTCTCAGTGAATAACAGACAATATCTGTCAACTTTTGTGTTTTGATTTCTGTTTCTGTAGTAAGAAGAAGACTTTCTGGGCCTATCATTTAGTTGGTTTGATGTTTGTTATGTGTCTATGCAATATGCCCCTTCATATGGAAGTGTTTCAGTAACGGGCAACTATGTAATGTTTTATGAAGCTGCTGTTCTATGCAATAAATATGCCCTTATATCTTTCATAATATATTTTTACATGAGGCTAGACCAATTTTATGTCTTGCTTTACGGTTCCACCGGTCGTTTTTTTATCAAAGAAAATACAAATGAATTTTCCCCTCTTAAAAATAAAATCCTAATGTTTTTATTCGCCAAAATTTTCTGATTGTTTTTGGCCCCATGTACATGTCATAAATTGCCAAAAGTAAAATACTATTAGTATTTAAAAGGAATATTACTTTGACTGGTGAAATTCTTTTTTTCCCCTCCTGCCTCTAGGTTTTTGGAGGACAAAAATCAGTAAAACAAGAAATAAAATTGGTTTGGCCTAATGTCTACATTTTCACTTCTTCCACCTTACTAAGCCTGTGAAGATCCAGGTATGAATTGGTCATGCTTGTCGTAAGAGGCGTCTAACGGGGGTCAGGTGGTCCATCTTGCAGACTTGGTTCACACATGTTATCGTAACTCAGTTGCATAGATTGATTCTCATGATGTTGATCACTGGACTGTCTGGTTCAGACTGTGTTATTTAGACTGCTGCCATATAGCTGGAATATTGCTGAGTGTTTGAAGCTGAAAAGACATGCCATTTAAATATACTATTCCAGGGATAGAAATACATTATTTCTAAGTGTGCCTTAGGGCACGTTTTTAGAATAAATGACTGTAGCAATGATGATGATCATTTGAAATTTATTGTAAGTAACAACAAATGTAACCAGTTTTCTGTTATCACTGATATGTCTTCAGTTTAAGATGGCTTTCTTAAGCTTCATTTGTTCTGCTTTCCCAACACCTTTAAAAAAGCTAAGAATTTTGTGACAGGTTCACTTGTTCAATATATCTTACATACACAATTTCCTCTTCAATAGGGCGGTGGGGTAGCCTAGTGGTTAAAGCGTTGGCTCATCACGTCGAAGACCCGGGTTCGAATCCCCACATGAGTACAATGTGTGAAGCCCATTTCTGGTGTCCCCCGCCATGATGTTGCTGGAATATTGCTAAAAGCGGCGTAAAACCTCAATCAGTCAGTCCTCTTCAATAACCGAAATATCAGTACTCCCATCACTCTAAATTTACAAACAACCAGATTTCTTTATAACATCCATCATAATTCCAGTCATTTCCTGGGCAATAAAGTCAATAAATGTTTTTGCTTGTTTGTCATTTGTGTAAGTGATTTGTTTTGGGGATTAAATGTCTAAAGGTGTCTCTAGAAAATTAGGCATGCCATAAGTGCACCAAGAACATATTTTATCTGTGCCAATCAATATTTTCCGTGCCATGGCACACTGATATCTGGAGTATTTTGAAACCTGTAGTCTCTTCTGATGCTTGTAGCCCATAGACAGATTAGGTCATTCCCGGGATTGGTGTCCTTTTTCCAGCATTGGCAGATGATGATTGTTACTCCTTACAATTTATATCAAATTCTGCATAAACATAAAATACGTGACTTCATTTCTTCTGATGACTAGCTAGCTCCTTAGTGAACAAGAACAACTCAACTAACACTGCAATGAGTGTAGGGGATTATCACTTCCATTTGATTTT